CTGGTGAGGCGCCACTTTTGTACTTCGAATTAGCCCCCTTGTACCTCGCTGGGTGGGCTGGCCTTTTGGGCCATGCCAATAGCCCAGACACCTTCTCCGTGCTGAATATATGTATTCTGTCCGGATATTGTATCTTCTTTCGTCTTCAGGGAGTCTCGGGATGCTACATTTAAAATCTTTGTTTTATTTAGAGCTAATAAAGTACTTTTTGGGAATCATGAAATCTTACTAATAATATTTTCTGAAGAATTTGAAAATATAGATGCAGCACTCTAGTACCCTGATGCTCTTTCTAAAATCGTCAGAAGGCGTAACAAAGCTTTTAAGATTTGAGGGACTTATTGTCGGTCATTATCCCTGCCATGCAGAACACAAAAATGAGTCTAAACCGAATTTCCTCAAAGGCGCAATTCATTACAAGCAAATAGCCCATCTCTGAACTGTTGTATCATTTTGATAAGGGTTTTGCAATTATTTATACGTCAATAATCGCGCTGTTTCTTGTATTTTACTTACCAGCAAGTTTTCTTCTATAGCTCAGCTGCTCACAAGCATATCATGAATTTGTGCATTGGATTTAACAATTAACAGCTTATGCACCAATTCCCCAACTTATATTTCATCGACACACTTTTATAAAATTCAAAGCACTTCTCCATTTTTAACTATGCTGTTCTGCAATTGCATTTTTATGAATGAAATTTAGGCCAATCAGTACACATCGCATTTGCGAGGAGCCTTGGCGCTTTTATGAAGGCACCTTACCTTTAGTGGAGTTGTGTTAAGCTTAACATTCTATTGAACTAAAAAGGGTGTGCATTTGTTTGTTGTGGGAAAGTCTAGAACTTTGTCCGTAAAATATAAGCTTATGTTATTGTTTTCTGTTCCCACACTTGGTCCTCTATAGTAGCCTAGATTCGCACTTAAATATGCAACTCCTATTTGTATTAACTGAATGCATCTTTCCATTTATCTGGAGTGCTTTTTGCGTCTATCAAATTTTGGAGATTTTAAGATTGTTTCCTACCTCTTGTTGCCCTTGGCCATTGTCTGTAGTTGAACTTGACAAACCATTACTCCAGCCCCATACTTATTTCTAGTTTATTTCGCTAATGTTTGTAGCTTACTTCCTTTTTCGTTTACTGTTTGGTTTCGAATTTTCAATTTGTTTTTTTTTGGTTTTATTTGCTGCTTACCAATCGTTGGTCCTCTTAAGTCGTATATTTTCCATCAGGTTTCAATAATATGCTTGTAAAAGAATATCGAATATGCTTGCCGATGACGGTAGAGGAATACAGAATCGCACAGCTTTACATGATCCAGGTAACTGCGGTTGAATGCGTTTTTGTGTACGAGTGGCGTTCAACTAGTTCTTTGATCCCATTAATATGTTTAATTTTTTTAAGTAAATACAACTTTATCTTGATGGTGTTCACTGCTGGTGAATACGTAATGACCAGCCATGCTTCCAGTCTTGGCTAATTATATATTGTATTGTTCCTTTACTTTAATTGCTTCCTAAGAGAATCCATTAATTCTACTTTCATAGCCTACATTGTAACGGAACTTTATTCCTTCTTTGCGTAGAGTAGTTAAACATATTGTTGACCGGAGAGCTGATTTGACCTACTAACTCCTTCAAAATTTCGTTATTTTATAGAAAAAATCTCGAGAAGAAAGCACTGGACGTGAGAGCGGTGTTGAAATACTCAAGAATGCGCCATATACTGACGGCCCTGGAGGGAACGGTCAGTATACATTCAAAATATATCACGTGGAAAACCATATACCAGGTGATAATCTTTATCCTGAAAACCGTCAAATCTACAATTTTCGAAATAAATCCTTACCATTCTCTTCAGTCCTCTGTTCACACTTACTATGTTGGCATTGTGTGAAATAGTTTTCTCATTGCTTTGGAAATAGTATAAACCCTAGTTAAGCCATCAACAGCTCATTTCTACCTACACAAACGAATCGCCGCATTTGCCAGGAAATTTGATTCATCACATCTGGTGGTTCCTAAAATTCTCGCATGTAGTTGCAAATCCCATTCACCACCAATTGTTATTAATCACAGAGGCACAATAAGGATGTTATAAAGTGCTATTTTGCCTCCTACTGATGTTTTTGTATTCTATAAAGTTGAACGCTCCACAATACCTTTCTCCATATTCACCTTTATTCATTCGTGCATTAAAGCGGCTCAAAGTTCCCATAGAGTTTACTAACTTTGCTTCTTAATCCTCCTTCCACCCTCTTGTTCCGTTTAATCAGGCTGGCTGCGTGCCGTAATACCGAACGCAGCGCTGAGAGTTGAGGAGGAGGCCTGGAATGCTTATCCTTACACAAAAACGCGATATAGGGTGCCCTTTATGGAGAAGTTCTCCCTCGAAATCGAAACTAGGTATTTGGATGATGCAGGAGAAAGCGAAAATGTCTTCGATATGTCTCCTGCCGATTTGAACACCCGCATTGTCGGTAAGACCTCTTCTCACTCCTATTCACGCCTATTTGTGGTCGCACTGGTACAGTTTTCTTCTAGAGGAGTATGGACTTTCTCGATTGCTTGCTTAGTTTCCAAATGGATGCATTTTGACCATTTAGTCGTGTGTTTAGCCAAAAAGCCTTGATATTATGGACAATATAATTTAAAGAGTAGTAAACAAATTTGTTATGAATACAAGTCCATGCTCTCGTCAAGCTAGCAGGGACATCAAAACAATTGAACCCACATTATATGCAACCTGAATTGTAATCTGTTTGCTTAGCCTAAAAGACACTCGTATTTGCCTATTGTCTAACCTTCATTGCGAATCCATCTTCACTTTGGCAGCAGCTGAACTCATCTCGCTGAGGATGAATTGAACCTTGAAAGCGGCTTTGGCTCAGTCCGAAGTCCGTTTGACAGACATCATGCGTACTCTTTCGATGGGAAAGTGACAGACTTGTCGAAAATGCTTTCTGCTTTTTGTAAAATTTTGAGGTTCACCGCAGCGGGGATGAGGGTTCTTCTGGAATTTTTTTCAGCTGCAGTGTTTTTGGGCTATATGGTATTAAAATAACTTCTCTTCTTACTGTCATCACCCAAACGCCCAGTTCAATCCGGAATGGCAGCAATGAGCAGCGAAGTTTACATTTCGCTCCACTTGCCAACTGGTTGACAAATGTCACATTTTTTGTAGGTGGAACCAACGATTTCGTATTTTATCGCAAAATTTGCTGAATCATCCTCACGAGTTTACATAAATGACCTATAGAATAACACTTTACTGTGGTATATACGTGACACCGCTCTAGTTCATCCGAAAAATGACATGAGATTATATCCTTCAGTCAATTTGAAGACTTCTGACTACGTGTTTTTTTTTCCCCCTAGATACACTTTTATTTTACAGTAGACTGCCCAGAGTGCCATTGGAATTGAAACCTCAGTCTTACCTTAAGTCATGAGGGCGAATTTCCTCGACTCTGATTTTAAACAATTTCATTTTCTGATTCCTCATTTCTTCTACAGAAGAAGTTCTAACTTAGAAAGTGGGTGGGAAGTCATCATTGCTAATTCCTCAAAAGGAGTATGTTTGAGTTTGCAGCCTACTACTGAGATATCCAAACTTGAGATACTACAAGTATCTCGATGTAAAGCCTGAATGTGGCACCTGGTAGTATTTCGCTAATTAGAGGCTGGAGACATTTAAAGACGAACTTGACGAGCATAGCAGGTACAGCTACTTATCCGTTGTCCTCACCTAGACTACATCGACATAGTGACTGATCCCCTGGCGCCCTCAAAGCCGACTGAGGACCCCTCCACCTACGTTTCCCAGGTGACTGGACGCGGTCCCCTCTCGGCTGGCTGGCGCAGCGAGTTTAAGGAGGCCATGCGCACGGGGCGGAAGTATCCTTGTCAGGGCGCCAAACCGGACGCTACGGGAGGCGTTCCCACCGAGCCCCTTCCCATGCGTATCATGTGCTCTTACAAGGTGTGCCGTGTGGACTTCCGCTATTGGGGCATGCAGTCCAAAATCGAGAGCTTCATTCAGGACTATGGTAAATGTGCTGTTGGCTAGTTCTCTGGTCTTAGACAAACTTAGTTATTTTTAGCATTGCGTGTTCAGCATCTCATCTGTCAGTATTTTTGCTCAACTGTGCTGGTACTGTTACTACCTATTGCCTATCATGAACCTATGTAGGTGTCGAATGGTTGTGGTCTTACTATAGGCTTGTGTTGATGCACTTACAAAGGGATTTTGCGTCATTTGTGCGGGAAGCGCTTTGCGCCACCGCCTCCTGCGTGAGGTTAAGTGACTGCTAGTCACCTTGCCCCTATTATATTTACCTGTGGTATTTGTAAGTTGAGCCGTGTAAAGTAGCTTTCAATTATTCTTCCAAGTTCTCATGTATCGACTTTACCTTCTCAAAGTCTATGCGCCTATTATTGCAAAGGAAGTAATTATCATATCGGAACTCCAGTGACCAGGAAGAACTTTTCATCTAACTACGCAATCGCTCAAGGTAGATTCGAATTTTGTACTGCTCATCACGAGAAGCTCAGTACTTGACTACTCGGGAAGGCCTTAATAGTCCTCATTCGTGGAGTTTTCGTTGCTCCGTTTTTTTAGTAAATTTATCCTCTAGTGGGAAATATTACTGCTTTCTCTAAAAAACGTTATCTTTTGATTTATAGGGCGAGGAAATTACGATTTAGCTTCCATTTTGGTCGTTCCTATGAAATTTGATCGAAGAACTTAGCTCTTTTCAGATTATGCTCGTGTTACCTGGAATGGTCGCCTGGCATGCCATTTAAATGGACTCATTGCAGATCAAGAGTCAATTGACTGCTCATTACTAAAGTGCTCGTCCAAATTCGTTACCACTATACACCATGCAACACAAACACCGCGCTGCCATAGTTTAACGTTCCTCATAGGTTGGCTTTTCAAAGGAAACTACAATCCCATTTTTACTTAAACTACCAAAAAGAAGATCGTTTTGTAGAGGTTTTCGTGCCCTTAATGTGACGTCAAATTATGATAAATTAATGTATGCGAAATTCGTTTCCTCTACTGATGGGTGCTTTCCTTACAAATACTTTTTTGATAGATTTTTTAAAATAACCTTTGCTTAATAAATTATGGATCCATGATCATTCATGTACAGGGATGCGCAAGTGCACAAATAACTTTTTTCATGATAGGAGAATTTACTTTGTTTGCAAATCAGAGGTTGTCATGCTCTCCTACAAGGTGCCTTACTTACAAAGCAGTGCTAGTGCAAATTTTTTTTGCCACATTGTTTGACAGTTTTTTATTTGCTGGGTTTCCATCGAGGATGCAAATGAATACATATAATTTCCTTCATGCAAATTTTTTGTGAAGGTAACTCCTCACCCTCTGAAGCATTTTATCTGAAGAACCTAGGGCTATCGCTATTTAAATCCAAATTTTATTCATTTCCAGAGAACCATCGATGGCTCTCTTGAGTACTAGTTTTAGCTGTGGTCTTTTTTTGAAGGGGTAGATTCTTTTTCACAGTTAATTCCAATGTAAACATTGCGGCTGACAGAAGAGCACCTGAACTATGCCCCTAAATAGTTTCACTTTTTTTGCTGAAAATCGATAGCAAAACTTTTTCTTGCATCATTTTCGCCTGTAGTACGTGACTTTGTCCATTGAAAGTCCGATTTTTCTTCCTACTGCTTTTAGTAATAAATTCATCCGATTCTCTTCGAGCAGCTCAAAACAACTTTGGTACTCCCCTGCCGTATTTGCCATTGACTTGGTGACGCCTCATCGCAGAACTTTTAGGAAGTATCTTCTGTCATTAAAAGGTTCTAAATCCGTTTATGTTTTTCGGACCTAACTGAAGAATTCATTGTACTAAAATAAATAGACATTTTGATCACACACCGACTTTACGGTCCTTCTACCTTCATTTTCTGTAAGTGCCAAGTCTTGCGTGACCAGTTGGCGTCTGGTTTATCCTAGTAACAACCTATTTTCCGTTTCAGGACCTTAGTGTTTGTCGCAATATCGTGCGAGCATTAATTGCTAATTGTTCGGAATACGCTTATGAAATTCTTATTTTTCTGGACTTTGCTTGACGGAGATAGGTGATTCCGGATTCCAAAGGCTATTCACATATTTTTGGAATGAATCCTAGCGAGAATCAGTGTAAAACCAAAAGTCATTAGGTGTTTTGCTTGTTCAATGCTTTTGCAGCCCTCCGTCGTACGATGGTGAGCGCACATCGACAGGCGTGGACGTGGCAGGATGAGTGGTACGGCCTCACTATGACAGAGATTCGACAACTCGAAGCGGAGACTGCCAAGGCACTGGCCTTGAAGATGGGCCAGTCGGAGGACGGTAGCCTTGAAGTCACCCCCGCTATACCCGATAGTGATTCGGTGGCAATAGCTGATTATCAGCGGGGCCAACAGTTGAACCAAGTAAGTTTCGAAAATTTACTCATTTTCGATCTAAACATGTTTAATCGCTTGTCACATCCGGTCAGAAGCATGTAACAGTGGTCTGACAAATGGAAGATACGTCCTAATGTCAAGGGTTGGTCTAAATAAGTAGACATATAAAATTCAGAAAGTATTTTTAGTAAATCTATTATACATTTCTTCCTCTCTCTTTCTTAGTATTTTGAAAGAATGCTTTATCAGGTCGCCATTTTTTATTCTGAAATGTGGTATCTCTATCATTCAACATTATCCCTAGCACAACCGCAAAAATAATGATTACGATTAAAAAATTATTTAAGAAGTGACTTTAATTTGTGACGTCGGATTTGGGGCTTTGGTATCTAATATAAAAGTATTGGTGGGTGACTCAAGCCTCCTAGCCAATAAAATTCAGAAAATACCATGGGCATATATGATGGTAAGGAACTGGAACGATTTCGAGGAACAAAGTGCTCTGCGCAAATCACACTTGAAAAACAGCTTGGGTACAATAATACTGCCGAATGACCCCAGCAACAAATGACCCAAATTGCAAAAAAAAACTAATTTTCTGTAATTGTCTTCATTGACAATCTAATCTAAATAGCTAGCTTCGTTCAATGAAAATTCAACTTCTGCCATTTTCTCTCCTGGTTCTAAAAATGAGTTACCCTCCCCCTACTCCTTCACAGTAAGGCCTTTGCTTCATTTTCCAATATTCCAACCTCGTGAGTTTCGTTAGGTGCGACACTTATCCATGCGCCTAGTGCGTACTGAAGTACTTGCTGAAGATATAGTTGTATGATAGTGGCTGCATCTCAATTGGTAAAATGCCAAGCATGCTTTTGCACCCTTTGTAGAACTCACATTCCTTTTAATGCTAAGTGATTGTGGTTGTTGTCGATAAATATGAGTGAATGATGGCATATAAATGCACCCTTGGCTGTAAATTATTCCAATAATACCCCTGCGTTGCTATTCGCAACTGCCCACAACATTTTTAGAACATACTATTTAATTTACCATTGAACTTTCCCTACATTTTATACGCCTTTACCGTATCTTACTCGAAACTCTTTGCAGCCATCATTTTGACTGATGAAATGCTGATTTTCGTCTGTTTTATGATGATTCGCATCGGATTGCATTTACACTACTTTTGTGTTGGTGGTGTAAATTAAAAGAATATGGCAAATGGAGGGAGAAACAGCTTCGCTTTTCAATGCGTCGTGCTTGCTTCAAAGTAGACAGTGTAGATAACACCCTTCATGCCTGGCGAAATTTTGGAATTGCATAATCACTACCATTTGTAAATTTTTTGATCGTGTTTCGCAAACAGTCCTACTCTTCGGTCCATTTCCATGCCCAAAATGGCCAACGTATTTCTGCTTATTGTTTAATTCAAAGGCATTCGCCTGTTTGAGGTGCTATCCGCGGTTGTACGCTGTCAGAAGTGATAAGTACAGCTTGGCCTTGAACTACGCTTAAACCGTTTCTGATTGTATGTATCTTGAATAAATTCAAGTGAGAAATGTCTTTGCTAATATTTATTTCTATGTAAGTATTGATGAAACTTGACAAAACTTCCTTATAAGGGACAAACATTCAATCTATCACAAAACAATTGTGATGTAGTTGCTTTTTGCAGGAGGAGGGGACTTAATACTGGGAAACGCAAGTGAGGTTGTTTATTTAGTTCATCGGACTGCTGTGATCTACAGGGAATTATGTATTTAAAACGGAGCTTTTCTGAAGTTTCTAAGAGAGACTTAATTGAGGGGGAATTCTAAGTACGAGTTCTGTCAGTGTTGTGTCAACCTCATTTCACTTCGCATAATTTACAGGATGCTGACAAGAGAAAAGCCGATGAAGGCGGAACTGAGCATGAGTCAGTAGCTCCTCACATGAATTTCGGATCTTGCATGAGCTTTGCGTCGGAGTCCGAACGGGGTAGGCTTCCTTTTTAGTTCATACTCATGTTATTACTACGTATTCTTTGATGCTAATAGTTACATATTTACCATTCTGCCATCACTGTTGCTAGTAGTGTTATTTTTTGCTTGTGGGACCCACCGTTACCATGAACGAAAAGTTGTGCGACTCGTTTTCTGCCTTTTGTCTCAATTCCTCATAAGGGACAAATCTTCAATCTATCACAAAACGATTGTGATGTAGTTGCTTTTTGCAGGAGGAGGGGACTTAATATTGGGAAACGCAAGTGGGGTTGTTTATTTAGTTCATCGGACTACTGTGCGACTCGTTTTCTGCCTTTTGTCTCAATTCTTCTGCAAAACCAAATAATGATTGTCCTTTCTAGGCATCCCTGAGCTCGTATAGTGTGGACCCAATTCCACTTGTCTTTAAAGGATCTGATCACTTTATTTATTTGATCCCGTTGGCAACCTTCCAAAAATCCATTTCTCAAAAATTTTACAGCTTCTTTGGTAGCTGCATGGGCGGATTTACAGAATGAAGGTGTTTGCAATTTCTTTTAAGCCTAACATTTGTTCTCCCCGCCTAACGCTCATCAATTTTGTCAAATTATTCTATAGATAGAATTATCCTGCTGCTGAATCATGCGCAGACATTTCCTTCATGAAAATGCTTCATGTTACATTGTGCTTCATAATTTATATTCATAAAAGTAGGCCATTTCCGTGATTGCCGCTTTTATATGTTCAAAAGTGTGAAACTAGTAATTTTGCAGGCGCACAGCTCAATTTATTTGATTCATTTTGTCAAAAAACGAATTCAAACAGGTCAAGTGTACTTGCAAGGATTGAGTTGCGAATGGTTTATGATTGCAAGCCTGGTAACCAAATCTTGACGATAAGGAAAATAAGCTTCAAAGTTCGCGGTACCTGTGTCTCTGAAACACGCCTCTAACGCTGTATGCACGTTGTAACTTGATGCAAACCTTTAAGCGCGTTTTTCTCACTGCTCTACATGGTTTCGTTTCCCTTTGCATGGGAAGTTCTCCGAGAAGGTAGGTTTTCAATTCACGCTTGTTCGTGGTTTCAGCATTGACCTCATCACTACGTTGTAAATTAATTAACGCATTTTGATATGAGCGTTACATTTGCATGTTGCCACCCAGCCGCAACTAAAAAATCGTACTAGCATCACCCTGATGTTACAGCCTTTCAATTTAACTGATAATATCTCTTTTTCCTATTCTGGTAGTTATCAAGTGAGCGAGAAACATAGCTTTTTTGAAATATTTAAAACTTTTACCTGTTAGACCAATGGAATTGGAATCTAAATCCCTCCGAAGCATCAGTTTGTCACTTTTGCAGTCTAGCTTGAGTGACGCAAGACTTTGATGGGTTACACCTTTATGTGTTTCGTGCAAAAGTACTGACTCTATCAGTCAAGTGGTCATTTGCTGTATAGGTGGGGTAATTTTGATTAAGTAGGAAAATGCTAGATCTTAGTAGTGTTACTCGAATCTTCAGCAATAACCACACTATTTTTGACTTCCATCGTAACTCTCGTTTTTAAAAAGCTCCTTTTATAGCATCGTCCCTTCCCAGAAAAACCAATTTCCTCTTTCTGTTTCCGATTTTCCTTTAAGCCTCGGTGTTTCAAAGCATGCCTGGGTCGGATGGAGATGATGAGGACTTTTTTGACGCTCACTGTAAGCATTTCTCTTTCTTAGTAATATTGTTCTTATTTTAAACTGTGAATGTTTTTAGGTCTAGAAACTAAGTATTGTCCTTTTCCACTTCCCCATTTGACAAACATGTAATCATTGCTTTATGCATGTGATAGACATTTTTTTTTTACTAAAATGATGGTATGTTTCTGCTACGTATCCCATTTCGCCTTTACGCGTGAATTAAGATCTAGTTTCTAAGACAGATCTGCAATGGTGCTGCCGGAGTCGTAAAAGGAAATTTGAGAAATTTGCCGCAACTAATTTTGAGCAGTCTTGTTAAATACGCCTACCATTTAGTTTACTATAAATGCGGTCTATTTCATTGGTATTTTCGCTGTGCAGCCACCTTATCATTAAACCAAAAAATTTCTCATTGTTTTAAGAGGCTTTCATCATTTGGGACATCATTTGTGCTTAGTCAATAAATTTTCTTAGTGCTGGGTCCACTACTAAAATTGAGTTTCCATACGTTGTCATACCTTCTCATGTCTTACCACTACTACTACTCCATTTTCTGTTTTTTTTTTTGAGTTTTTGCAGCGTCAAATACCTCTTTTCCCGAAATCTCTGCTCTATAGATGATTATTCAAGCCTGTATTTGAAGCATCTTTGAACACTACCCAACCGTTTTTTTTTTCGGTTGTGACACTTCCTACTGCTGATTAAACTTGCCATCTGAGAGCTGTTACAAGTTCCTTTTTAGTGCTAGTGTGGCTCATTAACGCCAGCTTTGCGCCCACCAATTCAAACTTAGGCCAAACTAAAGAACCTTGTTCTTGACATTAAGGGGATTAATTTTTTTACCCACCAGTTACTTCATACTAATGTGCCGACGAGGAGTAATTGTTTCGTACATACGTGAAATCATATACTTTATTATTTCGTCTCTTGCTGTCATGTGGATTTAATGCATCAATCCATTCCCATTCTTCTAGGTATTAATGGTATGGCCACTTGTGTGACCGCTAATTGGTTTATTGACTCTCAAATAACATTATGTGTATTATTATGCTTGTACAATTCTTGACTGCTTAACTTATTTGTTTTGCCAAACTTTACCTGTAATGCACAAAGCGAAAAGCACACACCCATTCAAATTTCAATTCTCAAAACTTAATATTGTGGCCGATTCAGTAACAATCTGGTTCTCCAAAAATCTCGGCTATCAGAAATTGAACGCAGTAATGAGTGACAAACTCGTATTCTGCCTCATTTAAACGACCATGATCGCGGTCACCATCAGCATACAACTCCATCGCGTAATCGCATTAACACTTCTCCCTTTAGCTGTGAACACAACTGGTGAGGTTCCCTTCGCTCTTTCCTCAACTGCCACCGAAGGTACTAACTGAGTGTTATCGACATTGACTTTGACTCTACATACGATTTTTTAAATTCATAGTGCCTTAAATAAATTATTTCCTTCAAATTGTGCGTCGTGTGAAGTTTCATATACAAGTTTTCCTCCTAACCGCCTCAAATAAATAACTAAAATCGAGCCAATTGCCGTGCCAACTTAATGCGAGAAGGGCTGCTGTGTATTACCTTAATCCTAACTGCTTGAAGTTTTGCCTCCTAATTATCCTTGTTTAGGCGTCCATAGCACCAAAACTGAGGAAATCGCTCAAACAAATGTTCTTCTCTTTGTTGTTTACGGAGGTAAGTTCTCTCTCTTTTGCATTATAAAGATAGTCTTTCGTGAAGCATCCTATGTACTAAGCCATCCAGCATCACATTAACCCTTCTTTTCAGCATAAAGACGGATTTTATACATTCTATTAAGTCAAACTTGTTGAGTTTCTTAAGTTAGAGGATTTTATATCTTAAAAGTAATTTATTAGACGTAAAAGGGGGCTTTTACTCGTATTTTTTGCCTCTAAGACATCGATAGTCTGTTTTGAAATTTTTAAAGATTGTAGTAGTTTTAACTGACATCAACTTTCATCGTCTTAAAACGGCTCAATTTTTGTGCTTGACCTAAACCTTAAAACGTGGCAGATTGCTCATTTTATCATTTTTTAAAAGGTTGTTTACAAGAGAAGTCTGCTGATGAGTCTAGCAAATACTCTGACTTTGCTACATTCAAGTCTCTGGTGGAATCAACGTTGAAGAATTTCTTCCCTGATTTGCAGTTACGAGTAATTATGCAACTGGTTTTGTGTCCCTCTATGGCTGCGGATATGCTGCGGTCACTAAATGCGTGCGTGATTTTCTCTATTTCCTTCCTTTACTGACTGTCACGCAATAATTAGCGTTCGAATTTGCTTTCGTTTTGCTTGCAGTATCGCACGTGAGGCCTGACCGTCTCTAACTGCCGTCAACGAAACAGTCACTTAGCTATCAGTCTGAATGCCCATTTTTTGTGCACTTTTAGAGCTAGGATTGGGACGGATTTTTCCTTACTCGGAGTTGTGTAGTTGCTTGAAAAGAAATATTTACCATGATTCAGTGCTTATTCTTACAGACAAGTCCAGCAGAGAGGTCTTAGATAAAATATAGATCCTTTGAAGCTATTGATGCGGAGTTTTCCTTAAAACGGTAACCTTTTTACAAAAGAATTCATCGTTTTATTTTTCGGCCCCTATTTTAGGCTCGACCCAGCTATGCTTGAACCGAGTATCTCGGATGCAAAGAAAGGGACAATGCGAAGCATTACTTCATTAGGAAATATTCCACTTCTTCTAACAACATCATCTCACTATCCTAACGTAAGAATTTTAGCAATTTTTTTCATCATCACTCAGTAATCACTCAATTTTAGGCGCTGACACCGCTTTAGCAGATTGGCGACTACTTGCTGTTTTTATTGGATTCATACCTACCTTTCAAATGCGTGTTGCTTTTTTTTCAAAGTTCTGTTTTGTTTTGGCCTTGCTTTTGATTTTGAAAGCATTTTCAGATGCCGCTTTAATCTGGATAGCAGTGCTTTCGTCGATGTTAGTGAAGACAAGTGTCTACTATCAATGCTATCACTTTTTTTCTATCACAGGACGTCCATCGACTGGCTCAACAGTTGAATGAGAGATACGTTGAGTTTCGGAACTCTATCGATGGAATTCACTTCAGTGGCAACGTGTTTGTGGTCGCAGATAGTATTGGATCCATAATGACCTACGATCTTCTGGTTTCTTGTTGCCCTGACTTTAAACACGTACGTTCCAAGTTTTAAAACGAGTTTTAAGACCAAAATTATCACCCAAAGGTGTCATTTTCTTTTTAAAATTGGATTTGTTTGTTTTGCAGCTAAATTCGATTTTCATACTTTGATTTATAAACGTACGCTAATCCATTAAAACTTCTTTCATTTAAACTGCGAAATTGGATCCAAGACTTGCTTATTGTTTCAGCAAGAAAGATGGACTATTTTCAGCTTTTTCCATAAATAATTTTAAAGTGTGTATGTGGAAGCTAAGGGGCAAAAGCCTACTTGTTTCGTCAAGGCCAAAATTTTGCTATGGTGCATTACTCTTAAAAGTATACCGAATTGCTATTTCCTACAAAAACAGTTGTCTTCAGGATGAAAAGTGTCCTAGAAACCTCAAACTCGCTCAATTTGACACGCTCTTTTACAGATCTACTAAAATAGTATTAAAACTATCCAAGATGTTGCGCAAACTTTGCCAGAGGACAGACAGTAATACCGTGTGGTAAAAGAGGGCGGATGCTCAATGAGACGAGACGAGTTATGTGTTAACAAACACAACAAAACCGCTTGTTTCTAAAGACTGAGATTTTATAACTTTTGAACTTCTTGAGGTAGTGAGGAGGAAGGAACTGTTTGACGTAAATTACCCAAACTGTGTTGGGTCTTAGCTGTTAGATTGACTTGTTTGGAAAAATGTACATTTGTCGCCAGACAAGGATGAATGAGAGCATTTGGCCCATTTAAGAAAGTGTATGAATTCACTGAGTTAAAACATATTTGACACGTTTTTTCTTTCTTTTAATGTTCAGCTTATTCTTGTGACGTAACTGCACTTCAAGTCACCCGATAATATTGTACCATCCAGTATCATCCACTCGGTTTCAAAGTGCACCAGAATAGCTGTCAAGAAATGAATTTGTACCATAAAAACTTGGGACTTCTTTTTTAGAAGCTGATGAGTTTCTTTTTTAGTGGATGGATAAACCAATTAAAGTGTGGGTTGCTGCAACCTGTAGTTCAATTAACCACCTTCTGCAACCAGACACGCGAGAATGGGCCTTAAATCATAGTCTGTGGTTAAGTTGTTCATAGTTTGACAATTAAGAAAGGCTCATTTACAGACACCGTGTTCATTTTATGCATTAACTATCCAAACGTTTCCCCTGAACTAGCCTCTTATCCTTTTTGTGTGCTTTTGATTGAACACCTAAGGTTTTAATTTAACGCACGATTATCCGTTTACATCAGCAGACAGTGTTACTTATAATTATTTTTCCACCATCCCCATTTTTAAAAGCTTGGAATGTGTGGCATTTGTAGATGACTCCAGCATAATCAAGAAAGTGGATTGCGAGCGCCGGATTAAAAAAAGCCGAGGATGAAAGCTGGATTTTGTCTGCTCAAATGGAAGAATTCATCATTTTGGGTAAAGAGTTCATCAGCTTAGGCAGCTAAGAACCTTAAAAGGATAGTAGTGTGGAAGGAGTATTACACTGTTTTAGTATTGCACGGCTTCCAGTTTGTACCCGGTAGAAGATGGTCACAAGTACAATGATAGCAAATCCTATAAAATCATGATCGAGCTAAATAGTGTCGGTATGCCCTAAGGTGATAATTTGAATCAATTTGATCTTAATCGACAAAACTTGGCTTAAGTGATTAATTACGTGGGCGTTTCAGGAGGCGATTTACTTCCCTTCTGAGGTGTTTTCAATGTGGTTGACAGAAATAATTGGTATGCTTTCGCGTATCAGCCCTCAGTTACTGTTGGTGTTATACTATAAATGGCAATAGAAATGTTGCTTTTGGGTAATGGTGTGCATATTTAATTATAACACCATATATGTGCATGTGGCTTGCAAATTGGAAAAAGACATGATGTACATGAGTGGTCTGAAGTTTTTAGTATTACGCGATAAAAGTATTAAGTGCGAACTTTTGCGCATGTATGATATTGTTATTGTTGCTGCTGTAGCCGCTATCACGGCCCGTTCCTTCAGATTTGTCACAGCTCTTGAATTAATCGGCCAACCCGTTTTTCTCACACAAAGGTCTATTTGATCTCGTTTGGATATACTACGGCCTTAAATGGTTCATTCTTCTGCGCAGTCTAGTGCCATTACCTCCCATCCTAATGGCAGCGTTCATATTGCCACCTTTTAATTTATTTGGACTAAACGACAATCCAAAAGCATCTTGTAATCGTATTCATCATTTTCTGGTCACGTTTTCCGGTAAGCGGAAGATTACGCCATTTTGATAAGGAAGCATTCACAACTAGTTTTTGTCGTCCATATACTATCACCACCTTTGATCTTTGTTTTATGAAATGGTGAGACTGCGGAAAATTACCCGTCGACCACTCCCGTTCTACCATCGTGATAACATTTCAGCTCTCAAGTTGATGCCTGATGAAGAAAGATGTTAAAATGTCTCTGTTCAGCTCAATTTTGCTGACATCGTCAGTGAACATGGTTTGAGCACAATATTTAGACCTCTTTAACTCGTTGACCTTGCTTTTTTTCCGTTTTACCGACTGTAATGCATCTTTTTTGTTTGTAACCGCAGGATGACATTTTTACAAATTTGGACAGCCTCCAACAGGACATTCATGACGCCCCCTCTCTCCTCTTTGACGTGAGTGAAACGTGTTTCTTCACAGTCAACACACTCGTCTAATCTTACCGCATATGCTTTAGGTACAAGACGTTTTCCTTCTGGGTTCGCCTTTGGGTCTCTTGCTCTCTCTTCGTCGACGATTAGGGCTGAGTTCCGGTAGCCACATCAGATATTACGGTACATCGGCTTTATCTTTCAAACCATTTCTCTTCGATCGTCACATTTAGCTTTTTGGGATACCATAAGGGGAAATTTTATTTATACTATTCCTTCATGCTCTTAAAAATATTATTCTTCACTTTCGGTTGACTGTGTTTGTAAGTTCGCACGAGAGTCTTCGTCCATATATGTTACGTACTTGCTCAGAGCATAACAGATTTAACCATCCAATCGGGTGACAAATCCTATCTTAGACACTGCATAATCTAGTATTTTTTCCTTTTAAAAGGTGGTAGAGATTACACAGGCTTAAAATATTCACATTTCGGTCGTACTCTAACTGACTGTTGAATAAGTTCCGGTCCTGTCAGCTGAATGGCGTGAAATCATTTAAAAACGTGTGATGGGAATTGAGGTTTACTAACGGAATGACGAAGATATCGGTTTAATCTGGGGAGTGTTAGCCGCGAATGCTGAAGAGTTTTTCACCCAATCCAATTAAATACGCCTAATTTTCGCTCCGTGTGGTCAACAATATCGCTAGATAAAAGGACTTTTATAATCGTCTGTGCTTTCCTTATCGGGTGGGATTCGAAGGGTTGGGGACTAGTGGTACTAACTTTTGCTACATTGTATCGCATTCACAGCATCGTTTGAAATTTCCTTTCCGTTGCTAAAGTCCCAGCGGCACATACTTTGTTCAACACACTGAAAGGCCTTCCGAAGTTTGAATGATGTATTGTAAAATGTTTGAAGCCGTAGTACAAGGCAGCCCAAAACACTAAAATGCATCCAAATAGTAACAAAATATTGCGGTATTTTATTGGAAAAGACCATGGAAATGCTTTTGAATAGCAAAAACCAATCGTGAGTAGTCAACACGCAATTCATCCATACACGAAGGCTCCGTTTGCCTGTCAAAAATTTGTGACGCACCAGATTTTGTCACTAGTCGATCAACATTACCGATGCCAAAGTAGTTTATGCATAAACACACCAGCAACTGCTAAATTATCGTCAAAATTTACAACAGTCTGAAAAAAACAAAAACGCATACGTACAGAAAGGACGTATGGGTATTAGAGAAAGTGGCAATGGATTTATACACGGTGTTTGTTTTCTTCGTTCAGCCGACGGTTCCATCCCACTTCGACCGGCCTGCGAACAGGTCTTCAACATTTTCAATTTGGCGGACCCCTTTGCCTATCGACTGGAGCCCCTCTTGGACGCCTCCTTTAAAAGCATCCCCGTCGTCCACCTGCCCACCGCCTCTAACTGTTCTGACCAGTGGCAGCGCCTGCGGGAGCACCTCTTCTCGGTTGTGACCGTCAACGGCTATCCTACAGACCACCAAGACGCTCCTCATTACCACCCTTCATCTTCCTCTCTCTCCTCCGATAGAGCCGATGAACGGATTCTGGGTAGATTTCGGGTTTGTACTATGAGGAGAGCGCAAACTGTTGCCTCACAGGTCTAGCTAAATGTTGTCCAAATTGTAGGTTTTACTTTCTACAAATCTCTTGTATCATAGCATTTCATTGATCAATAGCTCATTCTGTAAAGCTTCAATTGTTTTTGCTTTATCAAGCTGTGTACCTTGCACTAGCTACGTGATTATGCAAATCCGAGTCGAAAAATGTAATTACGTGATCGTAAAACAACGAAATTGTTTGCTACGACCGCTAGGCATCGGTTTTTTAATGCAATTGCTACTTTGTTATCTTTGGGTAGCCTCATCAAAATCGTTTGACCAAGCAACTTATGTCATTCTTATAAAAAAGTTTTATAGCAAGGGCTTTTACCCTATTCGGCAAGATCACCTACGCAAGGAAGGGGATGAAAATGTTTTCGTTTTGCCGTGAATCCTTGAAATAGATAAATTTGGTTCGGTGAGGTTGCAAACTTTATTTGGCTAATACATGTTCGGCGAGAATTTCTCTAAATCAGTGGCTTATTTATCTAATTTTTATGTATTTCTTCTATCCTAAAAATTTGTGGAGTGTGTCGCGGCGTTCAGGTCACAATTAATTGATGTCGTCTTCATTAGGTCACATCTGATACGGTGGAGCATTATGGTATTTAATATCTTGTTAACTTTGATTATTGACTTACCTGAGATTGAAACTATCATGAATTCACTTTTTATATAAAAATCACAGGTTTACAAGTCTGTTGGGCTCTCCAAGCGTGGTGTTTTCTGCCCTTGAGTAGCATTGAAAATTTATCAAATGACAATTTTAGTTGATTATCCGACGGCTTTCCAACAAATTCCCCAAATTTTACTAACTCAAGAGGTAAAGTCGTAGTGGTTTAAGGCCATCTTATCGTTTTCATAACGCGGTAGGCTTGCTGCCCTGCTGCCTTCCATCGCGTGATCAGCCTATTTTTCACCACATTTTCATCCGCGGAGGTGTTTTCCACCTACTTGTCCATATGCTACGCGCTAATCGAGTGACAATCTGCTTGCTCGCATCCGTTATTTCATGTTCGTATGTGTTTTGGAACAAGGTGGCTGGTGGGGATCGCAACGTTTGGACATGGGCTTGTGCTGTACCGAAGATGTCCAAAACATCCTCGCACGCGCTCTTCCTCCTCTCGTTCATTCGAGCTATTGGGAGTCCAAGGATACCAGCTGCTTCATTGTGTGGCAGGCGAGTTGATTTTTCGTGTGTTTATTCCTTTTTTACTAGGCGCTAAGTTAAACCATTTTCTACTAACAGTTGCTGCCAATACAATCGCCGCTAAACACCTATTTGATCTTTCCCATTGGTGATTTGAACAATTCTAAGCAAATCCTCGTGGTGATGAGAAGAGCATAAATAGTAATCGTTTAACGTAAAGGTTTATTTGCAAAAGCAGAAATAACCACTCTTATCATGGTACAAAATGTAAATTTTCTGTGGATCTGGAAGATCGTCTATTTAGTCATTGGAAGTCCTTGTTAAGATCAGAAAAATGCCATTTAGAGGTGTTGCTTTGAGGGAGAAAAATTAGCATTGAATCAGCTTGTCCATTTAATTTTATTAACGAAGGGGACCGCTAAACCAGGTATAATGCTCGTACTCAGTTTCTTATCCTTTTTGACACAATCTGTGCAAGGGTCACAGAAACGTGGAGGATTTTTGCATATACTTGGAAAATTATAAACTGAATATTCATGCAATGGATTAGGAATACTATTCTTGATTAACCTTTAAATTAGACTAACCAATCATTTTAGCACGAAAAGAGACCGATATGGCATTTTATTATCTTAATTATTTCTCTTGAAATCTAAATCCATAAATTACAATGAGTAAGCGTTCATATGCTTAGTTTTGCCATGTCCCCTCCCATCCATGCGTTCAGCTCTTATGAACTTTCATCTTGGTGCAACCTAGCTAGCCGAGCGGCTTCGGGGTGGAGCCTCGTGCTTGGGCGAGCCCAGTGGGCACATTGCGGAGGGCAACCTTGGCAACACCCTCGTCTCCCACTTCAAAAGCCACTCCTCCTCACTCCGCACCTACAGCTCCTCGCCCTCAATGAACTCTAATCCCACTGCTGCTGGCAACGAGGCCGGTGGTCTGGGTCGGCAATTCCGCAGTTCCATCTCTAATCGGCTGCGATTCAAGTCGAAACCGACCGAACGGATTAAAGTGTGTTTTTCGCCGAAAATTTTTTGCGGCATTGTGAATGTCATGAAGGCAAACTATGGCATCCGAGCACTCCTCACAGACGTGTCGAAGAGGTTGATTTGTATGTCTTCTCCGTGGTGGTGCTGTGTAGATGGAGACCATGTTATCAGTATAGAGAGGCCATGGAAATATGCAGAGATCTCGGTGAAGTAGGTTGTAGTTACTTTGTGGCAACTGGGCCGGTAAAACTAGCTAATTGCGCTCCATAATAATGTCCAACTTACGACCATTCTAAATGTTCCTTCGTCACAGCTCACGTTCGATATCGTTTGTGACCAGACTGGTAGATTTTTGTCTGTTAACGGGACTGCCTTTTCAGAAGCATAGTTGGTAGAGGTCTCACAGCTCCACAGTTATTTTGAAAGAAGACTCAAGCACACATAGACTCAAAAAGTGGATTCACTTGCTTTGATGATCCAGTCTCTGTCAAACATCTTCGAGCTGTGCATCGAGGCTTCTGTCAGTAACATGTTGCCTGTATCCGTTCGCCATAATGCACCATAACTCTATTTGAATCTTTTACTCATTGTATTATGTAGTGTGCGCCATAGAAATGCCTACTGCTAATAACACATTTAGCAGTAATGTGTATCATGATATGGGCTGCAGTGAACCAGGGAGATTGTCAAATATTGCTACCAGTGTGGTACGTGTTCTCAAAGCGATTCCGTTAACCTGAATTATAGGGACGAACTTATAGTTATTTGAGAATTTACTGTCGTTCTAGGCATTTTTGTGTGAACATCTGTAACTATGCCCAGTGAAGAGAACGCCTGATCCATTATGGTATATTTATCCGCAATTGGAGTGTTATATCAAAAAAGTTTTTCAGTTTTCAGGCCTCTGTCACCCTCAATTATTGCATGCTAATTTCTCCCAAAAAACGATTGACTTGTCATTGCTTGGTTGTGTGCCTCGTTAATTCTGCACAAGGTACGGCACCGAGCAGATTGGATTTGTACAGAATTTAAAACATGTTTACCCGATCGAATGGTTGGGGCCTTCTTTACAAATGACAAATCCTGTTTTCCGGTTTCATTTCTAGTCCGCATCAAGAAAATTGCTCCTATGAACAAGTCCGTTTCATTGTGAGCACTCTATTATAAAGGCTCCCTTCTAGGCTTTCCCATTTCACTAACCTTATTGAACTTAATTTTACAAAGTTTACCGGATTGGACGTAAGCTTTTGCCTAAGAAACATGACTACTCCTATCTAACCTCGTTGTGTAAGTAATGGCCAATCAAAGTGACCTTCGGGTGCGATGGATCTCATCAATCCCATTGTGCCATGCCTCCGTCACACTGAATGGCTTTCATCTATACAAGTCGGACTTGGGCTGTTTTCGTAATTCCCCATTTCTCATAGGCATGCAGATATTGAATAGTCTTTCAACTCTTCTAATAAACTGTAAATGTGTATAATGGTTGCAAGACTTGAAGTGTATTGCAGATTCTAGTATCTTGTGTAAAATCATGTTAGAAAAATAATGTTATTTAGCCCTCTGACCTTGTATGTGGCACTGTTGGACTTGAACGTTTTAAGGAACACCAACTTTACACTGAGGTTTCCAGCAAAATCAGAATAGCTATTGAGCTGGTACTGTCAGTGAAGCACAATTGGACCTCGCTAAAATATTGCCATTCTCATTAGTACATTGGCTTTTTTGAGATGGATGCGCTATACCACAAAATGATGTAAGGCAATCTCCTGAGTAATGTTGACAAAGTTCCTACTGACGCCCTTATCACAGCAATAATGCACCTTCCTATTTGCAAAATTACACTGAGAGACAATGACGTTGGCGAGATTCATTCTATCTAGTCAGCTGGCCTCTGCTCTGATGTAGCAAGTGTCATTCATGGTGCAATCTCTGCCATCTTTTTCTTTTGGATGAAGAGGTCCATTTCGACGTACTGGGTGTACTTTTCCTACTTATGGGGGAAAAGGATGTTGTTTTTTTGTAAAATTGCTTCCGCACATTATTTCCCCTTACTACCGCTTAATTACAAATTTGTTTATTTATGGATGAGCTTTTAGTAGCTATGGATGCGAAAATGGAATATTTCTCTTGCCTTTTTCCACCGGCTATCCATTTTAGGTGGTGTTGCATTCAACGATAAGACTGTAATCCTTTACATCTCGCTTATCACTTCTTGATCCAGGGTTTTGCAACTTCCCTTTTTGCTACTGTTTAATGTGTTCAATTGTAGCAGTCCAAACAAGCCCCTTTTTACCCTGCAAGTATTTCAAATCCTTTCATTATCATAAGGTGGTTTCGATTGGTTGTGCTGAGTTTTTTACTGTTCTTTAGGCCTCCTGCCTTCCGTACTCAATGGTAAGTTTCTCGACTGCGCAACCTATCGTTTTTTTCGAAGCAGTGTTGTATTGTGTGTTTAATGCTTGCTTGTTGTCAGGTTCGGGGTATGCCTATCTGTACGCTTAACTCTGCAAAATAAACTCCTACATCTATTGTGTTTTGATGCTCTGGTTATTTTATTTTTCTGGACACGGCTCCTCCTTATGCTCATATTTGAACAGATATTTACCGTTGATACAGCAGCACTCCTTTTCACCTAAAATTTTGGGACGTTCAAAGGTTTTCTATGGTATGGTTACATCAGCATCGAAGATTGGGCTTTAATAAGCCAATTTTGTCGTTTTCATGTTTTCAAAGCGATTTCCTCTAAGTGGCGTACATGCCTATTAGAAAATTGGTTAAAACCATCAGTTGTTGAACTAATATTTGAACTTTAGATGTGCCTTTCTTTTGAAAGACGGTCTACTACTTCGCTGTTTGACTTCAAGACTTCCGTGCGTACCACCTTAACCAACAACAATGTAGCTTTCACGCATCGGTGTTTATTACTTTTGGATCTCACAGTTTTCTGCTTCATGGGAATAAGTCGAATCCACGGTGGAATTTAATCCGTCTCGCACCGTTTCAGTCTCAAATTAATCGGTGTGCCTATTTTTCGCCTTTTAGGTTTTATATTTTAGTTTGACTGGGAAAGAGCCTACCAACTCACATACTTAGATTGGTTTTGAGTTAATAAGTCGGGTAATTGTTTTATCTTACCGTAAATGTACCTATGTTGACGCTGTTTTCGAACACCTCATTTCCTAAACACACTATGGACGATGCTTTTTTTTGATGAGACTCTAAGATTCTTTTTTGTTATTGAGTTAATCGAGCATTTGCCTTGGTCATATTCAGATGGAAGACAAAGCTCTGTTTCTTGTATATTTAATGCCTTACTACCCAAACTGGTGAAATTTTGTCGTCCATATTGACTATCTGCGTAATCTTGCGGTAAATTGCGCGGTTTGAGGAGTTCTTTCTCAGTGACACAGTATCTCACTGCTTCGTTAAATTTAAACTGCAACTCCGAATTGCCTAAAGAGTCAGCGCAAAACTGTTTTAACTTTATGCTCCTCGAACAGTAAGCATACCGCAGCGCTTCCTTTTTATGAGTTTTGCCATTTGTAGCACCGCAATTATTTGTATTTCCTGTCTGCTATCATCAATGTTTGTGTGTTCCTCGTATGATTTAACCAGTCTCTCAATTAACCCGCTTCTGCCTTCATTTGCCTCATTACAGACAAATAATCCCAATCATCGGGCTAACGATGCCATTGTTCTAGAGGGCCAACCACAGGTCATTAATGCCCGATTCACCTTTGGCACTCTCGACCTCTCCTCGATGGCGAACGAAGAGGTGAGCCGTCTTTTGCCTACATCTTTCGGAGGCGTTTAGTTCTCGGGAAGCCATTTCAGGAGATGAGATCTGGTAGAGCTTATTGTGCCGCTGACGAATTGCATCTAATTGTTTACCCCGATTTTCGATTGAATCCATTGGCACAGCATCGCTTTTTTTTGAATGCGATTGATAAATTTGTTCTCTCAATTGATCAGCATGTTGTAACCTCAGTAAGCTGATAGAACCACCTTTATATTAAACACGATCGGCACCTCCGATTTGGGAGTACTCACTTACCGGCATCTCAAAAGCGGCGCCTTTTACGCAGGAGACAGAAAAAAATTAAAAAATTACCCAAAATAATAAACCTGGGTCCCTCTTTTTCATTCTAGAAAAATAAATCGTCTAACTTGAGTCCGTGTGCTTCTTTTCTAGAGCTGTTAAAGTCCTGTTTTGGATGGGTTATTCTACTTCAATTGTATTCTTTATTCCCTTTTAGGTAAATGCGTATTAACTTTAGCCAACATCGTGTCCGGAAGCAGTGTTGAGGGGATGTAGACTGATCCTTTACAAATGGGAATAAATAAAATCAATTCTTCACATCCCTCTTACTTTTATTAAATTTGTTTGTTTTTTGGCTAACCCCAGTAATGGCAGCACCTTAAAGAATTGCAGTATCGAAAGTAATGTTGATTGACTGAACCTCTCATGAACGGAGTCAGCCTCAAATGGAACCGGTGACTTCAGCGCGTTTATTTTTTTGGAATGACAAGTCGAGCAACTACTTAAATAAACAAACTTTTGACTGACTACAATTCAAGAAAAGTAGTGACATCACTGATGAAGGTGTTAATTTTTCCTTACAGGTGGAAATCTTCTACCGTTTACAACCGATGATCGATGCGAAGGGGGTGGGGTGGGAGCGTCTAGGCAGCCAGATTACCGACTCCAACGGCCGCCTCACATTTCAGCTATCTGAGGCCTCTCGACTGCCGGTGGGTCTGCATCGCATCCAACTCGTCCCCGTCATCGGCGAGCCCAACGAACAGGCAGTAGAACTTACTCTCGCCATCGTTCCGCCCAACTGCAATGTCGTCATTTGTAGCATCGATGGCTCCTTTGCTGCCAGTCTCTCTCTCATGGGGAAGGTGTGCTTTTTATTAACACTTGTTTTAATACGCACCTACCTGCATACGAATTAAACGGAAAAGTAGATTTGAGATCAAGTCAATGCACTGCAGAATGCATTGGCTTCACCTATTTCTCCAGTTATGATTCTATTTTACACACTTATTAGTTTGGACCAATTGGTGAAGGTAATTAAAAGGCAAGATCGCAATTTCACTGTTCAGTGTACTGTATTGGGTTCACTTTTGCAATTCCATTTGCACCGTTAGAACATGTAGATTCATTTACGAATGCTCAAATTTCATGTTACTTTACTTATTGTTTACATGACTGTGGTAATGTCGTATCATATTTGGTGTGTAATGCGAGTGACAGTCGTGTATTTTTACCCTTTAATTGGTCTGTTCTAAACACTGACTGCTAAACGCCTCTTGACGTTAATCCAGGAACTTCATACGCTCTTGACTTTATTTTGAAATCAACTTGAAATATTTTCTTTAGTATGTTTGCATGGCGTACAGCAAAAATATTTTTCTCTGCAGTGTTATCGTCAAATGGTATGTTCATGTCATTTGTCTTCTCCCCCTTTCACTCTTATCTTCGATTTCACCTTTTCCTCACGTATGTCGTTTGACGACAGCTTCCTTTCTAATTTGAAGTTTCTGCTTTAACTGAAGCAACACATGCGATCGTTTGAACCTGCACCTTCATTCGCCTCAGTTGACTTTACCCCACGAGGACTGAAATGCGAGTGTTTTTACAGCCTGTAAATTCACCATGTATCATGCAAAATACATGCGGTACACAGTTTCAAAGCTGCAGAATCCCACGTTCCATCCTCGAATTTGCACACTTTGATTGATTCGCCAAGGTCCACTGCCACATGCTAGGATAAAAGCAAATGCCTTTTGAATGCATAATTGAAGGAGCTATTTCGCACTGCATTGCACTGCCCATCTGCATGGGTGTTGGAATTTGTGTAGAATATTTTATGAATATTTGTGTTCGAATCTTTAAACAAACAACAAAGTGAATGGTTGTTTACTGTCACACCCTCAGTGGAATCTCATACAATAAGCACAGTCATACAGTGATTTGGTTAGAATTCGACTGTTTTTATAGTCGTTTTGGGAAAAAGCGGCACACTGATTTTTCATAGTACTACGATAATCAAGCAAATAACGTAAACCTACAATAATATCATGTTTAAATTCCTCGATTAAAATCTTTGAAAATTTAAAAGCGTTTGTTGGCAATCCCCTTTTAAAAGCGGGTCTTCGATGGAGAAATAATTGAAGCATAATCATTCAATGGTAGTCCTGTTGGAAGAATTATCTTAACTCTCGTCTTTCCTAATTCAGCGAAATAGGGGATATCCCAGAATGGAGTTAGCTTTGACCGTACTGATTAGACTGTCAACAACACGCATCACTCGACTGCTGATAAGACACTTTCAACTTATTGCTTTTACATAATAATACAAATAACGTGCTTTTTATTGGCAGGACTTCCCACTTTCCAGCTGATGGGATCTTCGACACAGGATTTGATGTGCGATGGATCTTGTGGATAATAGTAGGGGAGGGAAAAAAAATACGTTGGCTTGACTTAGATTTTAGAGGGGTACTTCCGGAGCACTTTTTAAAATCACGATGATGCTTACTTTGGTCTTATATTGAACCCTTCTCTCCGTGTTTACTCAGGATCCGAAAGTGCGACCGGGCAGCGTGGACATAATGCGCCACTGGTACGCGCTGGGCTACCTCCTCATCTACATTTCGGCGCGACCGGACATGCAGCACCGCCAGGTCGCCTCGTGGCTCGCCCAGCACAATTTTCCGCCAGGCCTCACTTTCTTTCTGGACGGCATCTTCACCGACCCTCTGCGGCAAAAGGCTCTCCTCCTCAAGTCCCTTGTTGAACAGGTGTGTTTCCCTCTCCTACTCTCTGCTCCTCTCCCTCCTCTCTCTCACTGGGAGTCATTTACGCTCATATTTACACTAGTTGCTCACTTTGATGCACTTTCATGAGTCACGATGGATACTTGAGGACACACTGGGCATGATATAGCATCGTTACCTTTGCTTTCATTTGGGATTTTGTTCCAAAACACGATTTGATTGATGTACTGGTCATCTAAACACAGTACTGTCGTGAAAGCTATGAACAAATCGGAAAAAAATACTGTTACCCAGACAGAAGTTGTTGAATTTGAATGAGAATAGCCATTGGAAATACATTATTGCTAGAGCTTGGTGGTATTCAGATCTAGGGAGATATTTTCTTTATAGTGGAACAATAATTTGCAATCCGAAGGAGTAGAATTTCTCGCATACTTCAAAAATCCGCTCCACGATAATATTTCCCTTGACTGTGCTATGACTGAAAGTGCTTAAAAGTGGTTTATTATTGAGTTTGGAGTATTTTATCTAATAAAATCCCTTTTTTTATATGGTGGTGCCAGGGTGAGGGATTTGGCCCACAACAGGACCTCGTATAGCTGAAGTAACACCCGAATACTATATTGGTTGATACGTTTTTCAGCAACATCCGAGTGTATAGTTCATATCCCACTGCCTTGAATAAATTTTATTGCCTTCATTTCCACACCATCACCTTTCACTGAATTAGAATACTCTTGGGAAATAAGATGCGCCACTTAGGCGATCACCACGTACTTTTCTTTAAGACTCGCAACGGATACCCTCCTTACCACTTCATATTTACACTAATTTAAAAAATGATTCACTCGTAGTCACGAATATTTGGGCTTTCATCCGCCATGACTTTGCTAAATTCAATTCATCAAAATTCTTGGCTGGTTCATTTACTGATTTTACCAAAAACTGCGGCTTAATTATACAAATAGTATTGTTGTGCTTGAAACAGAACCAACTATCCGTGCACTGCGCCTACGGATCGGCTAAGGATGTGCCAATCTACCGGTCCTTAGGTCTTCAAGCGCACCAAATATTTGCGGTGGGAAAGCTCTCTCGTCGTCAGGCTCTGGAAGCAACCGTAAGTCGCCTTTTCCTTCTTAACGAAGATTCCAGCTTCATCCAAACGTTTTTAAATTATCATTGAACTCTACGTAATTGTGATTGCGGCATATTTATGATCAATTCTGCCGACATACCACAAAGGTCTGTAGGGTTTTTAGACTTTATGGGATATTTTGTAGTATTTACGTGGATGTTTACATTACCCAACTTCAGCTGGATGAACAAGTTTGTCCTTCGGAGCATAAGTGGGGAAACCATCCTTTGTGGAAAACCGATTAGGAATGCGCCATTATGGCAATTCACTCACATCACTTGCAACTTGATGCCTATTTTGTGGCGAACTTTCGATTGTGCATGTTCTACATTTGATGTGCTGTTACTGTTCAGCGTCTCACCTCAAAAGTCCCCCTTCTTATTTTTTACAGCAACTTAGTGCTATTTGCTAAATTGATCAACATGACTTACACCTCACACAAATACAATTAATGGCACTAACATCTTTGAGTATTTGCTTGTTAATATTCATGTTGGTTTTGCAGCATATTTCTAATAAGTTTTGTTGGTTTTGGTTTGTTCACAAATAGTCTAGTTCTTATTAATTTACAGCCAATCCGAGAGGGTTATGCATTGCACTTCAAGGCGCTAATGAACCAGCAGCATCTCTCGACCCCGGCCACTGGGCCACTGAGTGCGGCGGTGCTGCGAAATGCGGCTGAATTTCTTTACTCCTCTGCCGCGTCGTCTGAACCGTCCGCTGTCATCTTTGATCTACCGGGAACGGGGAATGACGTTATACCCGTGTCCGTGCCCTCGTCCCCTCCATTACACCGCCGGTAGGCGATTGTGACAACGGCTTCAACGACGGCAGCACTAATTTATTCTCTCTTCCTCTTCCCTGTGATGTACCATGTCTGACTTCAATATGCCTCCTTTTATCTTCACTTAAAATACATGGTATATATACTCATATATTCCTCAATCTTTGTAATGTCACGCTTGTGACATCCTCCTTTTTGCCTTCCCCTCTTCGAGCCTCTCCGTTACCTCATTCTGTGTTCGTTTCCGCCCCATTCTGCGTGCATGTGTATGTTGCACCGTTCTCAATGCCTCTATTTCAGTAACTAGCGTGAGATTCCAGTTCCTCTTCTGTTGACCTTATTCTGCTCGACCTGTCGTTGAGAGGGTTTTTCCTTCATTGGTGAGGGGTGGGTTTCTGTCCTGTGGTTGGTTATTTTCATTTTGAGGGTTCTCTCTTTCACAGGGACTTTTGAGTTGTAGGCCGGTTCATAATTTGTCTGGTTTTTATGGTGTGTGGTTAGTGCACATCCAGTGACGGATAGTACTAAGTGGTGGTTTTGGTTTCGAGGCCAAGGTGCTGAGCTTTGACCCCTTTCCAGTTCGTAAGCAGTAGAATATTCGGATTAGGCTGCCACGATTCTGAGGGCAAATATGGTGTTTGCTCATAAAGTTTAAAGAATTAAGGCCTTTTTCATCGTCACTAGAATAAAGTTAAAACAATGCAGTGACTGCAATACAAGCACTTTAGTTTGTTATATAAATTTTGTAATTTTCCATGATGTTTTAAGTCTTATAGGTTAGGGCGCCAAATGGAGTAGGCCAATACGAGAAGCGTGGTTACTTGGTCATGGCTGATCCGACAAGTCTCGAAGCTGATGCTGATGACTTTATTAAACGAGCGCAACACTTCGAAAATGCGAAAGATTTCGATCTGGCAGTATTCTACTATGCTGAGGCAGTTCAGGCATGGTTGAATGCGAGAAATGCGGGTTCTACAAATCCTGATATTTTGACGCTTGCGCGTTCGTACACGAAACACGCTGAGGAATTGGTTGAGAAGAGAGGTATTTTCATGTCACTGTAATGGCCTTTTTAGATGCAGCGGGGTCGGCTGTGAAAGTCCCGCAGCAAAATGTACAGATTCCATTTATTTATATAACTACTTAGATGGAAGTTGAGCGGGCGAAATGCCTCCTCAATGAGGCACTGGAAGCAGATGAACAGGATAATACCGTAGACGCTCTCAATCTGTACAGTCAAGCTATCGAAGTACTCTTGAAAGTGGTATGTGATTTTAGCACTTAAAATTGTTCAGCGTAATGAAACGAACGATCGAGCTTTTCGTGAAAAAGTTGAACGATTAGCCAGACAAGCGCTAGAGAGGTAGATGTTATGAAAAGTTGCAACTTAAACTTTTTTGTAGGGCTGAGGCACTGAAGAGCGCTGTTAAGTCACCTCCACTGTCCAAAGCATCGTGTGCACGAACATCAAGCCACCGATGTATGTTCTGGTTTTGTGTTGTGTAGACCTGCCTAGTGTACACGATTTTCTCAACATATCTGTGGTTATAATGTTGATGAAATCAGATCTATCTACTTTCTGGTTGGTGCATATTTTGTACATATTCCTCATTTGTTTCTATGCTTCCTTCTTTTTGAATTGCAGAATTGAATTTATACTACGTTGATTGGTGTTCACATTTATTTTGCAGCTCGCAGTGGAGAAGGAGGGAATTATACAAGGAATGAGCTTCGCGTTTTGCGGAAAACGTCTACAATCAACGGCCGAGAGTATTTGCCTTTTCTTGACGTAGTCGACAGTCATGAGCGGTTCGCCTTTGCTCAACCGTTTATGTAAGACAAGCATATCTTTTTATTTATGATTAGTCTTGTGTAATGATAGGTTGTGTACATAGTTTTATTTATTCGAGATCCTCACATTGCTGTATGTATCTTTATCATTGGTTCAATAATCGGATTTAACCAGTCCATAAAATCAGTGAAAAATTTTATTTTGTGATTTTTATTTTAGGGATCAGCATGGGCTGATTGCTTTGTCTTCTAAACAGCGGTCTAGCTTCGTTAAGTGGGTGCGGCCGAGTGATTTTTTGAACGACCCGACAATGATTATCACAGTTTCCTGTTTTCCGATTCGTCAAACCTGTGTAACTGATTGTTCTTTTGTGGCCTCGATGGCTGTCGCTGCTCAGTATGAACGCAGGTTTAAAAAGCGTCTCATAACCAAGTACGTATTGTGCACTTATTACCCCCAATATCTTCTTCTGCCCTACCTTTATTACTTACTATGAAATATTCGTGCTTCAAAAGTCAGAAACATGTAATTTTAATTATGCTGTCGCCCTCTCAAACTCTCTTGATAAGTCATTTGTTTCGATCCGTTTTAAATGGTTTGTTTTCGACGCTTTATCTACATTTAAGTTAGTCTGCACATTAATTATCGTCCCAATCCATTTTCGTTCAATTGCAGCATTATTTACCCACAAAAAAAGAATGGTGAGCCCGTCTACAATCCATGTGGGAAGTACATGGTAAAATTGCACTTGAATGGTGTTCCTCGGAAAGTAAGTTCTTCGTATCGTCTAGCTCAGGGGTGCTATTTTTGGTTTGACAGCTCATTGGTGTCTCCGTTGCTTTTTGTGGTCGCACTTTTTATTGTTCGTAAATTTGTGAGGTTTATTGAATAACCCTCTTAAGTGCTGAACACGTTGGGTGGCATGCACTTGGGCTTTCTACTGACACCCTATTTTTTATGCAATTTAGATAATTATTGACGATCGGTTACCCATGGGCTACCACGACGAGCTGTTGTGCTCCTTTTCGACCAACAAAAATGAACTCTGGGTCTCCCTCCTCGAGAAAGCCTATATGAAGGTTATGGGCGGTTACGACTTCCCCGGTTCAAATTCGGTTGGTTTTATAACCGAAACCGCAAGGAATTTGCCTTTTATTGGCTTAATTTGTATTCTCTTTTGAAGGTGGTAACTAGTAGCTAAAATTAGGATAATCAACTACTTGAAGGCACGCTACGACACTTGATTAGCGTTGTCAGTAAAGTCACTTTTTCATACTGGCATTGGTGCTGTAGATTTAGCATTCATTTAAATTATTAAATGCCTCACATGTGAAATTTTTTTCTTAAGGTTACATCGGTTTGGTTATTGTATGTTAGGATTGTAGCATTTCGATAAAAAAAACTAAATATAAAAATAACATTCCTCAGAATATCGACTTGCACGCATTGACGGGCTGGATTCCAGAGCGCATCTCGATAAAGTCGAGCGGCACTAACGAATTCGATGCAGACCGCGAGTTTCGGCGTTTGGAGAAGCGATTTCACCGAGGCCATTGTCTGGTTACTGTAGCGACAGGACTGCTCACTCCGGAAGTCGAACAGCGCAGTGGTTTGGTTCCCACTCATGCCTATGCTCTCCTGGACATGCGGCAAGTCGATGTAAGTGTGAATACTACCTTGCTGTCTTCACACACGCACATTTTAATGACGCCAAAAATTCACCATCCGCCGTAGCATCGCTTGATAACATTGCATTGCGGAACCCATTAATTCGTACTTTTTGCGCTATCAACACTTTCCGATTCTGCTACTGCGAGTGATGGATTTGGCTCCGTACTACGAAATTTTAAGCCCAATGGGTATCATTGACCCAGAAAATTTACTTCAATTTTAATCTGTTCCATTTCAAAATTTGAGCATGGATATTGATTGAGGATAGAGGTGATATCCTTGTGCTTGTCTTGGTTGTGTCGCAACTTATGTAAGGATTGTCGTCTTCAAGCTTTAGAACATATACTGGGTGATTGTTTCATTATAGGAGGGAATATTGACATTAGTTTTTTAGGTTGCGATTTCACGTGGAATATCTTTGTATGGTGAGTTCTTACTCATGACGCGTTTAATATCCTCTGAGGCCTTGCCAGCTCTATTTTCCATGTGCTTCAATCAATCGTTGTGTTGCTTGTTTTGTTGGTAAGAGTGTGCTGCATCTCGTGTCACCGCCAGTTTTGGTGTAAACCAAAAGTACTTACTTGGCGCATTGAAATACGATTGCCATCCCTCTTTGGAAGTTGTTTTTTTGGTTGCTGAGCGTGTGGACCGCTCTGGAAATTGTTTGCCTCACATTTCTATGATTATTGTGCAATTTCTTGCTATCAGAATCCCACTTTTCAGGTTATGTCATTTTTCTTCCATACTGGTGAACGTTGCCGTATAATAAATGATTCTTTATAAAAAGTTTCTCACCTACTTTATATGTAATATGCACTAAAAAAGCGTTTTTGAAATTGTCGGATTATTCAGCGTAGAGAGGTGTATTTTGATCCAATCAAATTGACCTCTTAGCAAACAAGACTCCTGCTTCTCAAGAATCCATGGAGTCGAACACGCTGGAAAGGCAACTTTTCTGATCTGGACACCGAACACTGGACGCCCGAGATGCAAAGAAAGCTTGATTACGATCTGAATAGCGCTCGCTATGTAGACAATGGTGTATTTTGGATCGATTACAAATCGCTCCTTTACTTCTTTGACGTCTTTTATATCAACTGGAACCCCGAACTATTCCCTTACACCACCTGCGTTCATAGGTAGAGCTATTTTTTTTACCATTTCCAATATACATTTTTCTTGCTCAATTAGAAGAATCGTGGTATTTGGTTAATTTTTTATTTTGACATGCACCAATGTTAACAATTGAAGCAATATTTGTACCTCTGAGCTAAGATGCGATATTTAGTGGACGTTCAAAATGTTCTCAAAGTTCTTGAGGTAAAAGTGCTACGAAAAAATTTAATTATGGCATGAAGGTGGTAGAAGTAATTTTTGGAGCTTTCTTTAATTGTCAACAGTACATATAAGAGCTCGGTTACGCAGCTATTATCTACTATCTACAGGGTTTCCTGTGCCTTTTGCATTCATAGTGAGTGGTCCGCCTCTGAGGGACCGAGGAAAGACGTTTACTCATTTGCGAATAATCCACAGTATACTTTGGAGGTTCAGGCCAAGTCCCAAGCTCCCGTTTGGGTTCTCCTCACTCGCCACATTACTAACAAGGTAGCTGTTTTTTTCTTTTAATCACAAATGTCATAATTCGATAAAGTGTTATTTTGTGATTCCCCAGTGCCTACCCTCTTTGTATTTTCATCAGTGAGCATATCTTCACAAAACAATTTACTTTGAAATTACCTCCCCTTTAGGGAGTCACTCAACCCAGTGAGTTGATAAGCGGATAGCTGCGTGTGCGCGTCTGCCCATGTGTATGTTAGGCTTTTTCTTGCCTGTAGAATGACTTTGCGCACAACAACGAGTTTATTGGGCTAGTGGTATACAAGGACATTCAGAGCCGGAAGGTCTACCACCCTAACGACCCAGTGCCACTGAAGGACAGCGTACGCATCAACTCACCGCACTGCCTCATTCAACTAGTGCAGGAGCCGGGTAACGTTACCTACACCCTCGTGGTCTCCCAGTACGAGAAGAACGTTACCATCCAGTATACTCTCCGTGCCTACTCTACTGCTCCCATGCGATTCAGTCCCATCATTGATCCTTACACTGTTACCAAAACGGTAGGCTTTTTCCCCCTTCATGCGCATGTTTCTGTCAATCCATCTGTCTGTGCGTGAAATAGGCATCAGTTCTGGCCTGCTCCGATTTAAATTGTCGTCACTAGGACTATTATACCCCTCTCCTGTACTGCCGACTATATCGGTGTTTTTGTTGCATATACGTGCCTGTCGTACATGATTCTTTCTGCTAAGGTCATTCACATTTGCCTTTCACTCTTGTGGTGCTATTTTAAGCTCTTGAGTCATGATTAGAATGACAGCCGGTGTAACTGTGTGGATGCTAGTGGGTTCTTTTGTTGCTGTGCATTTGTGTGGCGGTGAGCGTTTCTGTCTGCGCCTGGGGTTAGCAACCCTTCGTCTGTAGTGACACTCATTAAAGGTGCCACTGTCACCACCTTCTAGACGTGTTAAAACGTGCTGTTAGGGATATAGGAAAAGGCTTGATAATGGAAGATGATTGAATTGACTTTACTTTTTTCAGGGTAATTCGCTTCAGCTCCAATCACTTCAATATTGAAACATCTTTTATCGTGTTACCTGATATCGTCTAATTAAAAGGAGCAGTTGAAGAAATAGAAAGTCACGAGATTTTATGTCAAGTAAACTTCGTGTCCTTTTAAATAGGTTTGTAGGAATGCCTTAATTGAAAGGTGTTGGGAAAGGCCCATCAAAGTTAAACGCATGCAAGATTATCTTTTTGCTGATTTTTTTAATTTTGTGCAACCTCAGGTATTTGTGTTTGAATTAAAATTTGCTTTGAAGTTGCATAATTCTTTACTACAGTGATGTCAATAAGATGTAATGATTATAATGACTGAAAACTGCTACCGTATTCACGTGTGGTCGAAATGAACCATTCTCAAATCTTTATGCCCTATTACTAACTTGTGCAGCTGATGGGACTTTTTCTGATCTTCAGACTTACCTGGCATGACAAAACGATCTTTATCTCGATTATCACATATGCGGTTAGTTGTACTTACTTGAGTCCAATACGAAATTCATAAAAATCGCTTTTACTAACCGATTCCGAGGATTGAGTTGATAGATCCTGTTAACCATTCGCAGTTCGAAATGCTATCGCAGGAAGTTCGGAATCGATACTCCACACATTTTTGCGTAGTAAAACACTGTTGGGAGTGCGGGAGGGCTAATTTTCGATCTTGGATCAAGCTAGCGAGTCATCCAACTATAGTAGTCTTTTCATTTGAAAGCAAGAACCAAAAGTGACTTTTCGAATGGTTACTTCTAGAAAAGCTAAAGTTGAAAAAAGGTTCAAGCTAGGTATGTCGAAATTTGAACTTGTTGCACGAAATTGACATATCGTTACCTGAAGACATGTTTGAGTTTTATGAAAAAGTTATCTGCGTTGTGCACACGTGAGATTCAGATTGGAATAACTTTTCTATGCAGATTTTTCATTTGTAGACAGCCATACCGCTATGGTTTTTTTCTGATGAAGGTGCATGAATCTATAGCTCATTCCTCTGCTTTGAGCAACACTGTGCTCCTAAATTGTATCCGTCAACTGATTTTCTGGAATATTTACGGCAGATGAAGGATATTGTTTCGCTAGACGATCACACCACTTCCATGATTATGCTATTAAAATTGACTCGGTGCCTCTGCCATGTAGATGAACGGAGAGTGGAAGGGCGAGACAGCAGCGGGATGTCAGAACTACGCCAATTTCCACAATAATCCCACTTTTGAGTTGGTGTGGCCGAATAACGAGGCGGATAACCAGGTATTGGTGGAGGTGCGCGGCCCGCGCGACTTTGCCATCGGGTTCACATGGGACGTCGTGAGCCTTACTAACTCTTCGCCCCTCAACACTGCGCGCTCCCTCTCCACCGGCAACTATCGGTGCGTTTCCCTTCCCCTACCCTCTGCATCACGCTTCTCCCACTCCCTATTTGCCTTACGATAGAAACTGTCTTGTTAAATGAAGTTATTTATATACTTGTTTTTAGTCGAGGCTACACCATGCTGGAAATGGCGGGACTGTCGGGAGGACGGTATAAAGTAACAGTGGCGACCTTCGAACCGCTCCAAGAGGGTCCCTTCATCCTCTCGGTGAAGAGCACTCGCCCACTGACACTCTCTCGGCTTCAGTAAAACGTGCGCGAGCACGTGCACTCGCATGACGCTGTATGCATGTGCGTGGGCGAAAGTGCTGTGCTTTCATTTTCCTCCTCCTAGTGCTGTGTTGCCTGGACCCGATGAATAGGCTCTCACCTGAGTTCCTTTTTTAATGCTTTTTATTACCGCTGAAGCTAACTTATTATTTTTTGAACTGCTGCCTGCAATAACTTCTCGAAATGACTGCATTGTTATTGAATATTGATGCCCGGTTTGACAAATATTGAGAATCGCAGTGTTGGTGGTGCGTGGCCGTCTAATAACATTCATTAGATCAAGTTGGCGGGAACTAATGCAAATTAAGTATCTTGGATTCGTCGTTGATGTCACTACCTTTGTTCCCGATTAAAACGCGAAAAGTCTGACTACGGCGGTGGGTGGGTGGAGTTACGCACTAGATGCTTGGTGTTTCGGGTTTCCCTTGCGTGACGGCAATCCATACCAGCGTAAAAAAAATCCACCGGGAATGCGCAGGGAGCTGGAGGACTGTGCAGTGTTGGGAGGCGGTGCCACCAGGTTAGAGCACAACTATGGATGTGGACCTTACACAGCTGAATTTATGGTGAAACAGAGTATCAAATCATCCCTGGGCAGCATTCGGTGGCGCGTTCAGTCAATAATTTTTTGCCAGATGAAGAGTGTATTCCCGTAGCCTAGCTATATACGGGGATTTAGCCGGAACTATCAGCCTTGAAGAATCAAAAAGGGGCAAAGCTAATGCAAAATGAAAAGTCTAAGAATCAGAACAGCACTATCGTTTCTACTTTGATCTTCGGTTCGATTTCAAGGTCTTTCTCATTCTGAATTTATTGGTGATATCAGCAAGGTAGAAAAGCAGTGGTTTAGTTTCGAAATGTATTTTGATTCGAAAAAAGCACGAACTTTGGTATCACCTGTGGAAGGAGAACCCTTTAGAATGGTCAAGAATGCACTACTTCTTACGAAGCCTGGTGTGGTACGCTGGTTGTTTTGGTTCTGGCTTTAATAAAGAGGCAATTTGAGTGCTCTGCTATTGTCTGCTGGGAGGGCCAACCTCTGGACCATGCCAGTGGCTCTAGTTTCTACTGTATGTCGAATACATATTGTAGTACGATCCTCGTTTATCTTTTCCTGGCCTTCATACCCTTAGAACGGAGAGGATGATTGGAATAAGACATAGTTATTGGTTAGCATCAATGGGCATAGGTGCAAGTTAGGAGGATGGGGACACTGAGCTCTTCACTGGTTCGGAAAATGTTGATCACTCCTCAATCACGAGGCTCGAGTAGACTACCTGCTTCTTCTTTAAAAGGTAAATTTAATCAATATAAGTATTACATATTCTGTCCGAGTATTATTGTGTTCTTTCGTCTTTAGGGAAGACCCGGGCACTACATAGGTGACAACGGAAAGCTAACCCGATCTTAAAGCCCATTTATCCCGATTTGGTGATAAACCCTAGCTGTTCGGAAGAAGGGCGATTACCTCGAATGGGAGGATCGATGACGACTCATAACAAAAAGGACCGGAAATGGCGCCCGTCTTTGCTACCTTCCTTCGTCCCGTGCTCTGTAGGGAAGTCATTAAAAGATGTTAACCATCTGGAAATGTTCGTTATGGCGCTGTCTACCGTATCTGCAGTAGATATCAATGAAGTCCACACGCGATATTTCCTTCACCTCTGCAAGAGCTGGTAGAACCCAGGTAAATATGGCTGGAAATCACTCAAATGAAGGGAGAAAGGTGGCAATGAGGAATGGAAGCGAAGCTCTAGCTCCACGGAACTGCGCCAAAACCCGTCCATTGTTATAAGGCCTTGCTTTTAGGTTGGTATTGGCATGACTAGCTATAAACACGCGTAATGGCCAACGCTATTCCCCTCTCCCGAGACCAGTTCCTATTCAGAACGAAAGTGGAGACCCAGTTGAATTGTCCTGAGGAATCAGCGAAGTTCCGTTCAAGTATCTCTTCAGTTGCACACAAATTTGATGATTGACAGTTGGTGAGCGAGTGTTTCCTTACAGCACCTAATGAGTTTAGATAGCTAACACAGAAGGTTGACCAAGAGGAGCGCTGGGAACTACGCTCAAAAGAGGAGAGAGCCTGTGTGATTCGTTACCTCCATGTTTAGCACTTGGTTTTAGTAAAAGACACAATTTGGGTCTCCGCAATTGTGCCTCCAGACGGACTGGCCTTCGGTTCATGTTATTAGCCCTAAGTCATAATGAATACTAAATATATATGTGTTCTGCTAGAGAGTGTTTTTTTTGCCTTCAAGGGAGTCTATGAAATGCCACATTAGTATTTTTATAATGTTTCAGATTAGCATTTTCAAATTTAAGCAAAGACAGCAAGCAAAATTACCTTAAAAAATTTCAGACTGACGGATTCTCAAGCAAGTGTGTTATTGCTCTCAGAGTTAACGTAACAATAAACCAAATATAAATATTTGAAGTCTCACTACATATTACAGGATTGGGACCTGACCAAAATGCAAGTGACAACATTATTATTTGTGCTATGCTGTGATTTTTTGCGCATTTTGCCTAACCTAATTTTTTAAACTTACAAAAGACAAATTTAACGTTTTTTTGTTTGTTCCTTTCAAAGCTGCAGATTTGTGTCAACTTACAACTACGCGTCTATTTGGTTTTCGCAGTAGTATAGTTTATTGGTGCCTAGTTGTCCAGTCCTCCTAGAACTTTCCTTTCAAATTGCCTCGTGTAGGGGCAGTTCATGTGTTTTAAAGTAATTGTCATCCTATTGCAGAAAGCGTAGTGCCTCAAATGCGGATACGCCAGTTGGCCCTCCAAAGTTTTGGTTAAATCCAGAATGTACTTTGACGACAAAACATCGGAAGGTAAATAAAAAAATCTAATAGCACATATTTTAACTTAAACTCTTTTAGTTGAACGTTTTGAACTTGTTCCTTGCAGCGTATGTTCGCGAAAATTTCGGGCTGATATCATTGTAGGTTTCTACAAGATGTGTATGGTTGTTTTTTAGGAAAAGCATGAAAACATTTGCAAAAGAGCTTCTAAGCGAAAACCAAAGATATTTGACAGTGGTAAAATGAGGGCGAGGGGCACAGGCATTCCAATCAGTAAAACAATCCGACCAGGGGAAATAGTGCCTCGTGAACCCAACAAAGACGAAAGGCTAATAAGAGCAGAAAAAAAGCGCGATAACTGGCGAGTTAAGCACAGGGAATTTATTAACACAATAAGGTCTGCAAAAGCATACCAAAATGCAGTGTCCAAAGGTGGCTCTGCCCTTCCGTATCCAGTGGCTCCTCCCACAATCGATCCAGGTAAACAAAGTTTTTTTCAGAAACTGATTAGTGGAAATTTTGTTAAGCTGAGTTTTTGGCAACCAACTTGCCTTTATGCAAATTACTAAAGATTTTACAGCCATTCCCCTATAAGTTCCAAGTAGTATCCACGATTAGAAACTAAATAGCATTACCTCATAGTAATCGAGCCTATGTGGAAAAAATTATTGTTCCAGGCTTGATACCAGAAGTACTTCCTTGAATATAGGTTTTTAAATAGATTTAAATTTAATTGATTAACTAATTTGTACTTTAATGCGACTGAATCCTCAGTGTATCCTTATCTGATGATAAATGTACAAAGTATTTTTTTAAGTTTCACCTAATACCACAAACATTGTACGTATATTTTGACAGGAACTTCAAATTAGGTGCTATATCCATATTCTTGTATAACGAATCTCATGCTGTAAATGTCACTTTCACTGAAGCATTATATTCCAAAGGTTTCTAGGGGCAGGTTTGTTCCGGAATACCTTATGATTTAAAATTTCCAAGACTTGAAAAGCAAGTATGTGGAGTAAAATTTGCTTAGACTCTTAGCGCGTCACGAATTGAAGCGGTTATTGATCTTATCATCTCCTTTGAAGTACCCATGAGTGACCTAAATTTTGACAAGATTTAACATGTTTAGCCAGTTTAGGCCCCTATAACATACTTTTTAGTAATTTTTAAACTTTCTTACCACTACCAGATCTTATCCAGTGCCAGTACTGCAACAGAAGATTTAATGAGAGTGCGGCAGAGCGTCACATTCCTTTTTGTAAGGAAAAATCGGAGCGTGAAAGGATGAGGCAAACGACAAACAGATCAACTAAAAGAGTGAGGTGTATTTTCTGCCTTGTAATCCTGCTAAAATTATGCATTTTTTCCGCAAAGGAGGATTATTATAAGTTGAGACAACTCAATAAAGTGAAAAGTTATGGAGCTTGCACACTCAAGGATGTGTATGAATGAAAATGCAATTTTAGGTGGCAGCACAGAGTAGTAAACCATGGTCTTCACTGTGAATTGAATTTATCTCCGCTGCAATTAAATCTCAAATATTCAAGTGCAAGTAATGGTCCAAATAATGCACACTGGTTGTTTTTTGTAAAAATAAATGATCATCTCGGTTATTTTATGCACCAAAGCGAATGACTCGTTCAAGTTGTAATGGGGTAATCGGCACGCTTAATTTATTTCATATTTCATATAGCAGGTTAATTTTAACTCAAACAATGTGGAATGCCTCCCTAGATTCCAGTGTTTTGGTAGCTTCTGAATGCCGTAAGTGTCTGCTACGCATTAACAACTCATGCATTATGAAGCAGAGTTATACCAAAACAAAAGCAGTTGTAGGAGAACGTAGTATCACGGCTTGGTTGCTAAGCAAATTGCCTTAGTGACTGCTTTCAAAACCAAAATAAATATCATTGAATAAAAACGGACCGTTTGTACGTTTCTGCAAATTCTTTAGCCTGATCAAAAACCCATTGCTGCAATGAACAGCACATACCAACGGAAAAACGATCAATTGGGCAGATCAGTGACTCAAAAGCCGTTAAAATCCCCGGCTATATCGAAGAGTGGAAAGGGAGATGGTAGGCTATGTAATTCTCTGTAGTCAAAACCTTAGATTATAAGTAGATTTTGCAGTCGCCAAATCAAAATCACTGATAACTACTTTTGCACAGTGTCGCAGAGTCGTATGTCATTCATTTTTGAAGGTTATTAAGGAGATTGAAGTGTGGGTAAAATTCTCAAGTTTTCTAAGATTTTTTGCATTCATCTACTTAATGTGATGGTGAATTATGGTTAGGCTAAAACTACTTTTAACTTTAGCCTACAAATGTGTTGATGTGATGGTCGGTGTTGTAGAGAAGGAAAACATGGTAGAGGGAATGAGATTAGGCATTGTGAAATAATTTTACACGATCTAAAGACCATGGTTTTCATGTGCCCTCCTGACATGTGGTCTCACAACAACAATGGACTATTTAAAGCTCTACTTAAAGTAGTTTTAATTACCAAACTCTGTTTTGAAGACTAGAAAGGGCTCAATTAAGGGTACACAACCAATGGGTCAGTGTACTACGGCATTTGTCCATAGTCTTAGCAGAGTGAATGCCTAAAAGTGGGACGAGTTTTATGGAATTTAACGCGTTATTATCAATCGACAATGATAATATCGACGACGATGTGAATCAAGTGTCTTCTTTCAGGTTCGCTGTCGAACACAACTCGGAGTCTTGAGTCTCCTACTGCTATTAGGACACCAACGAAAAGAGTAAGATAGGTATTTTAAAAAGAAGTGTCTTCTTCTAAACGAATTTTAAGCATGAAAAGTTTTTAAAGTTAGCTATGAGTTTCGTCACTTCGCACAAAAACAGTTATTTTGAGAACCGAAAACATTTTATTCGTTATCACTGATTTTATGAACACAGGTACTTTTTGAAATGTATTTTGCGTAATTCGTCAAGAATAAGTAGTTTGTAGACCCTTTTGTCATGTATGTATTTGGTTTTAATGAGGCGTGAATAAAAGTGAATCTGAATTTAGGTTGCATACCATTTCCCAGAAGTCTTTAAGAGGTCAAATATGTCCTTTTAAGCCTAGTTCTCGAGCCTCATCACAAAAACGAAGTCCCATGCCATCTGCAAATGCGGAAGGAGGCGCTAAAAACCACAGCAGGTATGGTGATTTCAATTCAGGATACTTGCACGACAAACCTCACTCGCCTCCATCGTCCTCTGGACCCGAAGATGCTTGCAACAGCACCTTTGATGTGGAAGACTCACAGCATCAGCTTTTAGATTACGTAAATACATTAAAAAGTGATACAAATCTGTCAGAGACCCAACCTTGCATGCCTGGGGATGACCATCAGCTTCAGCGTTCGCAGTCGTCTCATTCAGTCAGAGGTGCGATTTCTCGACACTCTTCCCTCAACACCAATGGCAGCACTAGAAATATTTCCTCGGGTATTCCAAAAGATCGTTCGCCTCCCTTAAATAATAATTCTGCTTTTCTCAACCAAGCAGTGACGCTTCGAACTGGACGAACTTACCAGCACTACATGGACGCTCAAGCCTTTAGCAAGAACTTGGTAAAATCTCAGTCTCCACTTAAAAATAACGCGAGCAAACCTGTTAGTTGGCCTAAACGTGTTGAGCCACGGATGCCTCCACCACTAGTACCCGAGATTGCATCGATAAACTTCAGAAAATCTTCAAGAATTCATAATTCCCACACCAGCAGGGTAACCGGTTCTGGTTCGTTTGGAAGTCGAATTGATCTTGATCGAGTTGATCGTATTGGAAATAGAGAACAGATATTAGAAAGCAACCATAAATTTGGAAAGCCCAATCCTCGTTGGGTGTTACCAAGTGGCATCCCTGTGAGGGCGACGTAAGTGATCCCGTAAACTACAATTTCGGTTCATGGCGTTGCCGAAAAGGTGCGAGTGTTAAGTGCTGCGTTGCAGTTTGTTACAATTTTCTCTTGTTTGTTGCATCATTGTTGTAAAATTTGGATATTTTAATGTATTTGTTGCAATTTTCCCCTAAAGCAACATGGCTTCCAGACGCGAGCCTTTAGCTGGACGACAGAGTTCACAGACTCGAAGAACTAACAGGGGGTTCTACTGTCACGAATGCGGTGCAAAATTTCCGAGCACAAGTGCAAGGTTTTGTCCTGACTGCGGTATCAGGAGAATGGCTGTTTAAATACAACATTCTTAACAGGCTTTGAAAGTGTGGAACTTTATACTTTGTCTCTCATTTCTCCCTTTAACTGTCCTGTCTTACTTCTAGAGTCAAAACCAAGACAACGATTAATATACTTGTTGTAAGTTGGGGAACACGTCTTCTTGCAGGGGACTGAAAAATGCTTGCCCATAAAGTGAGATATAGCATTGAATTTATAATTCCGGAGTTTGTATAAGACAACAAAATTGGGACTGGTAATTTACGCAGTAAGTCAAAAAATCTGTAGGCATTTTCATTTTCATGTAGTCTTCTTAACATTCTCTGAAGTAGTAATAAGTCGCGGTGGTAAGGCAAAATATACCACTCAGGTACAGAGTTTCTAAGGGGCACTAGCACGGCCCAAAGTTAATGCCAAAGGGCGTAAATACCGAGAGCGCGGTCCAAAATCCCCGCATCGTTCAGCACGCAGTTGGATAATATCAACTCGCTACGATGTAGTTGTACTATAGCAACTCTTCGTCTCTCGCAAAGTTCAATATTTGCTGAGAGTACTCTTGGGACGAACAATATTTGGTAGGGAAAGTGATTTTTTAGTTGAGACGTATGGTGGTACCTCACTGGTTATCAAGGTGTGGAGGTGAATGGAGCCTGTTGCTGCTTCAGAAAGAAAATCAAATCCATGGTCAAGTAATTACCATGGCCTGACTGCTTTTCACCTAAGAGCTATATCTAAACCTATTACCTGCATCTATAATAAGTGTGCTGAATGTTGAAGTAGAATAGCATCAACATGTACTAGAGACAAAATATTTGTTTGACTGGCGCAAACCACTTTTATTGTTGCAAAGTTTCAGTTCTGGTGCGGTTGAATGAAATTTCGGCTGCTAATATTAGTGAAACGCATCCAAATCTAGATGGTTTAATCCAGTTTCATAATAATAATCCAAATTCATTTTGAAAGATGTGTGAGCAAATAGGCATTCATTGGATTTGCTCACCTGCATAAAACTGATCTGCTCTGCATTTCAAGAAATTGTTACAATCTTCCCCCAAAACCGGGGTTATTTTGAAGCTGTTTCGTAGTGTGTCCCACTCAGCCCTTATGTTGGAGAACGTGTCTAGAAGGGATGATCATTGGGGTCCTTCTATGTTACTTGGAGTTCATTTTGTATTTAGGGACAGAGTTGTGGTCGTCCCCGATATTCCATCCAAATTCACAGATCTGCAAGTCCTCAGACGGCACCACGAGGTGATTTTCTTTAAGATCTAAACTCCCTTTCCAGATATTATCGAAACTGAGTTCATTATGGGTTGTGCTTTTATTTTCCTGACTTTTATAGTGTTCGTCTGTCTTACGGTGACTTCAGGTTTTGAAATCACAACTTTTTAAGTTGGACATCAAGAGGGATGCCACATATGATGTGTCATAGGTCATGCTAATTACCCATCTAGTTCTGCTTCTAATTGTCTACTTGTACATATTTTACTCTACATCACATTAACTATGCTAGGGTGTATCGTACATGATGTGTGCTTCCTTCAATTCATCCAAGGTGTGTTATATTAAGCATTTTTCTGAGCCTTCATTTTAGATTGATAGAATGGATCTGTTAGCTCTGGCACCTTATTTCCATGTATTGGATTCGGGCGTTTTTCTAAATAGTTAATATTGCTGCGCGTGCTTGAGTATTTTATAAATCGGAGGCACATTCTTTTACTAGTACAGATTCTCAATTTTATCTTACCAGCACTTCTATTGTTAGGGTATTTAGTGAGCATTTTAGCAAATGTTCACACAGTTAGTGTGTTGCAGTGTACTGGATATATAGTTTCTAAGGTTGGTCATTTGAAAAACGTGCTTCGCTGTTTATGTCGAACCATTCCGCGATTTTCCTAATAGAGTTTAGAGGGGATAAAGCACTGCTAAAAAGCAACATCCTAACACGCTTCCTGGCTTATTGTTTTAGTATAATTTTGATTTCGAGAGGGAGGTATTAAAAGGTTACGAAGTTGCCGAGCAGCAGGAGAGGCGAAAATTGGAAGAAGATAATGCAAAGAGGGATCAAACCATGCTGCAACCTACGCCTCACTTAACCATGTTAGAACCCGAGAAAACTGCTGTTACTTCAGACGGGCCTGCGTTATCTCAGCCTCAACCGCCGTTGGACCGTTCCCTGGTGGAAGACTTCGAGGTTCAGGGACCGCGAGATGATCCGTTCGTGGCTGCTGAATTGGGCACGATTAACGATCTGGAAGAACTGCGGGATGTTTTGGCATCGATGCCAATGCCTGGCATCCTGGATGCTGACAATAAAAAACAGCACATGTTTAGCAGCCTCAAAGACATCAACTTCCCTCGCCTCTCTGTCGACGAGGATGCACCGAATCATGCTCCCTCCTCTGCACCCACTTCACAGCCGAACCTTTTTCCGCACTCTCCTGTGCAGGCTTCTGAAGAACCACCAAAGTCATCGACAGAGATTGAGACTGAGTTCCGTATTTCTCAAATCAGTGGAACGGTGGACTCTGACCTGTCTCCCTTCCGGAAAAGTGTCAGCCCTGTTAAGTTTGACATTGATGACGAGGTGTTCAAACCAAGGGATCTAGTTACTGACAGTCGGCCATTGCTTTTGGAAAGAGTCGAGCATAATTATGACGGAGACTCTAATTCTGTACCTACACGAGTGAGTCACCACTCCTTTTTTGCAAGTGCTCTTAGGTTAACCTATACTTTTAAAAGTAAATGATAGGCTTTTTTGACGATACCCCAATTGCTTTTTTGAATGTAGAATATGGCAGCTAAATCACTACCGTCATCATCCCACCCAAACGCACTACGTATACCTATTTCACCGGATGCAGAAGTGAAGCCGAGTCTACCAGACTCTCCTATTGCGTCTGAATATGCTATCGTGGGCCATGTCGATGACCCTCCTATTGTACCTCGACTGGTGAAGATGGGCTTCAGGCGTAGCAAAATACTCGCTCTTCACAACACCTATATCCGAGGTAAAGGTGCGTTCTTCAATTTCTTTTACTGCATATCATACGCATATAAGTAAAATATGCCCACATTTTTCAACACTTTTGCATCTGCTTTGTTGATTAACACATGCCCTGTGTCTCAGCCAAAGAGGTTTTTGCGGCTATGCTATTATCACCGGCAGATTCTTAAATACCCTTATCGCCCCATGATAAATCATTGTAGTTTTAACGCCGAAAAACTCTTCTGCTTCTCCGATGAAGTCATTTGGTGATCCCAATTGTGGTAGAGATTACTGGCCTATCGCAATAAGTGATTAGGTGTTTTTAAAACTTAAATTACAGTGCATGTACAACGGAGAGATCCCCAGTGTTTTATGAGTAGCTCTTGAACTCTCCTGCTCATCGCTAAAACGGTGACAGCGTTGATTTTTCTTTGCTCATTTGATGTAACCATTATGATGTAGTCTATCCATCTTTATTATTATTCTTATTTCCTTGCACAATAGTAATGAAATTGCAAATTGTATTTACTTGAGGCGCTTCAAATTAATAATGACACATCGAGGTTGCTGTGTTTCTTATCCAGATGATTTAGACGATGGCACACTGATCACGCAACTTTGCAATTGGACTGAACTTGAGGAAAAGGGTTTTAAGGAAGAAGTGAGTAAAGCCGCGGTTATTTTCTCTCCAGATGACTTTGGCAAAGTGAGTTGTGTTTGCTTTATCCGATATTTTTTTCGAGCTGAATCATGCCCGGTTAGCATGGTTATTGAATTGTAGACCTGTGAAACCCCTAAATTTATGCACGGAATGGACGATGATTGATTTGAGTTCCCTGGTTTTCATTGACCTGTGATCAAGTGCATTGGAATGTTTTAAATCACTTATTCTATAAGCTTTGATATAGCCAATATTTCAATGCCGTCTGATAATATGTACCGATGTAACTGCATTGGGTCGTAACACTTGCACTCAAATTAAGGTTCGTTTGGATCAAGTGGGGAACAAGTAGCATTTTTCACTGGCGCGTTCTGGCTACTTTTTGGCTCATTTTCTCATCTCAGTTATCTCGGCAAATTGCTTTGGACTCATGCAACCGCATCTAGAAAATGTTACTTTTATAATATCCTTCTCAGTTTTGTAAAACCCTTCCATCGACAGCACGATTCTTTGTTAGAATTTGATTCGTTTATGGATTAAGTCTATGCCTCTGTTTATTTTTGTAAACAACAATTAAATCTAGTTATTTTCAATTTTTCATAAGAAAACTGGATGTTCCTTTGAACAGTAATTCCTAAGTTTTAAATCCCTATTTCAATGCCGGAACCCTGACTGATCAAATCTACTTCATAGGCATCGGAGTTTGCCACGATGGTGTCGGAGCTGTCTGAGATGGGCTTTCCACTAGACTCTGTCATTTTGGCGGTACAGTCATCGGGAATGGACAAGGAAGAAGCGGTACTGCGTCTTCTGGACCCAGGAAAGCATTCTGATGTCACGTCTCCCGGCCACGCATCAAATAACATCGGATTTTCCCAAAGCAATATCGTGGACGCAATGACTAGACCAGTTGGGAGAAAGAGCAAGAAAAAAGAAAAGAAGCCCCATCCCTCATCATATCTGCATACAAGGCACTAAATGAAGGCCTACCTTTTCTTAGTCAGAACGAATCCATGTCTTTCAATCATCTGTGTGTCTCACCCAATTTTTTGTCTCCGCATTCGCTCGGTTTTGATTTTCCGCCTTTCTACATTGAAAAGCATTTTATAATGCCAAGGTGATCGTTATCGATACACCTTTTTTTGTTGCCACTCCAACACTTGTAAATAGAACGCAGAATTATTTGTTGATTTATATGCCTTTAAACGGGCATTTGATCATATTTAATCAAATGATATTAGTTATAATTATTGATGCAAAAGAGTATCCTTAAAAGCGGAGTTGCGTAGGTGTAGCAGGACGGACTTTAGCTTGATCGTGCTCCCAGGCTCTAAGTAGAAAAAAAAACAAGGTTGAACGTATAAACAGCATTTAACAATGTACAATGCTAGAAAAGGGGGTTATGGATTGGCGTGAACCAAATGCGGTGGCGTTCAATCCTCATTAGAGCCTGAGAGGTTCAAGCCTTTGCAGAGTAGGCGACCGTTTTTGTTTTTCGCAAATAACATCGGAGGACCGGTCCTTACACTCTTTTGGAAATCCGAAACTGTGCAAGTACCGTTAGTTACGGGTGAAATAAAGCCAATGCCAGCATCATTGGTGCAAATTTGGGAAGAGTTTGAGGGGAGACGGGGAGTTGAGGTGCGGAAGTGTTCTAAGTTGGCATGGGGGACGGTCGAATCAAGACGATTCATTTGATTGTGAAGGATTCTATCGAGGGTTGAACGAAGCTTTTTACATTCCTTGCAAACGACTAGATAGTCATCCGTCTGAACTGCCGTATTCGTCTAGAAGGGTAAGAAGAAAAATGTGGAGAATCCATACATTAAGACGTTGGGGTTAACATGTGGATACACAGAACCTTTAAAGACCAACGCAGTGGATGTTAAACGCCATCCCATAATTCATAAAATCTTGTAGTCAAGATTGCCAAAGTTGAAAGACCTTATGCATAGATGGGATCGTGTTCAGTTAGTTTAAAGGTCGTTAGAATAAGTAATAATTCAGTAATTTGCTTCACGAATTTCCGCAAATAAAGATTCAATAAAATACATAGAGTTTATAAAGACCAAAAAAATGTTAACCCGCAAGAATATGTACAGTGTTAATAAACCATTAAATCTCAGGTATGCACACTATTGTAATACTTTTTTGTGCTTCTACCCGGTGCTATGGCCTTCGAGCCATGCCTGTGGCCCCTCAGCACTTCTATATGTCGACAATACATTTTGTCTTAGCATTATGACTTCTTTCACCTTCAGCAATGATTTAGGGGGCTACAATATGAACATTTATAAGTCCTAACTATTCCAAATGTGGCCGACTCATATGAATCGGAGTTATAGATGGCAAGACCACCATGAATACACTATTCCATTGTTCAGCGGGCGCCTAGGCGACAGATTCAATGTACGTGCGCAAGTGCTGCAATCGGGAACTTTTGTAAACAACGATTAAATGCATTTTAAGCCAAAAGCACTGCTTACAAAATGATTAGGATAAGGATTCGAGTACCTTATACAAGTATGTTAGCCGTATCGGTGACTCGAACCATGAAGATCAAGCCATTGTGGAAAGTACCGTAAAAATGCTAATCTTTAGGTTAACTTAAGTATAAAATAATGAAAAGCGATTCACCATGATCGTATTAAAAACAATTTTCACACTATAAATTAAAATGTCCATTTACTGGGAAATTACTGAAACTCTATGTTCCATACATTGTAGCCAAACTTATAAATTTATCGACTCACTGAGGGAATATTCTCAGTCTGTATGGATACAGACTGTGCCCGATCCTTTCGTACGTTACCACCATCATCACGACAAATTGCCAGTGGTGACCAGTCCTTTGTAAGGTCCGCGATTAGGGAGCTAGATAAACTTCCATTCCTCCTTTCTCCAGCTCCAGAGTGTTTTGACTTATCGGCTTTATGACTGGCGTATAGGTTACCAAGCAGGCGGTCATCTTCAAGAATACCTAAATGACTTTCTGCTAAGAATGGGGACCGACAGTCATGAAACAGAGAACGACAATCAGCCACCCTTCCTGTGAGATCTTGAATGTGGCTAAACGGTTCAAGATAATTTGAACTAAGGGGGTCATTATTTGGAAATCGGGAGGAAGGTGAAAAGACGTTTTTTGGTGGAGTGGGTTCGTGAATGGGGGAGGCGGTCTCGAGATAGGGCCGATTTCGGAACCGCCAACAATGCCAATCAGAAGAATTCCTCGGCAGAAGTCCACTTTGACTACTGCAACAGAATTCAATAAATTAAAATAATATTAACATTATTTCTGAATTCAACTAGTAAGCTGGGAAAATCATGATAGAATCGATAAAATCACATAAAATGACAGTTTAGCTAAATTACATAAGATTACCGATCCACTTTAAGCACTGATTCCAGAAGCTGAAACAATACCAAGTGGGTTATTACTGATTCAATGATCTACCAATTATTAAACCAGTGATGACCAACTGACTTTACGATCTAAAATTGAATGCAAAGATTTTCTAAAACACAGCCATAACTATGCACAGCATGGTTGTGATTTCAAGTGTGAAAGAAAAACTTCTGTGGCTAATTACATCGGCATTCGAAGCTGATTTTCTCATTTACATAATACATTGACTCCCATTCATTTTGTAGCATAAAATGGCCTTAACGTAGGTTTAAAAATCCTCGAAACACTAACCTGCATGTCGAATATCCCGTGGGGTAAGAAGATCCTAAGGGATTTCCGGGATGATTAAAATGACTGGTCGCATGGAAGGGGTTCAGCCAAGTTTTACGGGAAGTTTCATTGCAATTGCAATTAAATGAGGCACTACAAGCGCTTGACGAAATATGGGGTTGGTCATCTTCATTATCCGACGGTTGTGCCAACAAAGCGCAATCATTAATAAGTCGTGAAAACTTTGGTCGCTGATGGATATGAGGAATGAAATGAGCTTTCAATGTAAAGTGAAATAAAGTTGGCCTACATAATTAGATATTTGTTGACTGCGGAATATTTAAGTTTTTATTACTAAAAACCCACGAAACTGCCAATTACTCAGTATCTAGTTTGGTTAAGCTGAAATGGCCATAGGATAACTTTCACCTAAATGGTAAGAAAGTTACCACATTAATGGACAACTCAATATCACATTTAATCTAATCAAAACGAAGCAAAATAATGGCAAATCATTGACTTAGCTGTATTTTACGATCATGAAGTTTAGTTGTGAATCTACGGAGTACTGTTGGGTAAAATTGAACGATCGTTAGCAAGTGCCGGTAAGTATTAATCCTGCTTTGAGACGTATTTAATAAGACTTTTATTACTGATAGAAATTAGTATTTCCCAAAAGTTTTTGGATTCTTCACTAACAAAATCGCTTCATTCGATTTCATAAGGCACATCAAACCAAACCTCATTAAATTGATCTGAACTGCTGTAGCTACAACGATGCTGTGGGGTTAGTTCGGATGGCATCAGTGAGCAATCTAGTGGTTTCTGATCATGAAGATTTCCGTTGGAATTGTAAAAGCTTTGCACACTTGCTATCGCCCCCTGTCCATACATATCAGAAGACAAGTCACGAATACTTCTCCAAGGTCGGTAGGGATTCGTTGAACAAGGGTTTGACCCATCTGTGTTACTGATGAAAGCGTATTAGCAGAAAAACCAGTTTTACTATTAAAATAGAAAAATCACAAACCATGCACCATGACTGCATAGTAATTAAAATCAGAATAAATGCGCTATATAGCTTGGACTAAATTTAGGCATAACTTTTTTTATTTGAGGATTGAATCATAGGAACCAATAACTAGAGCAGCAGAACATATAACTTTCCTAGTTTTGTTGGCACTAATAAATCTAGAATTAACTGAAAATGAGGTGCAGTAAAATTCCCATTCGTAAAGGAAGGTGAATAGGCGGAAACCGTAATAAAGACGATCAAAATATTTCATGGTATACTCTTAACGGACATCTAAAAAAGAATCAAAACTTTGAACTTATTATTAATTAATGAGAGTTGATTTGAGGATACGCGACACCGATTACACGAGTTCCACACAAGTGACTTGAAGATATAATGTACCATCTGAGTCCACCAAATCAAAACAAAATTGACAGAATTTCGGCATATGCGGCACATTTACGATGTAATACATCTAAGTAGCAAATATCATTAGTAGTTTAATTTAAACATTGTGTGAACATTTTAAAACTATAACCAGTCCTTGCTCTAAATGATAGGTGGTTTGTACCTTTAAGATATAAGATGTATTCGAATGAAAAAGTCTGCTTAACGATCACCCATAACTAAAGAATCTGATTTTTCTAGTCGTATTTTTGAGCTCACATATTAGCTGTTCTCATTTTTTCCTAAACTGGTTTGAGTAAAAGCGAAAAAACCAAAGTGATAGCAATAGTTTAGGTGAAGTGAAATAAATGCTCTTTTACAAATGCACAAACTACTTTGAAATTGTCGTTCAAATAGTTAGAGACCTATCTGAAACCAATTTACTAAAGCGGAAGCGCTCACGCTAATGGCTGGGTGCCTGAATCCAAAGACATTAACATCAAGATAAGCATAAACACAACTGGTGATGGGGATCTTACTAGCCAAGTTGCTTCTGGAAAAACAATACTTCTGCACTAAAGAAACTGACTTAATTTAAAACACTAAGTATGGATTGGTCGAATCTCGGTTTTTTATGCAAATGAAGGCTATCAACTTGATGAAATCGGGTAGAAAAGAGTAACATACTTGTGTTTTGCTTGACGAATAATGTCATTGACAGTATCCTCAACCCTTGGTCTAAAAAACAAAGGGGAGAGCATCAACACCCAAAAAACGCAGTAAATGCCACTTGCCATTTTAAGCACTTTTTAAGTATCTGTGATATTATGCAAAGAAAAGAGAAACAGCAATTTTAAACAGAAGTTTCGTTTTTCTTTAGGTACATAGGAGTTTCATCCTAGTTCGTGAGGCCAATATTATTGGTAAACCTACAGGGGATAAAAGGGGGACTCCACATTACATTACCTTCGATGCGTCAAAGAATATAATTCACACCGACGAAGAGATGGATATCCGGACAAAATAAAAAGCTTAATTACACAAATAAAAAAGTGTTCAAACATTTTGTTAAACCCATTTTGATTTTTAGTCCACTAGAATAAACCGAAAATGAATCAACCCACCTTTTCCGGTAAACCTTCTGGTTGATGGAAAATAAATGAGGATGCGGACTTTCAACAGGCTAAGAATGAGAACAACCAAAGGACAATACGAGATTTTGTATTTTTTAATGCAATTATGAGCCAAATCTGGTGAATTGTGGGCTCAATTTAACTGGTTCCTTCCGGCAATGGTTTTGCTGGATTCCAAGTGTAAAAGTATATGAAGACTAAAATCTAACGTCAAAAATAGCAACAAGTTCTTTTCAATGATTGCTTTTAAATAAAAAGCGAAAAAGTGTTGTTAAAAAGTGAATTTAATTCAATATTTTAAGCAATACCTTAATTGTCAAAATGATTATTAAGCTAAACAGTAAAATACTTAAAATAACAGGTCTTGTGGTGGTAATTGGCATGAAACATGTGTTATGGTAAAAGAAAAGCATACCTGTGCCAGAGAATTATTGTTTAGACTGCTGTACATTACGGTCTGCGCAGCACGTTCAACATCTCTGTTGCAATTTTTTAGATCAAAGGAAGCACAGTTGCTTCTGTAGGGTGTTTTTAAATTTCTACAACTTTTTGCCTGTCTACGGGCCCAACCTTGCGGTAATGGCCTAAAGAAAACCTCTTTTTAGAGGGTGATCTAATTCCAAAAAAACTTAAGCCAAAAGGCCATAATATTGACTACAATGTTTAAAACAGTAAATCACCTAAGTTAATATGTAGGTAACGCACATGAAGCCCATACACTGTGGAGTCTTGTTAAGTTGCATTTTTCACGAGAACATAATACGCAGTTAAACATCCCAATCCCATCGACTTAAACAAAACACAGGCAAGTAAAGTAAGTTGTTTGTGCAAACTTTTTTTTTAAAATCTTTTTAAGAACTATTATTTAGACCAACTTTAGGTCAGCATGAGCACACTTAATGAAATTGAAATAATAACCATTATTAAATCCAACCCTATGGCTAATTTTGTTAGCATTTGGCATTTTTAGTCTTGGTTAGCACAAACAAATCTAGCTTCACAGTCTCGTTGATTTTCCTTACAGTGTATTGCCTCGAGACTACCCTGACGGCGAAAGGAGATACAGAATCGGAGCAGAATACATGTATTCAGCATAAGGAATTTGAAACTGTTAGCATGGCTTGAAGGCCAGCCAATCCAGCGAGGGCACAATGACGGAGACCCAAAGTGGCTCCTTTACCGAAACGGGGACCTAAACAACTAGCGTATTGCAATCGTATAAAACAGGCCTTAACTGCAGCGTTCCGAGACTTCCCTGAGGACGAAAGAAGACACAATACTCGGGCAGAATATATATTCAGCGCAGAGGTGTTTGGACTATTGGCATGGCCCGAAGGTTAACCCTCCCAGCGAGGTACAAGTAGGTTAATTCAAAGTACAAAAGTGGCGCCTCACCAATACCGATGGATAAGCCACCATCGTATTACATAACACAATTATTGTTATTTTGTGAATTATTGTATCTGGTAGAAGAAATATGACAAATTCTTCAGTAGCTTACTTTGGTTTTAATTGCAATGCACAGTATTTTTATAATAAGGAGCCGTATCCTTAGTTCTTACATGTTACTATAGCGTCCCGGGACTCCCTGAAGACGAAAGAAGACAAAATACTCGGGAAGAATATATATATTTAGCACGGAGAAGGTGTCTGGGCTATTGGCATGGCCCAAAAGGCCAGCCCACCCAGCGAGGTACAAGGGGGCTAATTCGAAGTACAATAGTCGCGCCTCACCAGAACCGAGGGATAAACCACTACGTTACATTCAAAATACGATTTTTTAACAGTCTTTGGCGATTTTAAAATTTAAAGTGAAGTGCGCGATTGTTGTTATAGAATGCAGATTCTTTGCAAATTCACATTGCAAGGTAGCATTCTTTTGCAGCTGATACTAAAGCCTATGCGTTGCTTATTTAAAATTTATTATTTAGTGGAAAACTTTCTAAGGATCATTGATTTGGTTTGGCATGTTTTGGATTTTGACGTCAAAGAGACACGCAACAGCAAGCTACTGAAAGCGTAAGATCTAAGTTGAACAGATTTTATTTGCAAATACTTATAGTAGTTTAAATGGTCTGCAATAGGATAGGTGTTTGTCCCTTCCGCCGCGCTTTCCTTCCCTTAGAACAAACAGACGAGTTAAGAGAAGACGTGCTTTATTGGGTAGCAACCGTCAAAGGGGTACAGATATTGCAGATTAGGCATGTTTGGGGCATTATTTCCTCCTTGGGGATCGATGGCCTCCAATTAACCATGAAGTTTACACTTTCTGAATGTCTCTCACCAAGAGGTTCACTTAGACACCTGTACAACCGATCAATCCGAAAATGGATCTACTAATTTTTATATTCGTTCAAATTAGTTACTGTTGTATTTTCCTTACACCTTGGTGCATAAAACAACACCATACTGCTACTTTTTCTACCTTAGCGGCATGGTACTTCGGGTTTTCACCGAAGTTGTAAAAGGGCGAACGTATATTACTAGCATGCAGGAGAGCTCGGAGGTTATTAGCATGGTCGTTGCGTCTGGGACGACTAAAGTGTCCGCGTAGTCAGGTGCAGCAAAACAATGCTTCGCGTCTTCACAGTGCAATAAATGCTAAAATATGTATTGGCTCAGTGGAAAGCAAACAGCCTCTGAATATTTTGGCAGAAAAATGATTTCGCCGCCTGCTACACGTTTAAATGTTCATATTTATTAGTGCTGTTGGGAAACTCCAAGTTAACATGATTGATCGTAATGTTTTGGGTTATGTCATTTCTAATCCTGTTAACAATTACCAAAAGTGATAATAGACCATTAATTTTGCTATCCTTGAGGAGCTGGATTTTGGTGAAATACGTTTTATAAGAGCTTTTCAAATATTTCCAAATGTGGATTTCGATGCCAAATTTTGCTGCTCAGATATCCATTTAAAATTTATTTTAAGTGACCGCGGCCTTACCCTGATCTCGCTGACAGGAAACGTTGAACAGTGACTAAATATATCAAAACTGACCTAAATGGTATTAAGAGGGAGTTTATTTCTGAGTAAAATAAACACGGATTATTGATTATTGTACGTAAATTTGCCCACGGGTTAGATTTACCTTTCGTAAATTTTAACTCTCAATGATGGCCCCATGAGGGGTTGCTCACCAACCAGCAAGCGTTTGCCTGGCAAAAAGTCTACTTTAAATGGATTTGCAAAGCTCAAAATTGGCAAGAGTTTATTCCCAATTCCCTAGAAATATACTTGTCCCAATTAAAAAAAGTGAATAATCAACAGCACTTCCCCCCTGTTTACGACAGTAAACCTGACCCTTGCGGTTGCAATCCGCATGAGAATTGTTGAATTTAACCCGTTAAGTTTTCACAAGCCTGCACTTTCGACTGAAAGCCCGGATTATCCTCCTCCTCAGTCGTCCATTATGCCGTTAATCCACCAATAAACAAATAGATACCACCAGCATCTAACACTTAAATCCCGCGATGACATAGGGTAATTGCATGCCAATAACCTCGCATAGAAAACCTTAGGAAAGATAACCATTACAAAACGGACCAATAGCTTCATCGCTATGGCTCGATCAAGAGGCTGCTCACCGCACAGACAGCGCAGTGATCACAGAAATGCGGATGCTTCTTCTCTCTCTCTTGGTGCTGTTAGGTGTCAATAATGGCTTTACAGCCACTCGAGGCGGAGACATCGATAAGTTTGGTAAGACCTGCACTCCATCTTTCCAGACATTCCCATTAAGCGAAATAGCTTGCCCTTGTTGAAATAGATTATTGTAGCATTCTCCCTGTTCATCCCTTCAAATAACCCTTGAGGACACACGAGACCACAGTTTCCATTTTCGATTGCGTAGAAAGATTATAATTTACGAGCGTGACGCTGAGGGATTGGAAATATGCAATGAACCAACCAAACGCGTGTGGATACTAGTTGATGGTAAAATAAATTGACTTCTATCAGAACCATTCGTTGTAACAAAACAAATGATATTTGTTGTTCATAATTGACCGTATTCATTATTTTTTAGAAAGTGATAAAGTGACAAGTGGAAAGGTTGAGGAGGAGGTTTCACTAGAGGGAAACAAAAGTGAGCCTCTGTATGGTAAAACCGCATTCGACCATATCAAAGAGGCCTTGAAAATTGAACGCAGACTTAATGATGTGGTTTTGGCGGTGATCAACACCTCAACAGTTCTTCGTTGCAGACCTGATAAGGACTTTTCAAACACGGATGGACAGAATGGCATAAAGGTAACTTGTCTTTTACTTGTACCATAGCCTATTACGTAAAAAAGACTTTGATAGATGTTATCTATTTTGTGTTGATCAGGTACCAATCATTCATAAATCTTCATAAATAATGTCTGGGATAAGTAAAGCGCAGTGTTTTAAAGACGTACGCATGGATTTCAAGAACCTAGGTCTTGGAAATCGGAAAACCTGATAGCTAGTTCAACTTCAGAGCTGAATAGAGATAAAATGAGTACGTTTCAATGAATTGAAATGCATTTTTTCAACAATCAAAATTCTAGAATTACCAGTCAAAATGAAGGTGCAATGTTTGTTGCCTTACATTTTAGAATAAAATCCCAATCTGACGCCTCTTACAAACAGAATGTAATGACAGATTAAAAGATGGTTACTGATATGTATAAAGATAAAATCTAGCACGTCTTTGTGAAGGTCCAGTGACTTAGTAAGCAATTATTATGAAATTAGTTGATATGTATAAAAATAATCGATCTAGAGGTATTGGTGACCCATTATAAATTTTGCATGATTTTGGAGACGAAAATTATCAACAACACCAAATCGACATCGACAATCGACCACTGTGATCGCGAAAAGGGTGAAAGATAAGTAGTAATGAGCAGCACCTGTGACTCGACCGATAGGACCTATCCGATGCCTCCGGAAATGAACTTATCGCTCTTTCTCGAAACGACTATTTTCCTTTAAATCTGCTTTAGCTCTCATTATATATCTACGAAGGAGATTTCTTTTGCAAAATCACCTGGGCTTCATTATTATTATTATTATTATTATTATTAATAAAAAAGAACGCATGCCTCATTGTTTTTAACTTCTACGACAATCTTAATAATTTTTTGTACCTAGAAATGGCCTCTAGAATGAAGTCGTTGAAGAAGTTGAAACTGATTCGTTCATTCTTACCCAACAAACTGCAATCATGCACATGAGTCTAGTGATACATGCATCGTTTTAGTTCATCTGGCGCCGGTTGGAGGAACCAACTTATTTGACGTTCAACCACCGACGGATAAGTCAAGACAAGCGCTATCACGTGGTTATGGCAGACTTCAATGAATTTAAGATGGACTTAAGGATTGAGCGAGTAATGCGAAGCGATGAAGGCGAATATATTTGTCTTTACAGAGGTGAAAAACTTGTCCACGAAAAACACGTCTATTTAAAAGTACTTGGTAAGTCCTTCCACCCGAAAATTTATTGTCCATGTTTCCATACATCTTTTGGAAATGAACTATTTTATTAAACTGCAAATAAGACGATTCCTTACAAATATAATGCACACACTATGGGTGAGATCACTGGCTGATCTATAAATGATAACTTATATTTACATCGTCAGTACTTAGGGAACACGCTCTTGTTGCAGTTCCGTCGTTTATAAATCCGAATGGGTCCTCGAATACCAGAGTCGTTGTCCGCGAGGGACTAACTCAAAAATTGATATGCAACGCATCCGGTGTTCCTGCTCCGACGATCAAGTGGTACATGAGCACACCAGATGGGAAGGCGCGACGAGTAATAACCACAAAGGATCAGCCACGTGTGTTCAACTCATTTATCATAGTAAAAAAACACAACGAACTCTTTAGTCTATTCTGGCAACTAAAATCCTGCTATAGTTTAATTTTGTTCTATATGATTGTCTGACAGCTGACCTAGATGTCAAGTGTTCACGGTGCTGAGGTCCAGTAGTTCCGCCATCGAATAACGGAACCTGATCTTCAAACTCTTTTGTCCCAATTTTCACTCTTCCCGATTACTTACGTGGGATAAATGATTCAACGTTTATCTCGATAAATGTCAAAAGACGAGGATTTGAAGTAGTAAATGCATAAAAGTTCATAATTTTCAAAAGAACGTTGAAACAAGTATACTGCTATAACTTTTACAAAGAATATGTGGGACATTTCATTAATGCGCTATTTTTTTGGTTTTATTTATAAATCCGTCCTCTAAAAACCACTTGACTTGAGGTGATGGAAGTTTTTAAATTGGTTATTTCAACTGCAGGATTTCTTCTCTCCATCAGCGTGCTAATAATATCAAACGTAACAAGGGATCTTCGTGGAACATTCACATGTGTTGCCTACAATGGTATTGAAGGGAAGGTTTCCTGGAACATCCATTTAGATGTCTATTGTGAGTCAGAATGAAAGTTTCTGTCTAACAAATGCATTCGACACATTAAAAAACGTGGAAGATTGCACTCATTTGTCAGAGCTTGAATACAACAAATCATTAAACTGATCTCAGTTAACAAATACCGTCAACGACTGCAGACAGAACGAATTTCAATGGTAGAAAATCTGAGTCCATAAATATTACCCACGCGCAACAAATGATGTGACTGTTAGAGGCAGCTACTTCAGCTGAAGCACAATGGAGACAAAAAGGCAAAAGTTGATAAAATAAGCTAGCGCTGGTATCAGTAAGATAAAACGTACGTTGAACATTTCATCTTAATAGAACTCATTCAGACAATCGCCAAAAATTCGCTAATTTCTCTGAAGGCCTTTTAACACAGACGATAACAGTGTGAAGCATTTCACTAAACCTTTAACCGCCATAAATCAAGCAATTAAAGCAACTTTGCCCAGAATACCTCCATAATAACCAGCTAATTTAAGTGACAACAATTGCCTTGACATAATAGCACTTAGATAAAGCGTTTCCTGTACTGTTACGAGTTTCCCCTGTGATTTTAGTCCGACCCGTTGTGAAAATGAGTGCTGAGGTAATCTACAGGAAGCCCTACCAGACCACCATGATTTTCGCTACTGCGGTTGGCAACCCTATATACAGCCTTTATTGGGAGTTCGACCACAAACCTATTCGTAGTGTCAATGGTGACTGCTTCTTCACCCTGTCCGGTGATAAGTACTGCGTTGTTTCAGGTAACAACGAATTCTCACAAGTGAGACCTATATATGTCACGTTAAAACCTCATGTCATTAGTTAGTTTGACTCGCCACGTGGCTGTGTCTTTCGTATTCAATGGCTTGAGCCATCACTCTTAATGCGAAAATCGTGGGACCTTTTGAAGAAGCTGGGAACTGGAGACCACGTAAAAACTCTTGCAAAGAACCATTTTCACGAAGTAAACTACACCCAGCGTAGTTAAATAAGGGTTGTTGCAGTGTTATTATCACTCTGTAGGATTAATGCTTGTGGTGAAGTTAGTATTTTTCTAACTTCACGGTAGGATAGAAGTTATTGTTTGCACCACAAGACTCACTTATCCATGTCTTTCGCTGATCACAGCACCTTCCCCACTACCAATGGTTCCACCTGATTTAGCTTAAACGGTTCATAATTTAACCAAAAAGTGATAATATCACCCACTTTGTCACCTGAACTTTGTGCTTGTCTTTATACTCTCGTATTGTAGTTCTTATGGTGGATTTTACTAGGACCATAAAACTCCTCTAAAAATACCAGGCAAATCTACGCTGTCACACCTCCCATTAAATCCTCAAAGCCTACAGGGCACTACTTTATTCGAATTCGACAGCTAATGTTTACCCATTTTAGATCGTGAAATCGCTAATCCCATGACGGTAAGGACGAAGCTCACCATTTACAACTTGACGTTAGAAGATTATGGAACGTACACATGCGTGGTCCATTCACCGTTCGGAATGGAACGTGGCTCCACAGAGCTCGTGCGTAAGTGAGTCTCAATTTATTCTATTCTAACCGTAATGTAACGGACTACCTTATCATTAATTATTGATGGTACTTTAGGAGAAAAGGAAAAACGTTTGGATTATCGTAAGCTCTTTAAAGATTTTGAACAGTGTCAATATGTAATTTTTTTTAAAATTAAGTAGAATTTATCATCATTTATATGGCTTAACTTTAACACTTTGATCCTACACTCATATTCGAAGAAATAGAAAAAATTAATGCCTTTTCTCCTATCTTCGTCTCAGTGAATCCAGGCGAGACTAAATTCTTCCCAAATTTATGGAACCCATTATCTTGGAGAAATAGTCAGGGCGAGTATGTCTCTCGACATACCCCGAGAATCACAACGTCTGGTGAACCAAAGAAATTCTCACCACTCTTCCTACACATTTTCATGGGTATAAGCATTTATTTTTCATCAACACTTTGATCCTTGATTGTTCCGCTTGTACATATGGGATAATAACACTGAAGACTCGCAATATCATTTAAATGAACCAAAATATTTTTTTTCAACTTTAAGAAATAAAAATAGTGCGAACAATCATCGAACGTAAACTTTCCAAATGTACATTAATGCATTAATATTTTAGCAATCCCAAAAGGTGACACATACACTGCTGTGTTGAACCATACCTTCTAAATTTACAATTTCGAAAAAAGTAATGAAACAGCAGTTGCAAACTGGATTGAGACAGATTACGAAGTACTTTGCAATAGTCCTTGATCCAGACAGGTATCCTTCAGATTAAGTTCAAATTAATTCGGAACAATAAGAACACATGGAGAATGAAACCAAATAACTTTAGTAAGAAGTTGTTAATTCATAGGTAAGATATGTTAATGATTTGAAGTTGCCTGGTTAATTTGTTTTTGGGCAGGCCGGCATAGTGCAGAGGCTTCTGGTAAGATCATCCGCGACATAGAACATCTTATTCACATGATACACCCATCCATCGGTGCATTGATATCCGCCGTCGGTCATTGAAACCGTTACGGTCCCATTCACGGTTGCAGCTTAAATGTTCCAGTAAATTTTTACTCAAAATTGGTTCGGCCAGGTCCAGATACAAAAAATCACTGTACCAATTTTTTACAGCGAAACACCGTCTTCAAACCGAAATGGATCGAAAATCAGCATTTCCCGATAAAACAGTAGGCTCTGAACAAAATTGAGTAACATAGGTATAGGACCGAGTTCTGCAAACGAAGTACACTCGTACGTTTGTGATGCCGTTTACGCTGAATACGATCCACCCGATATTATCATTAGATTACGATGAAGAATAGGTATGCTATCATTTTACATGAAGAAAAAACCAAAAAAGGAGAGTGACTGTGCTCTATCAATGCTGATGCAACTATGCGTCACAAAAACCTTTAAAATTGCACGCGACACTCGCCATATGTAGTGTTGAATGTGCAACGGAAAAATAACTTGTAAAAGAGAGAAAAAATAAATGAACTTGAGAATGTAATGTTTAGTGCTAGCCGGCAAGATTACTGTGGTAAAACCATGGCAACCGAACTGTCACTAGCTTCCCTTTTCTGCCAAGTGACGTCAAAATGTTAGCTCAGGCTTTCAGTTGATAAAACTGCGACATTTTGGAGCTCAGCGATGTTTGAGTGATTTCATCCACCTCATGATGCAAAGTGCATCTGATGAAATAAACCGGAAGTTAATTCATTCAACTTAAGCCAAAGATGAAGCAGATACTGGTGGGTTTTAACTAACATCTTCGTTTTAATAGATGAAACTTTAAGCCAATGAGTATAGTAGGACCCACTTTTTTCATCTACTCCTATTTGGATGTAGTCCTATTGTTTCGACAAATAAAATCCTTTATAACTGAATCTCCTTTCACAAAAGTCAGTAAGACATTTCAAAAGAATGCTCATAAAGCAAAATTTGCAAGTAGAGGGCGAGGAGGTGATGTGACGGACTTCTCGTACTATTTTAAATGCCATTAAGATTACTTGCGGTGCACATAAACCAGTTGTTCACCATTTAGTTTTGCGCATCCAAAAAGCTAAAAATGGAATTGTTAGGACAAGGTGCTGCGTTCGGCGACCATTTGAGACAATTTATTATGCGAATGTTTAAAGAGGCAAACTACCGTACTGTTCAGTCCGCCCTCAACCTGCATCACGAAGCGGACATACTCTAGAGTGAAAGCATTGTTAGCTGTGGCCACATCATACATCACTGATGTATTCAATTCATTCAGTAATAATTGCATTGGAAAAACTGAGCGCCGCAGTACCTGAAAAAGTGAAGTGATCGTGAGCACTCATCCAAATTAGTCATAAATTACAATGGCAAACTACATTACAATTAATTACTAACCTACGGGCATTGTTTTTAAGCACAACTTTTTTCTTAACTCATACTGCTTTGAAAATTGCACAATTGTGAATGCTAACCTAGAGCCATCGGTTCCTGCCAATTTTGATGGCACCAAACTAAGCTATATGAAGAACTAACCTTGAATTCCGCAAGTGGACAGAAGTAACTCACATAAATACGTCGTTCAACACTTTCGTATATTTTTGCTCCCAAATTCGCATCTGCTCGCATGGCATCAAGTGCACCGTTGTCGGCTGCAAAGAACGTGTAGGGACCACCCCTGATTTGATGGTCAAGGATTCCTGTGTTGACGTAGTTCCTTAGTAAAAGCACAGAAAAAGTTAACTTTAGCATCAATTCAGCTAGAGGATGCAATAGGTGAGAGAGATAGCGCAAGTACCTGAATGCCGAGTCACCACCGAGGAAATTTCGCACCGTCTGTGTGGGCAGACCCGGCACCCCAGTTACGAGGTAGACTACTCCGTCTGAACCGGAACTCTCCGAGTCAGCGAGAGCCACGGGTACATAACCATTACCTGGAGTCCGCGCTTCCACATTCAACACTTTTGGAAGGCGAAAAGGAGTTTGCAAGCTAGGTAGAGATCAGCTTGGCAAACTGGTGCTTAACTGCCCTTTCCATTTAATAGAATGTGATAATACACCATCCATGAAAGTATAGGATGTGTCAAGCATTATTACAACTTTTTAAGACAATGATTTGAGAACGTTCAAATATTTTATAAAATTTAGGAAATTCTTAACATAATTGAGCTTGAGGAATCGAGCTGCGTCAGAACATATAGACATCCGTTTTGATTGTCATTTAAACGGGAGAAACTTATTAAATTTACGATAAGACAACTTGGGGCCTTGTGGGCATCTGAGATGTGTTGATTGAAAGCCCCCTACAGTACACTACAGCGCCAGCAAGAGGAAGTAGTAACTATTTATGCTTTACCTTATTCGTACTCTACATTCTAAAATAAAGACTATGCATTGAGAAGTTAAAATTGCGGGATGTCCCATTCATTGATGTAGTTGAGGTCAACAATTCCAAGTGCTTAAGTGGTATAATTAAAGGGAGTATGTTTCATTTTTCCTTCACATGTGCTGGCAACTTGTTACTAACGGTTTTATAATCTATTTGGCAAATACCAATAAAGTCATGGCTTTAATTTTCTAGCTACCAAGAGAAAAAACAGAGCTAGTATGCAAGCATCCGGTTAAGATGGTGCTGCACTAGAAAGCCATATGATGTTCTGGTTAATGTGTGCATTTAAATAACCCAGTGCAGCTCATTTGTATTGAATTGTTCACCCTATGTCCATCGTCGTTATGCGTGGGAATGCTGAATGTGAAACCTACCACTGTTTCTTGTCCGAAAGCGAATTGCATCTGGAATGCTCCCCACAGTGACATATTTATCCGTGGTCATTTGTGGCCTAAGGATTCTTTCGGGAACTATCATCAGTTTTAGATATTCACTCTAAAAATTAGAAAAAATTTTCCATTTAAAAAATGTTGCAGTGCGTAACCATAAAACAATTTATGTTTTCCAGAACTGAGTTTGTACGATACGAATACTTAAAGCATGACGAACAGGACAATGGTTAAATCATGCAAACCTAAATGCAGAAATGATTTAATGAAAAATAAACTATCTTAATTTTTTAGCAGTCTCCAGAATATATGATGAAATTAAAAAACATCAATGTGAATGCTATCGAAAAGGCAGAAAGCTCTACGCGAAGACATAATTGAGTGCCTATAAAACGCGGTGGCAACGCTCGGAATTGTAAATATTCAGATGGTACATTGAAATAAGACTGATATTACACCAGTATTTAACTATAATTTGAGGCAGGGTTTCACCATTCCTCACTTGGTTAGCTGACGAGAGAGTATTGAACTGAGTCCAGTCGACTGGTGCAAAGACAGTCTTTTCTGTAGTTGATTGTAAAATTGCGTTGCAGGCGGTATCCAGCGTACATACACGAAGAAATGTGCTGGTATTTTGTTGCGAAAAAGTAACACTACAGGTGAAGCGTTCACTTAAGAGTGTTAATGCTTAGGGTATCAAAATCAGGTAAAGAGGTAGTTCACCAAACTGTTGTGGGGGAAAAATCAAAAGTTTTACAATAATAATTTAGAGTGACAGTAACGATTTATCAAAAATAAACTCTTTTTTAGCAATATTTCTTTGAAAGGGGGGAATTGTAGGCATCTGTCTCAGACATGAGTCCAAAATTCATTCGAAAATTAGCAGATGAATTCCCCCTGTAGGACTTTAAATAAAATTATAAGGTGGTGGTGATCTGCAAAATGATTAAATTGGTCATTTTATTGCATATAAAACCATTCATAAGAGGATCTGACAAATGCAGAAAACGCGAGTAAGTTGATAGAGCTATTTATAAGTTTAAAAAACATCCATTTAAACGTTCTAGAAGTTTCTGTCCGAAAGTTGAATTCCCCCTTTCCGCGTCAAAGACCCGGACTATCTTGAAACTTTCTTATTTTGTGGTCTTTTTGAGTTCCGGGTTATCCTCATTGGCCAATATTGTGAAGAGACAATCTATACTGAACAATAACCTCTGCAAACAAAGGTCATTTAAAAGGATGCAAATACGTGAGAATGGTGACCACACCAAAGCTGCCTGTAATCCAGTCATACACTCACATTCTTGGAGTTAAAGATCCCTGCAGCGATATCCTTGTCTCATGGTTGTTTGTTACATAGCAGTTTATAACAAAGATGCTATAAAGCTTAAACCTTTCATCGGAGTAAATCACTAAGCCATGCTTTACATATGTATCGCCCTATAAATGCTAGAAACGAGGTAATTCAAAGTTAATTTGAGTAATACATGCATTGTTAAATAAGCAACCACCAGACTAAGGGGTGATGAACGATTTTAATTTTACATTTGGTAAAAGCCCAATCGCCAGCAATAAACCTCAGAACAGTAATGACTTCAAATCGTGTCTGTATTTCGAGGCCATTTAGTAGACCGGAGACCGTTGCCCCAACAAGTACCAAAAACTTCATTTATGTGCAGACACCAAAGACATGCCATTCTACTATCAGCGTTCCTCAATTGCATTTTTCACATCATCATAAATATGAACACGTTGGTGTTGATCCAATGCACTTGTGGTAATGTAGCTCGTTCCCTAATCCCATGATTAGCCCGTAATATTGAGGGGTTTGCTACTTTATGCATTGGAAATTTACGCACAATTATCAATGCAAGAATGGGAGGCAATGAGGTAGTGAAAATAATAAACGACTCTACAGTAATGGAACAATCCAGCGTACCATTGGGGACCAATAATATGCGGAGCCACTAACGTAAAACGATGAGATCGCACTTTTTATTTTAAAAGCACTTTTAATGCTAAAATTTGAGGGATGTGGGCAATTAATGCTCTTTTCAAAAAGCCAATTCTATAACAACTGACACATTGAACGCTCATGAATAGATGAACGGAGTATTCAAGCAGCAACACTTTATGGATAACCAAACTAGTTTCATTTCCAAGTGAGCCCTGGTGAGAGAGGCGTTTACAAATATGGAAAAACGAATACTTCTGCTTTCTAGATTCCATATGATTACTTACGGTGAGAGACGAGCCAAAGCGTCCTGCGTGGTTTCGGATAAATAACCGAGCGGCGCGGAAACGGGTATAAGCACGGCATTCCGCAGCACCACAGCCAAACCTACCGTCTCAGCATAGGAGTTTTGTACCGTTATCGTCAACGCGCCTAGCAGTACACAAGATGAGTTTTTGGCTAGACAAATAATACCCATCTGATTTATCTTTCAGTACAAGCTATCTGTCCACCCATCAAGTGTTTCTAAACGGCTCATTTTGCTTTTAAGTATATTTACATTTAGAAGACAGTGGCCATCCACAATTGCTAATTACATGTCGAAATGAAGGTGTTTTAACTTCCACTGGGCTCTGACTTTAATAGTAAATCATTGGGACTCTTGAAAGGAATAAAAAGTGAAACTTTAGGCTCAATTATAGATGATTTCCATGACTAAGGCTTATAGAATTAATATTCTAAAAATACCTTACAACAAACTCGAAAGTATTTCACAGTATGTTTGTAAATTACTGCTCATGATAAAAATAAGAACTGAGGTTTCAACAATGCATACTCAGTGAGTATATTTTACTTAGCAATTGATAATATGGATCAGCACTAAAATTGGCGAATAAAATGACCACATTAAAAACCAGAGAAGTTGGCAATTAGTAAAACTCACTGTTGTCAACGGAGCCGGCCATTTTGCCGGGTGTAAGAGATTGAGTGTTTACGGCTTCCGGAAGTGGATCGTTAGGAAAACCGACGTAGAAGTTGATCGCTCTACCACTCGATCCTCTGACCCATCTCGGATAGAAGAGCTGATTTGGAGCGTAGTGATTAGCCAATACCTGATAAAAAGACCAAGGGCGTCTGAGGTGCACAACAAGACCTTAATTTTAAGGCAAACCAAATCATCTCTGCCCACCACCCTCCAAGCGCTTATATGATAGCCTTCGAATTAACTTAAATTACAAAGTGCTAAAAAAGCAGAAAATGCCACCAATAACTAAAACCTTATAGGTAAGAAAAACACTACCACAAATTATAGTATTATCGAAAATGTACACAATGAAAGCTTTCTTACAGCTTCTTGAGAAGTACATACTTTTATCATGAGCGTCTCGTTGTCTAGAAGATCCTGATATGTCTTTGGTGGAAGCTGATTCCAGACAGAATCGGGAACCACAAAGTACGTCGCGTAAAGGGTCTTGCCCATGTAAATCTGGTTGGTAAGTTGAGTATAAAGGGGTGTTCCCGTTATTCTAAGCTTGTTCCACAATGTAAGCATTTTTCTAAAGTACAAGAGAGACACAATAGTTAATGGTTACATCACTTGTCGGTAGATTCGAAAACACGTTGCTTGTAATTAATTCACTAAATATGAAAATCAGGCTAAAGGCTCACAGTTAAAAGTGTTGGCATCATAACTAGGAGATTTCATAAATTCATCGACTTTGAAGCAAAGTGTCCTACTTTTGGAAATTTATCTTTACTTGTAGACCGTACATAAAGGCCTTGAATTGATGTGGTTGATCTTTTCAGACAAAACGAACAGACTTACGTCAAATCTTGTGCTTGACTTAGGTACTGAAAAAAACCCATGGACTCATAGGGATAATTTACGACTTTGTCCATGATTTGAATCATTCCATTCGTAGCATCAACATCTGCTCGCTCCACTTTAGCATCATTGATGAAGTACGCCGCCGGGGTTCCTGACTGCAAAGAAGATAACAAAGTGAATAATTAAACTAAAGCGCTCGAATTACAAACTCACAAACGAGAAGGCATAGCGCGGACCAACTATTTCGTTGTAAAGCGCTCCCTTGCCAAACCCGACGTCAATTAACGGCAGCGCTACTCCAGCAGTTTGCCAGTTCTGTGTGGACAGCTTCGTTGGAATTGAACCCGACTTTGGGCCTTTACGAATTGGCAAGGAAGATAAATGTCTCGTTAGACTAGAAATGAACAGCAAAGAGCGTTTTCGAATTCATTAATCACAAACCTACACCTCGGACAAATACCTCGTTGCATTCTTTAATTACGAGCAAAGAACGATTAAAGATATCTTAAAGCCAAAAGCTTCCTTTTCCCATAAAGACTTGCAATAGTTACATCAAGATAATACTTTGGTTGAATAGCACATTGACTCTTCGCCATAAAGTAAGGGTTAGGATTTCGTTTCTGTGACAGGCAGTATTTTTACTGGTTCACAAAAATATGCAAATCATTAAGTAAGATTATTTTTTAGTGGTAGAATTTAAGTTTGTTCGTCTTGTTGCCTTATTAAGCGTCATAAGTTGGGTTACGGCACAAAATTTGAAATTACTAACAAAAAGCCCTGTATGAATAAATTATTTTGGATTTAAGTGCAGCATGGTATACTTTTGAAAGTTTGGTGGTGGGAAATTCATTTTCATCGGTGAGGAGGCATTATTGAGGCTGTATGCTAAGTGCTCAAAGTCATAATACACACTTTCAAAGTACATTCCGTAAATAATTTTCTGCTTCTCCTCAATTGAGAGCGTTGGCCAGGCGAGACTGGCCGCACGCAGGTTCCAGGCGGCGTTGCTGGGTGCGAGGACGGTGAGGCATTGGCCCGCGTCCACACACTTCGAACTATTTATTGCAGTTATCCGCGAATCTAGTAGATGCGCCCAAAACTAAAAAGCAACAAAGGACAGCTCTAAATCTGCAAACTTTTTGGATTAGCAGGGATACAAGTTGGATCCATCGTAAAATCAGTTTATCATCCAAAATTGTACCCAATCTAGGGGTTTAAAGTGTCAGTAACCGCAAAGTGGGAAAGATCACTTCTTTGTACTAAAAATCTATCAAGGTCTCAATGGGAAGTAATGAGTATTAGGACTGATATCATAAGCATTGGTAAAGTAAGTGAAATATGGTTGCATTGGTTACTATGGCAAAAAGCAACGCTTGTTGCAGGATTTATAGAGCATTTTACTAGAATTACGATTAAGTCTATTCACATTTATTAGTTGCATGGGTTTACTTGTACTTTTAAAAGACATTGACATTGCGACGCATTAAAGGTGTCCAAAGTATTTGTTGGTGAACTTTATTTACACAAAAAACGACATCCCACCAAACTCAGGTTTAGGTTCGATTTTTCCAATTCGTTACTAAAATCCTCTTGCAACATTACTACTGTAATAATAAGTCTACTTTAGCAACCCTAGAAACATTTTGGACATCAGCTCGCAATAAATATCCCTCGGATCCCTGAAGAACTACATTCGTTTTAAAATAGAAGACTAATGACTGAAGTTAACTTTATAGTAGATTTATGTAGCGAACTGCATATCTCGGTGCTGCGACTGCGTAAAGGCATCCCGACAACAAAGGCACTGCTTCCTTTTTGTATTTGGTTCAACAAATTCGCTTTTATGCAACTAAGTGTAAGAAGATGCAGAGGCTTACCATTGAAACATCAGGAGTGGACTCAAGAGTCATCTGTAAAGTCATTGTGGGTGTGGTTTGTGCCCAGGTCCCCACAAGACAGAAAATCATCAAGATGAGCTTGAAGAATGCCATTGGTGAACCGATGGCACTGCCACTCCAGGACCGAGGCCGGTGTAATGCAAAGGCGAAGGCACTCCACACACGCGCGCCTCGGTGCTTGTGCCTCCGTGCGTGCGTGTCTGCTCCTCTGAGTCATTGGCGAGAACGCACCAATTGCGTGGGGGCAATAGGCTGAAGCGCTTGTGCCCTTGCGAGCGCCACGTCGCCGTCGTCTGAGGCCACACCCTGTGTACGTACAAGTAGGCCACTAACATCGCTGTCATAGCAACCGATATGACAGTGAAACAACATTCACCTACACCTTGAAGTCGTAAGGTGTTACGTGCCAATATTATTAACTTGACCGACCTTAGAACTTAATTAAATGCTAATCTACTTCCTGCCAGGGCACCTTAATATGTTAACAGTTTAGTCCCAAGCATTAGATCCCATTCGCTGCATTAGAGTGAACATAAGCCGAAGGTTAGTTGTAAGAAAAGATCGTTCAGGTTTACCCTTCAGCTTGGAATGGAAGATCTACCGAGAGAACAACGATTCCCTAACATCATCTCCTTTACTAAACAAAGTATTTCCCGGATCCCGAAAAGTCACTGTCAAGTCCACTGCAGACCTTCAACTTTCAAAAATTGCTAATGTTTTTTTACTAAAAGTGGGGAGGTTTTGCTTAGAAGTGGACTGAGACTTATATCTTTTTGCCCAAAAGAAACCGGAATTTCGTCGGAAGAGGTTATATAATTGTGCGAAATTCTATATCTTTAATAAAAGCATTAATCCCGAATTAACAAGATGCAGTATCAAACAATCGTCCACGGAGAATGACTTCAGCGTAAGAAAACAAGATTTTCGCGACTAGCTAGCAGGAACCAGATAATTGATGACTTGTGTGTTTTTAATTATCTAATGGTATTTAATAACAAAGTTATCCTATTTATTCATTTTTCTGCCATATTCAATAGGAGTTGCAACACAACAAAGAAGAGAAAACAGTCACCTTTTATGTTGAGATTAACACAAATAATGGTTTGAGTTAATGTTTTCAATATGGTATCCAAACACTTGCAATAAACAATGCTTTTTAAGATGCCTCTGTAAATAACGCTCAGAGCCTCATGAGCAAAATTCACTCATATCACACCTGTTGCTTCTCTTCCCGTCCATTGCATAATCTCACTTGGAGAATTTCAGTTCTCTTCTGTAATTACATTCTGCTAAATCACTTTTACTAGCAAAGTAAGGGTAGTACGTGCATGGAAATTGACCTGACGAGTTACCTTCTCGCTAGTGCAGTTGTGATGATTCAAGAAAAAAATGAGGGCCAAAAGTTGATTAGAAAACAGAAAGTTATAATACAACTGGCAGTTAGATATCAAAATTTCATCTTACATTATTATTATTATACACTTATTCCAAGTGCATAATAAAACATTTTGTCTTTGCATTGGCCTTATAAAACAAGTCTTTGGGATCTGTTAGATATACCCGCAAATGGAAGACACTAGCATCCCTTTAAAACATTTAAACTACACAACTTTATGAAATAAATGCTACTAGTGTAAAGCGTATTCTTCGAGCCGCACTAGACAGTGAATGCGCGTGCCATGAAGGTTCACTCTTCGAAAACGTGAATGCAAGTTAAAAATAATTTCCAAATAAAGTTTATAGCAATAGATGACTCAAATGGAACAACTCTCATCTACTGGGGAGGGATGCGTGACATTTCTGCCATCGGTTAGGAATGGATTTCGACACCACTCCACTTTTTAGGTGAGGCAGTGCGTACCGGCTCCGCGTAGGAGAATTGGGAACCTTTAATTGGATTAGCGAGAGAACCTTGCGGCGTATGCTGCACCTCCGCTTCTTCGCCAAACATAATCACTACCAGTTGACATGCCACGCAGCAACTCCTATGTAAGTTATTATTTCATCAAAATCTACTGATATTTATTATGGAAACTTGCCAGTTGTAATGGCTTTTAACGTGAATCATGTTTCAATCTAAGCAGCTTAACTACAATAACTCCTAAATAATCTCTCTCTCTCTACGCCTTGCCGTCGACCTAATTACGACTGCTATTTTCAGCCTGTTTTTCCGTCAACAGATTGGGTCTAGTGAATTTAATGAAACATTTATTCGGTCACTTTAACCTAAAGCCCCTCAGCTCAGATAAAGGTGAAAATTAAAGTAATTTAAAGTTGAAAGACATGTAAAAAGAACTTATTTACCGGAATATCCTAGCCATCTACTCCATGGACGGATATTTTTCCACTCATATTTATCTAATAGCATGTAAATGGGCTGTTAAAAAAGCCACAAAATAAGATTTGTACTGCTTAACCAGTAAGGACCCTTTGACACGTCTTATTTACGACTGCGAATAATTATCTTCAAAACTAGCATTATAATAGTAAGTTTACTGTCGGTCTCGGTCTTTTAATAGCTGCTAATAAATTTTTCAACCTTCCAAACATTGCTTGCACTATCGCTTACCTTTTATTACGAATGCTTGCCTTGTTAAAACAAATTTGGTTGCTCCCCTCCAGTTCAATCAACTTTCTTCCCTCTTATGTGAGACTATCAGTAATTCATTCATATGTAGAGGACATTCAAATTCTTCTTAATCTAGATAATGCGGTAATGTTAACATTACTATTGTTTTTAAGTTAAACGATACTACTCCAGGAACTAATGGAATAAAGAAGTAAGAAATTACTTGATGGCTTTAATGACGTCGACAAAAGCCATCAAAGATGACGTCGCTTGCGGTTGGTCCAATTTCCTACTTTTATAATCCCTCAAACCAAAATCTAGCAGTTTTTCCGCAAAAAAACCCATAACCTTACACTCCTTTTGCGATTTGAAGTCCCGAATGCAGATTTTCAGACTTTCCAATTCAATTTAAAAAATGAAGTTCACGACGAATCATATTTATGCGCGTGTGCTGGAACAAATGTCATCAAAAGCAATCTAAGAAAAATAAATGAAAGATATTAAAACTGTAGATGACCATCACAAAGTCTACATTTTTTATCAGTTTATCGACTTTGTAAATTCTCTGCATCAGATCTGTTCTTCTAACGCACGCTTTATGGTACACAGTTTCATGTATCTGCGCCTCAAAAAACACATTTAAAAAGGGTACTTAATGGAAGTGCTGTTAGTTCCTATGCCAGTCTTCCCTTACATATCAGAAATAAACAATATGGATTCAATAAAAAGGTGGTTTTTACACAATGAGCAGGTAAAGATGGCATAGATATTGTTTAAAACTGTTTATGCCCATTTGTGGTAGTGATATTTTTAAGTATTTTGACCATCCCACCTTTCTCACAACTAAAGCCTTCAAAAGGATCATATCCATTTTTCCATTAGCTCACGCCTACCTTCAAATTTGAGAGAAAAGGATTATTTGCCTCTAGGATGTGACAGTGTACTTAAACCCCCAGAACGATAGCTTTCCGTCTTGTCCCCAAACCATCGATACCTACGCGTGGGAACGGCGCAAGTGCTTTTGCCAAAATCCGAGTCTAATAAGATGCGAAAATCAAGTTTTGGTGTAAATAAACATTAGTTCAACCATTTTTATACCAGCAAGTGCAGTCTAATTCATTTTATGCATCTATTTTGCTCCTATTATGAAACAAATAAGTAAATATTTTACGATTTAAGAACTCCGCAAAACCGTTAACAAATGTTAAAAAAGGAATTGGGGTGATAGAAATTGATTGCAGAAGTTGGATTACGTCAGCTTAGAGTCGCTTTAAAAATCATCAAGCAAACACCAACTTCTACTCCTAAAAGTTAGTTCAAAGACTATGTCTTCAACACAGACCAATGCACATCGTAAAGCTTTTCTACCTAAGTATCCCACCATTTATGTCAAATTCACTGTGGATAAGCAGCTTCCTTGAATGAGACCGTTGGGAAAGAGTCTCTTTTCTTGATTATTATGGTAGTTAAACCCCAGAATTTTATCCCATTCATTCATTCACGCAAGAATTTTAAGCAATCCGTTATGCATTTTTTACGAGACTGAAGTCCATCATTTCAATTTCACTGATTATAATAAAGGACCTGTCATATTCTGTTTTGTGCAAGGATTTGAAATGTTTCTTCACACTTTAAATTAAATGACACAGTGCAAAAAAAGAAGCAACTGTCAAGGCTAGGAAAATGTTGACACAGACTTGAGTGAAACTGGTTTCTTCCCATGGCTTTAAAGTTTTCTAGCAACACCACCCAATGATTTTAATTGCTGATCATCATTTTGGAGCTTGTAGGAATCATACAACAGGATTTCTGGATCGCTACGTCGAGTAGGTCAAAAGATTAAAACATTCTCCAACAGACAACTCTAGAGCAAGCACTCGGAAGAGCCCAGTTTTCATTGTAAAAGTTCCCGCGAGGACAACAGATCGCTGTATGGGAAGAGGTTAGTTGTAAAGCACCAAAATTTGTTTCATCACAAGAAAAAATTTGTTGGATATCTGTGAGGAGTTGGTAAATAAACCAAAAGGTCATCTTTATAATAAAAATAGGTCTTAGCAACCTATCTCACACATCGTTATTGTAGACCATTAAAAGTGAAATCGCCAAAATGGCCATGAGGTTTGAATTCATGGCTTGTCACCACACTCAAAGCAGGATTTACGAAAGGGTAACCAACTTTTTTGTACACGCCCACAGTGGCAGTTGCTTTGCTGAATACAAGTTCCAGTTAATTGTGTTAGATTGGCTTCACATTCTCAAATTATTTAAAGCTTATTTACAGATAGTAATAGCTGTAGCACAAAGTAGCATAGGTATCGTAGCGCACAAAACACAATGCTTATGTGGCACAACATGATTGCAGACTTCTCCCCATCCTAACAGGAAGTACAACATACTGAAGAAAGCAAATATTCTGTATTGCGAAACAACGGAGGACGTGATGAGAAGAACGCTGATGATTGTAGAGGAGGAAATATCCAAAGCCGATTCTCAAAATGTAGGTACCTTAATGGCTCTTCAAGTATTAGAAACTTATTTGTGCATTTAGAACTTAATTTACCTTTTAGGTTCAGATTCGTGGCATTAAAAATCGTCTAGATGAAGCATTTGGTCCGAATTGGAACTGCTTTATGGCAAGATCCGGATGTTGGGCATTAAAGACTTACAAGCCTGGGACAAATCTAGTGTTTGAGTACGAAGGTATGATGTATGACATCTTCCAAGCAGTTGACAGCACCCAGAACGCCCACACCAAAGGATCTACTGGTTATCTCGTGTACAGCTAAATTCCGTAGACCTCCAACTTACCTTTTTAGAACCAGCTTTGTCCGTTTTCTTGGCTCACTTCACCGCAGCAAAACAATGGCTTGGTTGTAGGTCGACCTCACTCTCGTTCTTCCAAAGTTGATCATGCAGGGCGTTTATGAAATAGGCCTTCGTCTATAAGGGTGAATAGACAGATTTATCAAGGGGGAAGTTAAGCGCATTAAAGACACTTACGGAGCCATTAAATTATAAACAATAGTTTTGCTACTAATCGACTGCTGCATTAGGAAAAGACACTTCCATAATCTTAGTAGTTTTTCGTACCACTAGAGCTTTAATCAAAACGGATGTCTATTTTTACGTCAGCATTATCATTTATGAATAGAATCATAATCAAAATGATGTCAAATGACATGCATAATCTTGATTAAACCACTTTGAACTCAATCACATAGTTAAGGGTATGTAAGCCAAGGCTTCGAACAATTCCATCACAATTCGCTCTCAAATGCATGACAGCGTCGGAACTTCGGATTGTTTGCAAATGATCTCAAATAGTTATAGAATAACAAATCCTAGGGTACTTTGCAATGAAACAGATGGGCAAGAGAAATTTGCGAGATGATGTGCCGACTGCCTTCCACGAAAATCGCCAACATAAGGTCCCTCAGCAAAGTAGTACAAGATTATGGTATAAAATTACCATCGTTTTAAATAAAAAAGGCCTGTTTCAAACTTACTACAACTTTTTTGTGCTTTTGTTTTACAGAACGTGCGCGTTTCTGTGGTTGTTTCAAATTATGCTATCATTTTACTCACAATTATCTTATAAACCGAGCAATATAAATTATTATCATCATAAAATCTTGGTTTACCTAGATACTAACAACGCCTAAGCAACAATGATGAGCCATCACTCAATTGCCTGTGGCTTCGTAAATAAGTTACAGTCCATGAGTAATACTCCATATGGGACGAAAACTTTAGTAAATATAATTTAGTTTATAGAACTGACACACTTCGAGATTAAAACCATACAAGACTATACAGCTCAGATTTTTGTAGATGAAAATTTGAATAGGAGCTTAATCTTTAAGAATACTAACTTTTCTATTCCGATATCCTTTAAGATCATTAATATCGTGTAAAGCGCATATTCCATCTGTTCTCGAAAATAGCCCAAAGGAATACTAAATGAATAAATGTAAAAGGTCGTAATCTAATACAGAGTTAAAACAGGTAAAGCCTTCCTAAATAAGCTATTTACTTTATATTTTTTGTGCCCTTGTCTTAAAGTAGGCCGACCTACTTTCGGAGGAGGTCTCTTGCATTGACAAACCCTGCAAAATCTTTGAGGAAAAGTGACATAATTGGTTCAGCCTTAGCTCATTGGATTATGACCACGTTCTAATATCTTAGAGTGACAAATATTTTTTAATTTTGCCGGTGTGATACATACAGATTTCTCTCATAAAGCCTACACTTCCAGTGTCTGAGTCTTATACACCATCTCACCAAATTGGCACGTAACTATCTATACCGTAAAGATATCGACTTTGAAATCCTCGACATTATAATATCACCAAGTAAAATACAATGAAAATACCCAAGTATTTGCTACTTTGATGTGCATTACCCTGACCTATTCTGCTCCGACGGTAGTAAAATAAAACTTGAAACAAGATGACTTTATCCCTTTAATGCAATAAATACATACCCGTTTACAAAAGTACAATTACTGTAGAATTTACTTCTCTCTTATGATTTGCAAATATTGGTTTTTAGCTTAAAATTTGGCAATTATATTCAGTATGATTAACTTTTTTCGTTTCAACACATTATTTCAATTTGTTATCATCTTCCTTGTTATGCATAAGGTCCAATAAATGTCCCTTTCAATTAATCACGCTGCGTTGATAATTGTTTACGGATAATTAAGCTATCGTCCTATACGAAACATAATTTGGTGCCTATTAATCATTTTAGGTACCAATTGCAAACGTCAAGTAATATTTACTAATGGTTATTCTTTGAGTATCATGCAAGTAATACTAACATTGGGGACCACAGGTCTTTCGGAAATACATACATTGAGCCCACCACTTCTGGCCTTAAAAAGAGACTCATTCTAGTTAATCATTTGTATGTAAGTGTTCCATAAATCTGTTTTCTCATATTTACGCTAAGGATATGACTTGATGAGATTTAATAATTATGCTAAACGCACAACCTCCCGAGAAGAATTCATTTTGTGGTGTGCATTCAACAGAAGGGCATACTGCTGCTTCGTAAAAAAGTTTAGTAGTCAAAATACTTATCAGCTATGCGCAAGCAGATTTTTCGACTGGTTTATGATACATTATCAAAACTGCCAATTTGATTTTATTCGCCCATTATTCAACTTTATGCCTAAAAAACTGTGTCCAAAAAACGTGCTTAATCCAAATATTAAAAGTGAAGTGAAAATAATCACATGCATTCGTATAATCTTTATGCTCTAACTTAACCCGTTAATGTGATTTCACGACATGTTTAAATGCCTCGCTAAGATAAGGTCGTTGACATGAATAAACAACTGAATTATAATTAATCGATGAATAAGGTTGTAGGTAGAGCTTATCTTTCTAATAGTAGAGATGTTTTTTAAAATACCAGACCTAAGAAGTTTAAAAAATACTGCATCTTAACGTCAACGTTTTACGTAATCAACGAAATTCACCTAGATGTATTCTATAATGTCCAAGCATTATAAAAGTACAAGACTGCCTAACATAGTGTTTTAGTGTGTTTTCAGAAAACAAAAACACTTCCAAGGCAATACTAAAACGTTGTGATGCAGGTTTCCACTGACGTTTGCTTTCCAGAGGCTCTCGCAAGAATTTAATGGGGTTGTTCATGTCGTTAACTACCGAGAAGCGAATTGATCTCTGGCCTAAAGTCACCGAATACTTAAAGTCTGTGAGAGTTTATAAAAATTTGAGCTTTGCTTTTGGTTTACTGCAACATGGCACCTGAGCTCACAATGAATGTACGGTATAAAGCGCCTAGGCCAACCTAATTGTACATATTAAACTCACTAGATGGTTGGAACTATGCAGAATTTTTGTCATTTCATACACGGTGGAGGTTGTCTTCCTATACCACAGTTGAGTCACTGATGCGCAATGGGGCACTAATGATAACTGCACACGTCAGGAGACACGTTTTAGCTCCCTCACTTCTGCTAGTGATCGCCTAGCCGAAGGCTCTCAAGGTGCCAGACTGATGGCTATGTGCACACGAGTGTCAGCATAATTGCATTAGAGAGCAGACCATGTGCCAAGAGTTCGCACCCGAATGCGTGCGCACGCTCACCGGCAGAGAAACTGTGACTAACAGTGCTTAATCAGGCTTCGTTCTCAGGTGCACATGCTGTTCAACTATCCAAACTGCCCTCTATTTGAAAGGCACCCATTCTCCTGGGTGTGGCGTGCGAAGATTACTCAGTGATTTTCACCAGTGAATTTCGAGGAGTTATGCGATAATCATATGCTTATATAGCATTTTTGATAATTACCCTCATTCACAGAAGGCGATGCACGTTGTATTGCAATAAAGGAATAATTAAGCCTGATGCTGATGCTTTTTCAATCATCAAAGATAGTTTATGCTAGACCTGGTATGTGAAAATTCCCATAAATTTGACCCAGTAAACGTGGAATCTATTGTAGAGCTTATAGAATACGGGAAGCCATTTGTGTTTACTGATGATGTAGCGTGTGATACGTGGCATTAACTTTTATGGACCTCAAGATATCTGTTGACAACGGAAAGTACCGATTTATTTCTTGCGTAATGAGCATAGGATAACCATCGGGGGGTATTAGTTCAGAACAAAGTAATCGTTATTTGAATAATGTCCAGCTGCTATGCTAGAAAAAGGGTTGCTCACTTGGACCCAAAAAATAATGAAGTTGCTTGTGATTACTATTATTCTTATGAAAATATGGGGTTACTACCTTCAGATATGAGCTTTTAATAGACCCTGTGTTGATACTCATGGATACATGGATTAAGAACGAAAGTTCTTTCCTCAATCAAAATCGCATAGACCGCCATTTTACGGTGAAGTAGTGCTGTAAGGGACTAAGACAGTTTTCGAACGACCTAGAGATGCTGCATAAACTTTCATATGGTGGTGTGGTTGCCGTTTCTGTCAATCATTAGGGCAATGCGTGAGTTTACATAAGATGTGGAGACCATAATATAATGTGAAATCGGAGGCTTGTGTGCTGGAACTGGTAATTGTATGCATGCAAGAGTTTTATTAGGAAAATATCCATTTAACTCATTGTCCAATTATATCATTGAGCAGATGTTTAAAAAATTTCGTTTAATTCGAGCTAAGTATTAGGAAAACCAACTTATTTAAGCATTACCAGTAGGCAAATGTGATCGTGGGCCCTCCTGATCGGTCATTACTTGATAGGTTGTTCGGCTAATTCGTAAAACGCACAACACCCTATATGTAAATTCAATATAGAACTGTCAGCGAAAATTTCATTTCATTTTGCTGAGGTGAAATGAGCATTGATGTATTTCCATAGAGCGATTGGTTACTTTAACTGCACTAAAGTGGGAAATGAGGCTCATTTTATGCTCTAAAATCTTTCTGCCATTTATACGTTTTTTACCCAGGCAATGAAACAGCGCAAGTTACATGCAATGTAAGCATTTCACTTCATATTTGAACTGGTTAATCGTTGCGAAATTAAACACTATATGCATCTTAATGAAATTAAATACGGGATACAGGAGTCTGACAATGTGGCATCGCTATTTCCTGCTGTGGATAGCATCCATGTATTGACTGTGTAAAAAAAACTCCAAAACATCGGATTTGACTAGAGCTTAGTAAATCGCCTTCTCCCAAGCAAAGAATGAAGGCGTAGGTATGCATCATTGCAAAACTCACACAGGGTGAGACATCTGCCTAGCGAAACTTAATTAATGCCTGACCTATAGAATCGGTGTGTTCAGCTAACAACAAGGAGAGATTTGTTAAACGATGTTTCATCAAGACAGGTTATCAGTTTACCGCTGCAACGACTACACCGAGGATGACGTTTGAAGAACCTGGTGCAGATCTCCTTGTGCATTTGTTTGACGAGATAAATGAATCAGAGTCACGTAAATTCATTTTCCTCTTCTAATAGCTGTTCACCATTATCAGGTCTTCCGACGGAGGAATATTATCACCACCTCATTAAATGGGGAGTTCCAAAAGACAAAGCGAGGGCAAGATATCTTCATTCGCCTAATCCCCACCATCTAGAATTATATTGCGATGTTCGATCCCAAGGGAACGGGTTTTGTGCGACGTGATGACGTCTGTAATGCCCTCCGTTGGTATCCAAACGAGTAAGCGTTCTAACAGAATGTGATCTTTGTAGACCAGGTTTTTTGGGAGACGTTGAGGTTCTTGCTAACGACATGTCTCAGCGTAAACGTGAATCTGTCATCAAAATTATTTTGACCACCCTTGCTACAAAGAAACCTAAAAAGGTTTGCATGTGTAAACTTTCTGGTATAACCATGATCATCTCATGGTGGATCATACAATTGGGCGTTTTGCATTCATACTGCAGATCATTTAAAATTAGCTCCATATCACATAATGCATCAATGCTGAGTTAATTTTGAAGGACTTTCGTTCTTTTTCCAATCTTCTAACAAAAGGAGAAGTTAAGGATGATCAAGAAGAAGCTAGAGGCTCTTTACGGCACTGGATGGAATGTGTTCATAGCCGAGGGACGCTACTGGGCAGTGTGCTCTCACAAACCCGGATCAAACCTAACGTTTATCCACCGCGGTGTTGTATATGGCGTTTTTCAAACACCCTCAGACAGTGACTTTATGGAAGGTGGTCATCGGTATCACCATTGATTAATCAAGCATAAGTTATGCACAAATACGCTACAATAAAAATCCAGTACCGCCTTTTGAGTTCATTTCTATTCCGTTTAAAACAAGGCGGCTCTTTTGTTTGAATTTTTAACAAACTTTGCATAGACTTGGAAATTGTTAAGATTGTTCATCGAATGTGGGAATGCAAAAGTGAAAGTTTAGAAGATCATCCGTGTAGGGGGTTGAAAACGTAAAAGCAGTGTCTTGCATTACCTGACTAGGGTTTATTGAAAAATTGCTTTGATGGCTGCCTAACTGCCATGCTATCCAGCATAAACGTCTGATTTGTTTAATTGACGTCTAAACATCCAATAAAGTACCACGTAGAATTATCATCAAATCACATAAATATAAAAGAATAGTTTATGCATAAGTACGCACAAAAATACAAGTGTAAGCAAGTTTATGTTGCAAATCGTGCCAGACACTTGGATTTCTATAAATAGTTTGACAAAAATTGTGGTTGTATTGATATAAAAACTGCTTAATGAAACTGGCGCTTAAGTGGGCATTTATGGATTGTCAGTCGCACCTCAAAGTGATGCCGAGGAGGGGATCGCCCCAAAACTAAAGCCTAAAATCTTTAGGGACTTCACGTCTTTGGTGAAACCATAAAGATAAAAAAATCCTTGATTTGTTATTAATCCACGGAAGAGTGTAATTCCTACTTGGAGCAGGGACCTCCTGCAATCGGTGTCATTCAATGATCAATGAAAATGCAAGTCACGCAAAACACGTGACCGAGTTAGAGTGACTTTCGGCACTCCAACTCTTCAATGATATGACAATAAAGAAAGATATATTATTAATAAACAAAAGGACCAAAAGTCCATAGGTAAGTTTAGAGGGCCACTTTTTGGGTGGGAAGATAAGTTGTGGAGACTTTAGAGTCCCAGTGGTTAAACAATGTAGCTACTCACCTCCGACTTGCGTTAAATTTGTCCATACAATGCAAAGTTTGGTTAGAGGCGCCAAAGTGTCTAAATATTTCTGTTAAGAAAATGAGTGTTCCTGCAATTCTTCAGCAGAACACTTAATCCTTAACAAGATAATCTAAAAAAGCCTGCCGTGACACGCCATTTTTTAACATTTAGCTAGCGTACTAAAGCCCGTAAAGGAACTGGTTACCGGAAAAAACCTAATGATTGCCTAATAAGACGAAATTAAACATTGTATGAAAGCACAACCTTTAGTTTTTCTTTGAAAGGTAGCAGCAGCACCAATGAAATCAGGCATGATTTCTGGAAGCTAATAAAGATTGGTTTGTAAGCGTGAGAGACAGATCTGTGAAAAATTGCCTAAAGGAGATTACTCTTACAGTTAAAGCACCTTCAGTCGCATGGGCTCAACTGAACACTTAGATTGCAGCACCCTTCTTCGATACTTCGATGAGTTGAATGAATCCACTAACAGTGCGTTTTATAACTCTAAGCTGTAAAAGTCCCTATCCGGTCATTTCGCTATTTTTTCGAATTTTAGGAGTTTCAACCGCAGATTTTCGGAACCATCTCCTGCGATGGGGAATGCCAAAGGATACTGTTAAAGTGAATTTTTTTCCCCGGTTTGCTTTTTCAAGTTAGGAGACCATCAGTATTGACTGCGAGGTTGAGTATAATAGCTTACATTTATCGGGTTTTTGTACTTGAAACTTCCCACTAAAATGAAAGAATCAAGAAGTAATTTTAATGTTTTTGCCCTTAAAATTTCGAGTTCGCCTACGTGTGTCTTCCTCCACTAGAGTTACATGGCCCAGTTCGACCCAAAAAAGACCGGATATATCACTCGAAGGGATCTCTGCAATGCACTGAATTATTACCCGAATCGGTGAGCTTTATTAGCATTTCCCTTGTCTCAAATGTCATCTGTCATAAACCAAACAGCTCAATTTTAGACGATCCTTCTTAAAGGACGTTCACATTATTGAATCAGATGCGCCTCAACATCAACGAGAGTCAATAATCAGCATCATTCTCGGGGAAATGAAACACGATGGTCAACCCAAGGTATTTATTTTATGCTTATAGACAGTCATTCTATCAGTATTAAAGTCCACTTTATAGGAAATCCGGTCGTAAAAATTTCCGGAGAGTAGTATTAGGAATTATTTACTTTATGTTGGCAGATACAGCAGCTGATTTTTGAGGATTCCCATGATTAAACATCTTGCTGATTATTTAAACCAAAAATGTAAACGAATAAAGCACTTATGAAGATGTATAAGTCCAATCGAAAAAGTTTGCCGCTTTCCTTCGAAAGATGCACGCTGGTAACACCGACTGAAATTGACTCGCACATTTATTTTTTTTAACTTCGCCTTGCTTTACACATGTGAAACGCTCGGACGATGTTCAAACTTGGTTTTTTGTGAGCATAAGTTTGTTTGCTTCTAAATGATACGTCTTTTAAACTCTCAGGAGAAGCTCTACAGGGCAAAAAAGCGTATCGAAAAGCTCTATGGAAAGGAATGGAATATATTCCAGGCCTACGGTGGCTATTGGGGCTTGTGTCAGTATAGGGTCTCGACAAACCTCTGGTTCAACCACAAAGGCATCACCTACGGAGCTTTCCAAGTACCAGACTCAACGGACACTATTAAGTCGTCACGCCATTAATTGCCTTTGCATTGGAGAGACGCCACCACTTAATGATAAACAAGACACCAAAATCCCCTTTCCACTCGTCATGCTTTGTGCTAAATGGAAAATTAATGCTTTTTAAAGCTATGTGCTTGTACAATTCGCTTTTACTTTTTGCCTATCGATGCTGCCAACTAAATTCTGTTAACCTTAGTTTCGCGTAATCAAACATGAGAAAGCATTTAACAAACAATGTGAAGACCTTAGTAACAAAGAGTTTTCATAGTTTCAAATGCAAGACATGTGCACAAATAGGAAAAGAAACTTAAACTCATGCCAAAGGATCTCGTTACAGCAGATCAAAGACAGCCTTTGGCACCACGATCAAATGAATTTGGCTGATTCTTTTGTTTTCAATTTATCAGCAAAACATCTATTTCAGTGTTTGAGTGTAACCGTGAAATAGAGAGAAACATTCATGTTAGTTTCAAACTATGGGTTTCCTTCTGGCAATAAAAACAAATCCCCTTCAAAAGTGATCAGAATAAGTTTCTCTTTCTTCCACAATTAAAACTATACTGGAGGGAGTTAAAAACGCTAACTTTATAGTCAGCAGCTGCTATAATTACATTCGCTACTGAGATATGTAAGTATATGGAAATCCACAAATTACGCATGTATTAACTTTGTGGGAATAGATGACTTGCAGTCAGGCGCGCTTACTGGCTCCAGTAGTGACAGGCCCGATTTCATTGACTTAAAAGCAGTCAGACCATTAGACGAGGCTTGTTTTCAGCAATGACGCTCTTCCTGTCAATTTGAGTGGAAAAGGCGCTAAATGCACTGTGCCAGGTAGTTTTAGCTCATCTTGTAAGCTGTGTTTTTGGTGTGGCTACCGTCGACGTCGCATTCACGGAATTTCTCCAAAGTACTGTGTGCATTGTTAAAACCCTTAATTGTATTTCTCAGTACAACGCTCATACCACTCCCTATATTCTGCGCCATATTCCAGCCTAAAAGATTGTAAATTTGTTTAAGTAAGTCCTTTTCAATGGAACACGCACATGAGGAGAAGCTCAAGTCTTGAGCCCCTCTGCTGGAGAAAGTTGAAAAAAGGCAAAAGTAGGAGTGTATGTTTGCGTTCAGAGGAGAGCACATGGGAACCTTTTTACCAAAACAATATTTTAACTTACAAAACTTCGTTCCTCGTCTTTGAAAGTAAAGGATGTGCTATCTTGTTTATTGTAACTCTGGAGGTGAAAGGAAATTTCGGGTTATCTATTCAGCACTTTGATAACTGACTTATTTGAAACCACTGAAATAAACTGGTAAGTGTTCAGCTTTTCAATCGTAATCATGAAAATCAGTGGGTTACGGTAAAAGAATGCTGCATAAAAACTTGATTGAGCATTAAATTTGACAGTCTCGTCCTGTTTTGTGACCACTTTTAATGATGTTGGCATCGCAGAATATGGACAAAAAGTTTTACACCAGGTTTTCGACTTAATTACTAAACGGCACAGTCATGGAGATAAAAGCGTACATTAAATTGATGCTCAACATCGTGCATAAAAACAAAATCTAACAAATATTAAATGACAATAATAATGCAACGATTTTACAAAATGGGACCCCAACAACAGCAATTTAGTGCATTAGTTTTGAGGGGATCACCTACACATAAAATTAACAAGGCTTTCAAAAGGGCATGCAAAGGTACAAAAGTAGCAGTGGGTTAAAATTGTTCCTATCTGATGGAGTTACCGTACGAGGCGTGATTTACACTGGCTTTTGTTAGAAGCTACCAATTTTTCAACTAAAATGTTGCCATGATATTAAAGGACAATTGATTGCATTTGCTTGAGAGCACATGCAGAACCAAGGAAAAGGTTAATTTTTACTTAAATAATCCTTTGGAGTGAAATTTTTATGTTTCTAGGTAACTCAGTAAAATCTAAAATCCACCAAAGCGCAGAGTGTTGAATAGCGCAGGAGGATAAGCGTTTCACCAAATTTGGAGGAGAAACGGAGTCAGAATTTCTACTTAGTGATTAAGGCCTAACTAATTAGATCCGAAGGTTGTTCATTGGTTCGATTGGGGCTTTGATGAACTCCACTTGACGCGCACACCACCAAGCAAATATAACCCTTTAAAATTTATAAAGGCTCAAGCGCCCAATCTTAGGCACAGATAATACAAGTCAGCATGGAATCGCAACGCAAGCCTTCTGACGAAAAATTCACGCCAGCCCTCCTTCTCCATCTCTACGACGAGTTGATCGAATCTGTACCCAGTGAGAAATGCCTTTGTGTATATCTGCATTTTGTATTTGTAAAGAATTATGCAGTTTTGTAGGAAAAGGATTACGTTTTTTGATCAGACAGTTTTTCAAGGATATGCTTTAGTCGGTATTATTCGCCACTTCACTCTATATGCACTTACAGACTGAGAGTAAGCCTGCAAATTATGTAACCTAACTTAATAACCTAGTAATGCTTGTCGAAGTATTCGCATCACAACCATTCAAGTGCTGACATAGTGGTAGGAATAAATAGGCCCACTGATACCTAACACCCACCACAAAAGTCATGCTTAAATTAATTGGACGGAAATCGTGTCGAAGTGGGTGATACTAAAACCTACAAAAACGTTTTTTCTCTAATATCATTTGGTCTATTCTAAAGTCAGTTGCCGATTAGGAACAACTTACTGTTTCGAAATTAAGCCGAACCTTTCCTGTAATGTTATAAAATATATGACAACCGTATGTGGCTCATTTTGTGGTTTAGAGGAATTATGACATTGGATACTTTTAATAGATGCTTCATTGAAGGACTATGAAAACTACCTAATTCTTTGGGGTATGGATCAAAAGAAAGCTAGGGTAAGTTATTTGCACTTAGCAATCGGATCACGCCAAGATTGGGGAAGTTTCTTTTTGCAAATTCGATTTCATATCATCAACTGCGCTTCCAACTTCTTAAAAAGCGTAAAAGTAAAAACTACCATAGACATTGACAGTGAATGTTACTTTGCCTATTTAGTCCTTCTAACTAAACAAATAATTCAAAACGTGGCCTTGGAACAGTGAATGTTTTATATTTTTGCACTTTAAAGACGGGACTTCACATGCCGTCATGTTAACGCAAGGCGTAATAGGTAGACGGTCTACAATTACGGAAATTAGGTCAAATTGGAAAAATAAGAGCAAACCTTTCTCCACGTTTACAGAGTTTACAAGCTTTACAACCATCGATCAATGATTAACCCTACTTTTGTTGGAGATAGATAACAATAAGAGAAAAGGACTATAAGACGAAATAATTGCTATGCATCTTAATCACATTCCATCCCAGCAGCTGCGTCATAAATTTGGCAGCCACATCTTAGCGAATAGGAACCAAGATTATACATGATGAAATTAGCAAAAGATATGCGATAAGATCTAACTAAAGGGTTCAATTTTTTACAGGGCTACTGTTCTCAAGTTAGCTCCCATAAAAACGGACGATTTACGCGAGAAGAACTGTGCAAAGGACTCGACTTCTTACCAGAGCAGTAAGTTTAAATAAACTGCACTCAACCTACACTACTTCCGCATACTTTATCATTTATTTTTCCTCCCTCAGACCGGCAGGGCTGCGCGAGGTGGAAATTCTCTGCAGAGATATGCCCATTAGAAAGAGCGAGTCAATTCAAGTAATCGTGCTGAATGCTCTCAATTCACATTCGTCCAAAAAAGTAGGTTACACTATTTTTTGGCACGAATTGTTTAAACTACATATGCGTGCATTTATAGGTCATACGGCTGCTAAGTGGGGTAAACGATGATGCAAATAAAAGCATAAAATAGAGAGTTGATCTTTAAAGAAGTCTACAAGAGCAATCCAGTGTTTACATAAAAGAACATGAATGCCGTAGTATCTGCTTACTAAGTACGAAAAGGCAGTTAAGCATTTTATTTTTTAAAACATAAATAGAGGTTGCTTGATAGAGCAAATAGAGGCAGATTCTCATCGCTTCATTCTCACGTACCATTGCGATTTCAGGATGTAGTGGCGAAAATCAAGCGAGAAGTTGAACATATCTACGGTCCACAATGGAACGTTTTCATCGCCAATGGCCACTACTGGGCTGTCTGCACGCATAGACCCGGCGGCAATCTTGTCTTTTCTTACCAAGGCGTTGTCTATGGAGTCTACCACTCACCAGAACGACGTGCAGACGATAGTAACTGCATCAGCGCTACAGTCAGTTCAACACACTGATCCACTACTTCCATTTTCCATAAAAAACAAATGTTGTATTATTTTAGTTGTTGCTTCTTGTCAAATAATAATGAATAAATTCATCACGGTTATGTAATTTCCTTTATTTTAAAATCTGAGCAACGCACAAATGAAAATTGCGTATTTGCATTGGAATGATCTGATAACGAGAACAACTAGTTTACGAGGGGTAGTCTTTCCACAGCGGCGAGTCTGCATATCTTTATGGTAGTTTGAACTTTTGCTCAAAGCTAGTAAGTTCAGTAGCTCAATAAAAAAGACCTCTACGCCTCGAAGTTGTCGAAAAAGGCTTGCAACACCACGATGCCAGAGTGATAACTAACCATCTCCAGTAATTTACATAAATCAGGCCCAGGCGACTATCACTGTACTTAAGTACTCACCAAACACTAATTATTATGGTAGACGTAAAAAGCGCACCATTAATCAAGAGACACGCAACGTCAACTGGAAAACCATTTAAAATTTAGTTTCATGACTAATAGAGCGAAGATGTATCAACGAAAATTCGTTTAGCCTTGAGCTCGGGAAGATAATATGCGGACACAAACACCATATTTGGCTGGAAAATAAATAAAAATATCTTTCGTTGAATCCCTACATATCTTTTAACTTGAGCATGTAGATGGCATGGAGTATATTCAACTCACCTAAGTAAAGCTGTAATAATTGAGTGTACCTGAAAACCGGTGCAATTTTGCATACTGTGACCAGTTTAGCTAGCAATGTCTTTGCGACTTAAAATTCCATATTCACTCTTATTTTTGCTTATGCGAACCGTGTTTACTTCACTAAGTTTAAATACAATTTTTTAATTCTTTAAAATTGTGGCTAATGAAGATATCTTAGTGACAAGGGGCATTTAAATGGATTTTCTTACGTCTGTGTTACCAATTTTTCAAAAAAAGATGGAAAATAATCTGTAGGAAACTTTTTGAAAAAAGTCATGAGGTAATTTGCTTGAAAATTCAATTTGGACTGGTTTAAAGCTAGTGTGAATAGCTTCTAATGTGATGGGTTGTGAATCATAACGCCTAAATGATCACTAGCCTCCATCATCGAACCAAAACAGTCTCTTCAGTCTACAAATGGATCAGTGGTGGAGTGAGCCACGGTAATGCCACACTAAATGCATTACTTCAAAATTAATCAAAGCAACTGCGTAAGCTTGGGAGTGAGTGTTTGGTGCACAAAATGCGCCAATGATCGTCAAAATCGTGTCAACCGATCCCGCGGTCTGGTACTTGCGAAGCGGTACCATTTTACGCTGCTATAAAACTGTCCCATCGAGTTAAGAGTTTTCACTTCGCACAGTTCTGCAGTTTAATACCCACAAATTACATGGGGGAAACTCCGCATCCAGAAAAACTTGTTCATTTGTACGACGAGCTCACAGAATCTCAACTAGGTAATGTACCATTATTAGCCTTTTTATTTTATCAGGCGTTCCGACAAAGGATTATAGGAAGTATTTAATGAAGTGGGGCATAGACGAAGGCGCTGCATCAGTAAGTAAAAGCACCTTTTACCAAAAAAATTATCTTTTAAAATAGCAGCTATGTTCTTTGATTGATCCAACGGGCAAAGGAACTATTACACGCGAGGCCCTCTGTGATGCGCTTAAATGTTGGCCGAACCAGTGGGTCTTCAACTGCCATACTTGTTTCTTTAGTGGAATTTCTTAAAACTAATGTATATATATTAACTTTTAGACCGGCGATTCTCAGGGATGTTGAAGTGATTGATTCTGACATGCCATCCATGAAACGGGAGTCAATAATTCTCCTCATGCTCGAAGTTGTCTTAGAGAAAAGAGCGAAAAAGGTAACTGGTTGCTCTAATTACCTGATTAACTTTTTGTACACACTGATATATGGTAGTCAATATTATAGATAAGGATAAATTAAAAGAGCCTCATTCAGAAAATATTTTTTATAGGAAACCATTGAGGAAATTAGGCGACGACTGGAGAAAATTTACGGTAACGGGTGGAGCTGCTATATTGCCGAGGGACGTTTCTGGTCCATTTGCGCCCATCGGCAGGGCTCAAATTTGGCTTTCTTGTACAAAAAAATGGTTTACGGGGTTTTTCAGACTCCCTACGCGAAATAAATGTCTCTTTTAGAGTTTATATTAGCAATTTAGGTAGGAATACAAAAGTACTCTGTGTTTTTAAGTGTAAAATGGAACAAGGGGGTGTAACGAGGATAGGCAACGATGCAACGAAGCTTAAAATCCAAATTTACTATTGGGTGCAATCCAAGTCTCCTTATGGACCTTTTCTCCTCACTTTTCTCAATGATCCGGTAACAGACCAACTTCTCCCATGCAAATGTTCAGCCCAATCTGCGAATGTGTGCGAATTCTAATCTAATACGCATACTCAGAAGAAATGAGCATTTCACTTTTGGCTTTCTCATCTCCATCAATGATTTTGGCTTTCGGTGTTGCACTATGGCAAGAAAGTAAAGTCTTATTTGAAGGACTGTGCACGAAAATGTATGAGCAGGCTACACCCACAGGGGAGTCAATCGCCAAGAAGTAGCCATCTTTTAAAGTGCTATCGCGCACTTTGAAGTTTATAATGAGAAAAGTACCTCTAGACTTTTGGATGGAGCATAAATCGTCAATTACGATGGATTTAAACCAGGCGGTAAGAAATGGATCCCTTTAGGATCCTCTCGAACTATCTTGTGCACTAGAACGCTGGGCTACGTACCAAATAGGAGAAGCTAAAATTTTTGAAGAATGTTCTTTATTGAAAAAATCAAATATTTACTCAAGTTGGAAAACGCTTAAAACTATTTTTCTAAAATGGAAAATTGATTGATCAGATTGATTTCAATGTTAAAATGGACAGCACTTTTATCAATTTCATGAACTTATAGTAATACTGCTTAAACCCGCCTAACAACTCAATACAGCTTTATTATTTTTTGGTGGATTAAAATGTCCATATTTACTGGTGGAATAATACCTATTGTATAACATGAACTTTGATAATACTACAAATTGGATGAATTTGATCTGTTTGAATGCTAAAATTGTAAGCAATGGATCAAGACTGGGCCGTAAACGGAGCGCAAATGCATGGGGCTTTAGCTTGCTCATTTGTTGGTCGTAGTGGTTGTCCTCGGGCAGAGGTCATGCACTGAGTATTGTTTGAAGGACATCTAAGAAAAGTATGCAAAGCGACCGGTATCCATCATCATCACACTACTCTAAATACCGACGCCATCCTTGGTAGATTTTGATCGTTTTAAAAATGCGATTTTTTAAGCTGAAGTAAAGCGAGGCAGGGCACACTTCCTCACCTTTCGATTGTGCAATCAAACGTATATTATGGGACAGTGAATAGTTCCCGCTTGAACGTCAGTATGGTTCTGGGATTGGAAAAAGGCGCTATTTTGTTGCAAATGGTGGTGCACTGTTGCGATAGAATAAGGTATTTTCAATGTATACCACTTTCTTAAGGGGCAGTTGGACTGAGTGTGGCAATTTTTCAGACTATAATTCAGTTTTTTTTAAAAAAATAGCTGTACAATGATAAAAAGCTTCCATACGCTAAACGAGGCGTTGAAATTAACTAATAGAGATTGTATTGCGAAAAACAATTTGCTCTCGTCGACTGGAGATCAGTTCTCGACAAATGTAACCTAGACCATCCAGTAGAAGACCTATCGTATTACTCGAAAGAATCACAGTCAAAAGCACCGAGAAATAACCTCCCACGTATCCCGCCTAAAGCTACACTTTGACATCACTGGCACTTGCTTTGCAACATGGAGACAGCGTCGTACAATGCGGAAAAGTTAATCCACTTTTACGATGAACTTAGAGAAGATAAGGCAAGTACGTGAGCAATACTTGAGTAAGGTTACATAGTAAAATTGTCTAATATTGTTAAAATGCAAAGAATTTGATAAAGTCAAATAGACCATCAAACGATTATCTTGTCCATGAGCCACTGTGTTTTCACGAATAGCCATTCACTTTTTATCTGGCAGTCATTAACTTTTATTACTCATTAGATAGATTTATCAAAACTCGTAATTGGTTATTCACGAAGATAAAGTGTACACTAGCACCAGTTCGGAATCGTTTCTTCATAAAGTCACCAGCTTTTGATAAAAAAAGATGTCTTTCTGTGTGTATAATTTTTTATTTGATTTATTCAACCAACATGAAAATCCAATTAGCCACGAAAATCCTGTGAGTAATTTAAGCTGTTTTCGGGGCTCCTACACCGATAATTCATATTATTTGTGGCGTAAAAGCAAGTAGTTTGGATATTCTGATTATAACCGTGGCGTAGACGGTATCGCAACCATATTATTTCTTACCTGCGATCAGAGCTCTCCACTTCGGTGTACTACGACCATCTGGTCAAGTGGGGCACATCTCCAGAAAAGGCCACCGTAAGTTTGGTTTGTTTAAAAGTTCTACCTATAAACATGACGGTGGTACGCTTTGATGAATTATTATGAAAGATGCACATATGCATTTCGTTAGGCTAAATGACTAATTTTACTAACACATTGGTAGAGCTTAATCCTTTTTAAAATGATTGCATGTACTGCAGTATATATGAATATGTCGAAAAACACTTTATACATACGTAGTCACTAATTCGCATGATGGACCCGAAAAACACGGGCTACCTCACTCGCAATGACATTTGCCGCACTATGAATTTCAACTTGCAAAGGTGGGTCATTTGTAACTTTACTTCAGATTAACGTTTCTGATGCAATTTATGCGGTTTTAATATTTAACATAAAAGAGGTTTATTATTTATCAAATTTTATCTCTAAATTGAAGAAAACTGTCCTGCTTCCGATTTTTAAGCAGAGTTCCTTCTGTTTTTGCTGGTTGATCCAAAGTATCAATTACCGCATGCAATATGAATAATGCAACTCTTTCTTCCACATTAATCAAGTGTTATAAATTACCAAAAGTCCTAGCAGTCTTTTGTGACTACTTATTCTGTTTAAATAATTACTTATGAATACTTTCTTGCAGGGGGAGGTTCATTTCTAATTAATATTATGCTAATTTGTCATATTATACCAATTCAGTTAACTGACGCTCCACACAATACGAATAAAAATGCAAATGAAGTGTTTTGAAACATAACTGAGGAATGCATCAGAATCTCGTAAGAGAATTGACTTAAATTTTGCCTTGCGTAAACTTTGGAAATAGACGATTCTTACCAAAACATTATCCTTCTCCATCAATGCATAAAGAAGTTAATGGTCTAATCTTACAATATACGTATTAATAACGTCAAACCATTTGTTTTAGTCTGCGTGCTTTGAGGGACATTGAGATTATCAAAACCGACATGTCTCCCTCCAAGAGAGACTCCGTTGCGTTGCTCTTTCTCGAGCTTGCATCCCGAACTGTAAAGAAAGAGGTTAGTTTTAGCATTTATCATTTCTTTGTAAGTAACTAAAAAATTAACAGGTTCATCGGTTGCTAGAGTGTGTAAGCACACTCGAAAAATTATTGAATAAGGTGACATGCGTTTTTAATTAGTGAAATTTCCCATTTTCCTACCTTATTATAAGGGTAGGCATGTTTGAAACAATCTATCCTATCCAAAACTTGAACTGGTGTCCCACTTGTCACATTTCCAATATTTCGCTGCAGAGCATGCTGAGACAACTGAAGGAAAGGCTTGAAATTGTCTATGGTGGTGATTGGAGTTGCTTTATCTCCGCCGGTCACTACTGGTCCATATGCATTCATAACCCAGGCACCAATCTGGTCTTTAAGTACCGCGACCATATCTATGGCGCTTTTGAATCGGGAAAATTGTAGAACTTTCGGTTTCCTGAAAATGAATTAATTCCTTCTACTGCACCACATTGTCTGATTTTTTGTGAATCTTTACTATAATAGAAATTCTTGAATTCAGTAAATACATTTCTGGGGAGCAAAAAGTAGCTTGAAATACGGAATTCGCGCAGAAGTTGAGTAGTTTTTTAATCACAATTGAAGTACTATTTACAAACGGGAAAGTGACAAAGCACTTGGGATTCCCATTTGAGTTGGCCTCATATAAACATGATTACTGGGTGCAAAATTATGCCGTTCTAGGGCAAAGCTTCAATATAACATTCTTGACAGATCAGTTGTTGTCGCTTTGACCGGTAAAGCTGCGGTTCACTAGTGCTTAGCATAACGATGGGTAAATTTGTTTTTAAAAGCAAAATTTGATGGAAGAATTTTGTCGGTGTGTGCATTAGTAAGGTGTTTTTGGTACCAAACTCTCTTAATGAGTCTATCATTTAAAATTGTAGCCAGCAAATGCAAATGAGTGCGACTACACACAGGGGAATAGAAAGTAATGCAATCTATTCGGTTTAATTGAAGGTTTGTTGAAAGACCTCGTAAAGACAAATTTTTGCGGCAATTGGAACAAGTGAAGGAATTAATGAAAGCCATAGTGCTCATAATGTCAGCACAAATTTTTCATAAAATCTAATGCCATTTTAGTGTTAAAGTTAGAAGGAAAGCACAGCTCTTTGAATTTCAGATGTGTTATGATCATCAGGTATTGTGATGGCGGCTTTGAGATGTCTACGTCAGTAATGATTCAAATACTTGTTTGCAGTGGCCGTATAAAAAGCCGTAAATTGAAATGCCATCTACCGATGTTAGTAAGAACGAGTAATTTCGTTGTTCATACCTATTCGAATGGGGTATTCTACCACTGCGTGAGAAAAAGTGAGATTGGCCTTCTCTTTAAATGGAAATTCTCACTCATTTGCGTACAATTCTTTCGATGAATTCGATTGTCGCTACATGAGTACAATAGAGGCAAAGAGGATGCGATTAATTCCAGTCTCTTGGTTGAACGCATCGCTCCTGACAAATCCCATTCTACTACAAAGCCTCATTACGTTTACGTCACGGTGGTGTCCGTTCAATTCATGCAGCCAGAAAAGAGTAGACTGTCAATGATGGTAGTAAATATTTAAGCTTGTCTCCGTTCTTATTACTCTTTTCAAAGAGAGAAAATAAGCTTTGAACCAACGAAAAGCACTTAAATGCAAAAAAGGGGTCTGACTGCAATCGATTGATTGTCACCTTGAGTTTTATTTGACAACGTCCAAAAGTGTGCTGTACTTAATTTGCACGAGGGCAAATGCACATGGATCCACTAAATAAGTTATGTTTCACGCATCTACAGTTGTCAAGATTCACCTATTCGTTGCTTGGATCCTTTATGCGACTGCTTTGGCTTTTACTGCTTCATAATTCAGTAGCTTTTAGTCATTTCTCTTACTCATTAATACTCTGAAAAATATACACAAAATGGATTATTTACCCAGATGCTCCACAGGCTTAGGCTCTAACTACTTTGCTAGCATGGTAGGGTAGAACAAGGCTTAAAAAATGGAAATACAAGAATAACATTGTTGGAAATTATTTCACGAAACATTGAGAGTTGTAAAGTAGGCATGGTTTGAAATCAAGAACCGTCAATAACTTCCTTTAAATGTTCTTTTACATTACACATCTCCAGAGCGATTGATCGAATACGGGCAGTCACGTTTTTAACGTGATTGACTGTTAACTGTACATTCTCTCACGCATAAAAATCACTGCCATTTGATGAAAGGAATCTTCACAAAACTGTAAAACTACCGCACTATTTTTATTAAAGTAGATTAGTGAAGGCACCTCTAGATTACACCGAATCGGTGAGTAGGCGCCAGATTGTGATCTCGAAATGGCAGATGAATAGACTTTCTGAGTAAGCGTTAGCAAGTGAAGTTGTGGTGAAAATCGCCAGATCTTGTGACTGAAACCACCCTGGTTATTACTTGATATCGTCTTTTGAAAGTGCAAATCCGGGCTTGGCTCAGTAATGACGTTGCCAAAAGTCACACCTATAGTAGTGTCGAAAACTTTATGCAAACACCAGACCAATTACAATCGACATCCTCTTCATATTGCAGATTTATCTAAGATATTTATAAATAAAAAGTACGCAAAGCTTCCTGTGGCATGTGCACACTAGATATTCAAATATATATATATGTTTAACAATGAGGAAGCTGTTTAAATGAAGGGTACCATAATTCGACTTCTAATCAGCTATCACCGCACTTTTAATGATAGCAAGAATTGTGAAAACCCGTAAAACTGGCAAACTTATTTGTGGCAGACTCAGAGGGCCGTGCACCATTCTTAAGACCTAAAATAAAGCCCGGTGATTTTAAAAAATCTCAAGATGTGCATCTTGCGCATCTACTCCTTAATTGGGAGAAAGCTTCCATTCAGGTGATGCATTACGCCTAAGACTAAACGGTTGACTCAAAATGCGGACTGTTACACATAGAAATTTTAGCTCTGAAAACGTTCATTATTTTTAGGCAGAGTAAATTTAGTCTATTACTCTGCATAAATCAAAAAGTTTTTGCTACTTAAAATAAGCATCTGACAATCTGCGATTCGGACAACGTTTGTTACCTAAAAATGGGTTTGATTGGCATTGTTAGCTTTTCCTACGAATATTAACCGTTGTGAACTCACCAATATGCTTTCAATTTAGACTATTCTAATGCATCCACAGGGATAATCCTGGATTCTAAGCGATTCAATCAAGGGAAAATGATGGTTGGTACTTATAAACAATAGAAGGCTTATCGGAATAGAGGCGTTCCTCTGTGGTGCCCAATCTCTATCTTTTATCACCCTCACATCGAGCTGCGATAAGGATGCTCTGACTGAGGAGGATGTTCGTTACTTTTAGGATTTCCTTTTCTAAACCCAAAAGTGATTTGAACTCAACTTACTGAAAAATATGTTCTATAGCTTTCTACTAAGGTATTTTTGGTTGGAAATCCATCAGATACATATTAGTGATAAAAAGGGAAAGGTGTTCTTTCCAGCAAAGGTCATAAAGTGGGTTATAGTTTACGTTTGGGTTTACCTAAGCAAATTGAAATTTCCTTAAAAATATTACTCAGTTTATCAATTATTAATGTTTCTCAAAAATCACGTCAGCGTTCATCATTTGCTGATTTCCTTTAATAAAGTCTAGTGAACGTATTCGTGATGGAAAAGTTTAAAAACAGTGAAATGGTTTGATTTTAATAAAAAGTCAGGCAATACATGAAACACTGTAGTGGACTCTTTTCGAGTCATTTTTAAAGTGAATACCTTCCTTAGTATTTAGTATTTAGGCTAATAAGCACAAAATTTAAAACTACATTCGTCTCATTTTGCTGTGTTCCGAGTAGCTTGTTTTACCAGCCGACTTTGTGGAAAAGCAGGCTTTCAACCTCCCTGATGGCGAGGATGCTGCGCAGATTTGCTGTCAAGTCAGCGATGTGCGTGCGTGCGCGCGTGTGAGGCCTGCGGATGATTGGTAGGGTTGACAGCTTTGGATGCTTTCGCCAGTCTCATTTAGGGGCTCCTGTGTCTCACCCTCATACGCAGGTGCGCACAACTCTTAAATTCTCTCACCTTTGCCTAGGCACACACTTCATTCCGCCAACACCAGAAGAATATGGCAGTCGAGCCGTCTCCAGAAAAACTCGTTCATTTCTACGACGAACTAACTGAGGCTCAGGCATGTGAGTTTACGTTCAATCAATTCGTGGTGGCAGTCTGGCGATATCCTTTTGTCTATTTAGCTGTTACATAAGGTGCAAAGTATTCAAAAATTTTTATTTTTTTCTGATTTAATATTTCTTTAGCTATCCCAACACGGAGTTATAAGGAATTCCTCATCAAATGGGGCTATGATGCTGAGCAGGCTGATGTAGGTATTCAAAGGTTAAAGAATTGAGAAAAGTGTCACTAACTCATTGTCCATTCACCTCCTTCTTTTTTTTAGCGACTGTGCAGTCGCTTGGATAAGGGAACTGGGGTTATTCACAGAAAGGATCTATGTAAACCAAATGAGATTCCCTCCAATACGTATGTCATGAAAGTCATTTTTGACGAAGCAAAAATAACAATATTCTTAACTGGCGGCTTCAAAAGTAACATTATTTTACCTTATTCCATCAGACTGCCTGCACTTCGCGATATCCAGATCCTCAATTCAGACATGAACCAGAAGCAAGCAGAATCTATTATGCTCTACGTTGTGGATGTTATAAGGAGGAAAAAATCCAAAAAGGTGAGTTTACTGCTTAACTGTCATCTAGTCGAACTATTTTCAGGATACCTATTCTTGTTCTAAGAAATATTAGATATTGCATCTAAGTATGAAATGTTATTGAGCCATGACCTCTCATTGCACTGATCTTCGTATAATGAAGTGTTGGTGATTGCATTTTCTTTCTTTCAAAGGATCAATTGGAGGACTTGAAAAAGCGATTAGAGGAAGTGTACGGAAGGGGATGGAACTGCTATATGACTGATGGCAAATTTTACTCCGTCTGTTCTCACGAAGCCGGTACCAGTCTTGTCTTTCTCCTCAACGAAATGGTCTATGGTGTTTTCCGTACACCCTACACAAGCAAGCACTGAGGAGAACGTGCAGTTGTCAAAAAACCATTATTTTGGACTATTATATAATAAATTAGAACGCAAAAGCATCAGTGACCATAGCGCATTGTCTTTAACAATCGTCACAATCATGCACACATTTTCAAGAGCAACGTACTAGAGGCGCTCAGATTCTTTTAATAGAAGGATATATTCGTCTGTGGTGTATTAGCTGTAGACAGTATTAAAATAATAAGTTCAGCAAAGCCACTGTTTCCAAAATTTTATCAGGATGTAAATACATAGTAAATTTACAAACTTACCGTCTAGGCTGCTAAGAGTAAAAGTCATACTTTTAACATAATATAGTTAAGTTCTCCACGAAACTGCGGGGATTTTCGTAAGCAACACCTCGAACTTTTAAGTGGTTTTAGTAGAGGTACTCACCGTTGATGTGTCAGTGGCACAACTTTGAGTCAGGCTGAGCAGGGTGGATAATTGCAGCCCTCTCTGGCACACACTTCCAGGCCCTATTGATTCAACGAGTTTTGCACAATGAAAGCGACCCACACAGTGTCACCTGTACTCTGTCAAGTCGGCGTCAATTGGCTGCTTGTGGAATGGCAGAAATACGTGTGTGTGTGTGTGTGTGTGTTTGCGGCTTATAGCGCTGGAAACCGGATCGTCGGCGTTAAATTATCGACTAAGTGAGTCTCGATTCTGAAAACGGAGATGTAGCTGACAATAGGCTAACTATCAACACTGGTGTAAGACACATAAGTAGAGAAATTTTCATTAATAAGAAGCGATTAATTTAATTTTCTAACCAGCAGCAGGATTCATAGGAACCTGTTTGTATGGCGTCTGATTAACTTAAATTATGAGACCTAATGATACCCTAAAATTCTTCAAACACAATGCGAAAAATAAACATACAAATTTGAATCACAGTCTTAAAAACATTTGAAGCATTTTTTCTACTTATGGCGTAAAGTGCAGCAAAGGTACGAACTCCAGTTATAATCATAATATGCCAGTGACTGCCTACGATTCCTCGAGTTTTGCAGTAAACTGGGTTATCATTGTCCGAAACTAACCACTTTACAGCTTCCATAGCACAAAAAAGGGATTAAAGTAATCCTAATCGTGGTTCACTTACGTAAATGTGAGCCTTTAATGAAGATCGCTGTAGTGTGTTGGTGTCAGGAGGGGCAAATGCTCCGTAAGGGAAGGAGGGGAGAAATTATTTTACGGTAAGGGGACTCTTCTTGAAACCTCATTAGAGATACTACGCTGCCACACAACACAACTTATACAGTTCAGATAAATTCCAAACCCAACTTTTGAAACAGACGGGAAATCACTCTTGTTATGGTATTCTCTCATTACCAACATTGAGGCAGTAAGTACCATCTTTAGACATTACATAAATAAAAGTAAGTTTTAGCAGAGGTTTGGATAGAACCGGTCTTTTACCTAGATTTTGATAGCTAGTCTTTGTAATTCTTAATATCGGGTATTCCAAGGATATTGTGCTCTACAAGTGAACCGAGTTGAATTATGCGGATGGTGTTGGTCGACCCGGGTTCGCCTTTCCATCCGGCAACCACTACAATCCGATCTCTGTCCACGAAAAGGCCTTTTCGACGTCCATGTTCAATAGCGCAGGCTATGCGCCGATTCACATCATCCGACCATAAGTCGGCTTTAGGCTCTAAAATCCAACATTAATAAAAATCAATTAATGGCCTTAGAGCCTTTTGTACAATAAGTAAATACTCCCACGTTCGATAATACCCAAACTTTTTTTAAAACAAGTGTGGCTAGTTAAAATACTAGTCGCAGAAAACACATGCCATCAATTTTTAGCAAAACGTTTTACAGATTGGGCAGAAGAAAGTGGCTGTTGTCGCAACAGCGTCAAGAAACTACATTCTATTCTAAATTGAAAAGGTTAACAGTAGCAAATAAAGGGAGAGATAAAGTCCTTGCACAAGGAGCACCAAATAAAATACACCCATGAAAACTGGTCCCCCATTAAAACACCAAATAATGTGCCGTAGCAGCATATTTGAACTAACCAATCAAATTAAGGCAACTGGGTTATCGTGCAGCTCTCATATAGCCACACCTAGTAGGATCTTGGCGTTTGAAGAATGCTACTTGAGGGCATAAGGCAGGCCTCTGCATGCTTTCAAACTCATAGAATTATACGACCAGTTAATGTCATCGGCTCCCCTCCCTACCGGCGGCCTGCCCTAACGATGAGTCAGACTGAGGCCTGACTGCCCTCGAGAGTAAGAAACAAGCCATTGTGTAAGAGTGATTTCTTTCAAACGTACCGTCGTAGAGGATAGGCCAGCAGCCGCGCCAGAGGTAGAGTTGTCGCGCGATTACTCCTTCGCGTGTCACGGCCAAAATTGGGCAGCGTGGACGATGTCTAGCAATCATTTGGGCCGATCTAAACAACACGTAATTTAAAATAAATCCCTTTTTAGTCCCCTATTTCATAGCACTGTCCAATGTAACCTTCTTACTAGGAGGTTATTTGTAAAAAGGTCTAAAATACTATCAAATCAGGTAATTTTCAAAGCCGATTAGCGAGAGTGAAGTTATTTTCACAGTATTGATAACCAGAAGTGGGATTTTAGAATAAACGAAACAAATCTTCGAAGTAAGGAGGTCATTGCTAAACTTAAATAAAGAAAAATAACTTCTCCTGTATAACAACCGAGCAAATTGAACAAGAATAATAGTTCGAGACAATTCTTAACTGAATGATCAAGTTGCACAGTAAAAGATTTGGGAAGCATTAGTAATTGGTCGATGTTGAAATTATGACTTGATAAGTTTCCGTTACTCAATGTGGGAGTGATTGATACTTTCTAATGACAGCCTTTTTAATAAGTGATTTAAGCAATATAATTTATCATTAAAATGCAATTCTCCTTAGTCTCTAGAGAGCATTCGAGATACCTAATTTAAGTCAATTTCATTGATACAAAAAGCAACGAAACTTCTACGCTAAAATGGGTAGCCAGGAAAAAGCCAGTAATGTACGAATTTCCGCAATTTTCAAGCTTTCTCTCCATCAATAAATGGGTGGATAAACTGGAGGAGGAGAAAGGTGAGACCAGACATTACGTTCCACTGCTGGTGATGCAAATGATAGCCTTCGCCAGGCAGCGCAAAGAGGCCTCGACCGCGGCGATGGCAGTAGAGAGAGTCGTGTCCGCGGGCACTTTGATTATTCGTCGCAGGTCATTGTAAAGCTCAGTGTGACTGATCACAGACTCCGCTTCCCGACAAATTTTCGCCATTGTCCGCACACATTCTACCGGATATTTACCTTTCGCAGATTCACCTTAAAACATATTTCACAAAAAATGTCATCAAGAGTTGTGCATGAAGTCGTTTTTCAGTACCACCATCAATTTCAGTGACTGATGATTCTTTTAGTATGCGTTCCATTTTAATCAACTATACTTTTCGACACCAAATAGGACCAAAAAATTTTAGAGAATTTGTAAAGTTTTCTTGAGAAATAATTTATGTGAAAAAAATTTTTCGAAGCATAGCTAACTGATCTGTTCCAGCAATGCACATTCACTCAACTTACGTAAGAGATGGCTACAACAATTCAGGAGTATCTGTTTTGAGACAGGTTAGTAAAAGTTATTAGGATTTCATAACCCTTATAATATAATTGCATTCTCTAAACTGTCAACATTATATTTTACTGTTTTAAAGACGCTAACTTGAAATAACTTATGGTAGAATTAATGAAGCAGTTCTATTCTCACTTACTGAATTCGGGCCATTAGAATTTCAACATTAAGGCTTTTTTTACTTATTTTGGCTTAATTATCAAGCTGCAGTGACATTTACCTGATAGTAGTGAAAATATTTATTTATAATTTAATATTTTCAACAGACACCATGTTAACCCTACCACCTGGCTAAACACAATTTTGTTACACAAAAATAATCAGATAACTAATTGAACTGTGAGGTTTGCTGGAAAATCTACGATTCTAACAACGTTGTCGACAATTCAAAGCATTTTTTAAAGCCATTTGAATTTATATAAAAAGCTAGTTTTGAGGTAGGGTTCCAAAACATTCTCTGAAAAATCTACACTATAATCCGAGCAATTCAAATACAATCTTCACTTCAGGTTTATATGCGCCTACCAGAGAGCATAACACAGTCTGCCCCGTCCAGAACAGCATTTGCAACATCACTCGACTCCGCTCGTGTAGCACGAGGCTTATAGGTCATTGACTCAAGCATTTGTGTTGCGCAAATACAAGGCTTTCCTGCAATATTGCATCTGGCAATAGCCATCTTCTGCACCAAAAACACCTTCTCCGAGGGTATTTCGATGCCCAAGTCACCACGAGCCACCATTATCCCATCAGCGGCTTCGATTATTTCGTCAATGCTGCGAACGAATAAATGCAACTATAGTACAGATAAATGTGAAAAAGCGTACTGGTATACTAAAAATTCCCTGCATTATATGGACGATTATCTCGTCTTTTTCGCAAAATCAAAGATGAGTTTCAACGCATCTAATGCATTAGTTGCACTAATCAATGCCTTCCGTGAAACACACAAATGACAGTCGTTTAATAACGACTAGAGGCGCGTTGTTTAGTCATTGCCTGTGTAATAGGTACACTAGGATGCTCATCAAGTGTAACCTAATTAAGTGACGTCAGATTATCAGAATGTAATAATGTATCGTTTAATTACAATTCGAATTTAATGACTAAGATAATTTAACTCAAATCTTAAAAGTTATGCGAAATGACATGACGATTTCAGTTTGAACAAGCATAGATTTGTATAAAAGGACATTAAGTGGTAAGAATGATTTTTGAGGTTTTATTTATTTTTCAGGTTGTAAGTCTTACTTTTCCACACCCTGCTGGTTCTCGATTTTGGCAATGATCTTGATGTAGGCTCCGCGTTCGCCGAGCAAATCTCGCATATCATGAATGCACTTTGCGTCACGGATAAAAGACGCAAATATTATATCCAACTACAGGCCACCAAAAGGTTTGCTTATAAGTATCGTCTACTGAACACTTGCAAGTAGATAAAATGTTGAATACATTATTATCAACAGCGAATAGAATATCTTGCTTGTCTTTTTCAGACATGGAGGGAAGGTCAACTGGTGCACCTGGAAGGTTCACACCTTTTTTTGAACCAAGTCTGCCGCCGTTCTCAATAACGCAGTCAAGGTATTGAGGACCTAATTAAAATAGTTATACCATACCTATTAGCCATGAAATTCAGTAATTCCTTTGTAAAAATTAAACTTTGATTGTATTTCTGCTCATCACTTGCGATCGCTAGCAAGATATCAAGTAATATTTGTAATCTGCCTATTATGAGGTGACTATCAAGGAGGTACATGTGTGGAAACAAAGGTCTAATTTAACTTAATCATAACAGATTCATTCTACATTTAAAAGGCCAATATTCAGAAATTTTGCTCAATACCTTTCTCTTTAACTCTGACACAAATAAGGCCATCGTCAATGTAAATTGGCGAGTTCACATTTAGAATGTTCACTATGTTGTCATAATCTACGTAGAGTGTTGTTTCGTTGCAGCATTCGGCATAGGTTTTATCTGGAGTGATGCGAATCATTTCCCCAACTATCAATTCAACTTCATCGGTTGGGCTCTATAGGTAATAAAGTAGGAGCAAAAGCATAAAAAAGAATAGAAAAACTTACAACGAATAACTTAGTGTGTCAACAGTACATGTTGTGGCTCCTAATACAATATTCTGGGTTCATTTTAATAACTTTCCCTTGTTTTTAGATCATAACAACGCTTAAAATTAATTGTAACTATTCCTTGAAATAGTTAAAGTGAAAACTGCTAACCATTTTTAAACAATTGTAAAGTTTTTGAAAAAAAGCTTACACCATTTATCAAACCAGTACGAATTTCTGGACCTTTAGTATCCAGTGCGATTGCAATGGGACGAACATAGGGCTTGAATGTTTGTTCTGCCTCTCGAACCACCCTTATGGTCTCTAAGTGATATTCATATGTTCCATGCGAGAAGTTTAGCCTAGCAATATCCATGCCGGCTTCAAACAGTTCATGGAGAATACCAATATTTTGGCTAGCCGGGCCTAATTTGTGGAACAGATTAATGTAAGTATCAGAAAAAAGCAGTGCCCCATTCTATCTAAATTAACAGCGGATATGAAGAAGCTGCATTTCACATTTATTACCTAAAAATAAACAAGAGCCTCAAAACCTGCTTGATAAAGGTGTAAAATAATTTTTACGCACCCAACGCTAGAAAAAGGTCTCAAAAGATAACATCTAACAACATTTACAAGCAATAAAAAACTTCATACCCAAAGTACAAATAATATGAGTTTTTCGAAATTGGTCTGGCGTTCTACTTATATCAAGATTACAATTTCTTTCCAAAAGCGAAGTCGAGGAATCATGAATGGCACTGTTTGCATGAGATGCATACCCGAAGTTCTTTAAAGACCCGACTTTAAGTGGAATGGACACCCCATCTGCGAGAGGAACTGCCATTATTGGTAAAACTAAAAACAAATTTAAGAAAATCACTTAGGATTTACATGAGGAACACAAAAGTTAGGTTTAGACAAATAATGCATAGAGTTGGGGTATATACTGTCTACATACCCAAATTTGATAAATCTGAACCACAAAAAATACTAGATATCGCTAACCGGCGCCATTCAAACAAACGCGAAGGCTGCAAATACATATAATGAAGACAAAGTTTGTGCTATTTAAAAGACTCATACTGTAAAAATTCAATTTATTAATTTGTGCTGTGCATTGAGAAATGTGCACAATGTTAGCATAATGTTAAATATATTACAAAAACTTGGGTAATAATGCCAATGCTAAACTGTCACTCAGATTCTTTATTCAAAAAGCACAGCCTTTTAAATAAACTGTCACCTGTTTTAAATTTATGATGCTCTACGAAATAGCATCTAATTTCTCGTGCTATTTGATCACCAAAGCCCAAATGTACAGGTCGTATTCGAGCTTAAATATTGACTCTTTACCGTGATTCCACAGATCCCTATGTCTTTTCTGAGGTTGTAAGAAACCATGGTAGTGGGGCAGAAGTACTTTGTGCATGGAAGGTCTGAGGGTACTGACATGGTTCAGATGCAAAGCCAGGAGTAAGCAATCTATCAAAGCATCACAAATGGGAAAAAATAGGTTACATAATTATATTTGGTCCTTGTAACTAAGTTAAAATAGTAGAATAATAATAAAATGCATATTTCGATTAAAGAATGGCAACTATTGCTTTAATAAGAAAGGGCTCTCTTAAAACCATCCTTATTCTCGATAAATTTACAAGTTCTTATATTCCCCACCAATATTGCATTAGTTCTCCAATGGCCCACAGAACTATTCAAGCACTCTTGCTTAATGAATAGGTTTGCTGTAATTCACCGAGCTACACTTGCCTGTAGTTTTATGGTTTGGGCTCGTAAATTTGATAGGTGAAGTTCACTTTAAACATTGGTTATCTTAATTTTTGACTTTACAACTAATTCAAAGCGTCTCTCCGTCATACGAAAGCGCTTTTGTGTGGACATGGGAGTTTTCAAATAGCGCCAGTCAATAAAATGTTATATCACTACACATCGTGAGAGGCCATAGGTTGTTGCTACAAAATAATGATTAAAACTCCATAGATTAAATAGCCAGTACAACATTAAATATTTGCATTTTCGGTACTGTATTTTTTAAGAGTTATATTATCAAGCTACACTATGCTATGAATGGGACCATTTAAACTGCATCTCCATGGTTAAAGGTGGAAGCCATCGACTGAAATTATACAACAATGAGACTAGGGAATTTGGAGGCGATTCAGACATGAGCAGTTTCCACTGGATCATGAAGCGTTACGCATTAATTATACATGGGGCTATAATCTCCATATTTTTACTTACAATGCCGTACTTGTCTACTGTATTACGTCAAACCAATTGAGCGAATTTCTCCCTCAACACTTTCAAGGCAGTATTCTATTGCAGACAAAAGTGCAATTACGCTGCGTGAAAATAGCGGCAACCATTTTAAACCCCATTTATTTTGACGCTTAGAAATAAAAAGGGGTTTAAGTACACACCTGCTATTCTTCCTCATGGCATTTAGGTTACGAGCATATTTATTCACAAATAAGTAAGAAGTAGGAATCTGTGGGCTGCATTATTTTTCCAGAAAAAGCAATTAACCATTAAGCTGGCTAGAAGAGATTAGGTAGTTCCTTCTCACCGTTGAGCGTCGGCTTTCAGGTACGGCGCTTTTCACTTTAGGCGCAACAGACTTGTATATTGCAGCGTTTTAAGTGTATAGAAATAGAAAAGTTAGAATATTTCTGCATCCGGTAAACTTAACAATAGCAGGTAATTTCATCATGTGTGGCGAGTAATCCTTAAGAATAAACGCAATGATTCGAGAGAAATATTTAGTCTCGTTTTTAAATTCATGGCCGTACTTCCGCTTTCCACAATTAATGAAGGGGATGTGGGGATGAGAGGTGGACAAGTAATACCTATAAATTCAGCAATGTATTATCCATTAGCACAATTGCATTTGCCCCATTGGTTCTATTGGAGGTCGCATTGTGAGATCAATGTGAATGCGTGAGTGTGCGTTGAGTTGCGTGGGTATGAGAATGGGGGCAAGCGCGTGCAAGCTCACTTTACTTTGCGTGTTGTAGCCTGCAAGTAGCATGTCAGATATCGACGAGATGGATTTCACCGAGAGTCAACAGCAAGACTCTAATTCCTTCCGGTACTCCACAGAACCTCCGGGAACTCCGCCATCTGTCCCCAAATCCCCCACCATGCCTCCTCCCCAAGAAAATCTAGAACGCAAACATCGCAGGTCAGTCAGTGAGCAACTCTTCACCGTGCCCAGTTTGCACAATATCACAGCCAGGGGCTATATTCGGAGCCGTCATCGCAAGAGAAACACAGCGGATAGGAACGGCGATGAAGATGGCGAGAGAGACACCGATGTGGGTAGTCTAGGAGTTAGGTATGGTGGGGGAAGTCTAATCGGTTACAATACGGGCTGGGATTACGGAGATCACTCGGTTCCTGGTGCGTATTTGAGCGACTTCTCGCCTTTTGAACGAAGCGGTGAGAACTCAAACCACCACCATTCGTCAACAGGTCGATCCTTGGGCGGCACACACTTTAAACAAGCGTTAAAGAGAACTGTCAAGAAGGCTCTCAATTCACCCCGGGCGGTAGGTCTATCACCTCTTCCTACATTTTAAACGTAACGGATTTATAAAATAAACAGTTTCATAGTACTCTGCTAAGGTTAGTAATTCAAATCGATGCAGCAGACCACAGGATTAGCACTTGACTAACAGATTCCAAGTTATTTTCTACCCTCTTTGGTAAAGCGTCCTTTCACTTGACTCTTATAAGATTAGGTATTTCCACAATGATGAAAATCTTGATTAACTTTTTATCATTGAGTAGGAGATGTGGTCATAAGTGTCAGAAAATTTGCAATATTATTGAGTGCATAAGAAATAAACAGTAAAAGAATGGGATTTTTTACTATTTTATGTGCGACAAAGCCTTCAGGCCTGATGCAACTTTGTTTTCCAATGGATTTTGTGTTGCGTGACATCATGTCAGGGTAAAATTTGCATAAAACCCGAATCGTATTCTTTCGTATTTACAAATTATGTATTGTCAAGATGAAAACAGGCATCTTAACAGGAAGACTATGTTAGTGTAGTCAGGGGCACACACTGACGTCTAATGGTAATTCAGAGTTATGCTTCCGCCCCGCAGTTAATGCAACGTTGTATGCAGACTTGCTCTTTGGTAAAGAAAAAATGTCGGAAGTAGGCAAGAAGGTGGTATGCAAATCACAGGTGAGTGAATTTGGCGTACAAATTCCATAAAACACGGCAGTTCTAAACAAATGAAGGCTTCTGTTTTCGTTTGGACTTCAGTAGCAATTTGCCTCGGATGTAGAATAGATTGTATTTGGAGTAAGTAATAAACGAGGGGATTTGCAATAGTGGCGGATGGTTTCACACACGCGCAAAGCCTTGTGCTCACAAATACACAGAATGGCACGTTGCAGTAGGTTGTGAAAGCCTTCATGAACTGATAGTATCTAGTACTAATTGAGCCCCAAGGCCCCCATGTGATTTTAGGGCACAGAGAAGTGCTGATCAAGCACCAGTCAATAGCACGCAGAAAAGTAGTAAGATTGTATTTTTTGGCAATTAGGTTTTTATTATTTATAAGCAATGATTCCTGAGAAGTTAGGTATTGGAAGTGTTTAAAGATTGCCTGATGTACCGCAACCTTGCTTGCTTATTTTTCACTTACAGAAAATTGTACTTTGCTGATTGGCATACTCCACATTAGCAGGACATTAGATAAGCCTTAACAAGTTGGGCGAGTTTTGTGTAGTTAGTGCATTATCCCAAGTTATCTTTAAGGCTTTCAGAAATGAAATAGTCGATCCATTTGTGCAAAATTTTATGTAATTTGATCATTTTGAAGGCATCACAACCGATTTTGAACCTTATTTCTGAATTATTAAGCTCAGCGTTATGTAAAGAAGTATTAGAATCGTCATAATTGCAGTGAAGGGTGGCAAAAAACTCGATGACTCCCACTATCTTTTAACTTGGATGCAACTCTTAGGTTATACTGTATTTTCATGTTTGTCATCGTGTTGGGTGCATGTTCACACAATTCAGCCATTAGAATCTGAAGAAGCTGTGAGACGAAATGTTATCTACCTGGGCAGTTCACTATGACCGAGGATGATGTGAATACAGGCTCAACCAAGACGCCGGCCTTGCTGAAACATGCCATTTTCGCTGCAACCTCTACTAAAAACCATAAAGCAGCCTTATGGTATGCTTCTATTTTCAAGAAATTTTTACTCAAAATAAAGTCAATGGATAATCAGCAAGATTTTTAAGCATCCAAAGTTTCAAGAATACGACCCTAGAACCAAATGACGGAAAACTAGTGAAAATGTTAAATTTGAGATAATTATGCTGCTTTCATAGGACGCTGAATGTATTGCGGAAAGTTCTCTGAATGGCAGTCCGATCATGGTTCACGATTCCCGACATCACTACAAAAAGTTGTCCGGAGAGAGAAAACTTTACCAAAGACGGTCTAGTTTTTGTGATGATCAATTGGTAAGTTTTCGCATCATTACTCCACATATTCAAAGTTGTGGATTATTTAGGAAATCCGTTTAAAACGTAATCAATATGTCGGCCCAAGTCCTCAGGAGAGTAAAATCCCACACAAAACATTTGTAATTTTTAAAATGCGTGAATATTTCTCATTTAATAAAGTGGATATTTACTTGTTAAATCCGTCTTCCATAGGAGCTTAAACTTGGCTACTCATTTTCACCGTGATGCACATTTCTAGAGATAAATGTCCTTACTATGCGCTTCCGATTAATAACTTTTCATTAACAACTTTTAAGCAGTTCCCATCTAGAATTGGACAAATTATTTCGTGAACAATGGCATGAAAATTCCATGGAAGAATTCAACTACTTTGGTATTAAGAGGTTTGTCCACCATGCTCAAGATGTTTGTTCACAGTAGTCATATGCAGTTAAATGATAATAGTGATATGTTTATCCTAATTATCAGCAACAGGACTTCCCATATGATGGCGTAAACCTCACTCATTTGGCTCTTTTAATGCAAGTAGGTTTCCTGCTGCTACTTCAAATCAAAGGAGCTGGTTTGCAGCAGGAAGATGGAGTGAATGGGACCCTGAGATTTAACATCTCATGAAACACCCATCTGTGCATTACTGCCATAGGTTCTAAGTTCTGCCTTTTTGTTTAATATTTAATGCACATCTATGTTATAAATGCCCCAAAACGAGAATGTCTTGTTGAGAGTGAAATTACTAACCTCAAGAGAGCATTTTTTAAGGCAAGAGGAGTAAATTTTAGGACTTTATTTTGCATTACAAAGTGACGGGTTTCGTACATATAGTAATTCTTTTCCTTGATATGCATAAAGTTGCGAAGAGAGAACGTCACTCTACCGTTTCCGTAACTGACGCTGTAGACGAGGTAGTGGACTGCAAATGATGTAATTGCATACTAGCCAGGACGTGAAATGGCGTGCCCTTGTGTTGGATGGCTTGCGTTTTGATTTAGGAGCATTAAATTTGAGAGTTTGAGTTAGGCGCTTCGGCGCCGGCTCGTCTGCCCATTTATGCCTTCTAGGCTGAGCACTTTTTCACTCCATTCAAATATTATTTGCTGAAGTGAAATAATTGTGATGTTCAAACACTGATTTTGGATAGATTTGATGGGATGAATAAACACCAGTTTAAACGAACAAATGTTTCTGATTTATTGGATTTAACTACTTGTTCTTCTGCTTCTTGCATTTAGCCATTGTTTTTGATACTCATGTTGATTAAAAGCGGTGGCCACTCAAGCCTGCGTGTATGCCGTATAATGAGCAAGTGGCTGTCAGATTATCAGTTGAACTTCTCGACTACATTCAATTTTAAGCAATGGTTGGAAATAGGTACCATCTGCAGTTCGGTGAACATTGTATTCTCAACATGTAGCGTAATATACAAGGCATTAGCGTGCACCGATCCCATTTCAGAAGTGTATTTCAACATATGGAAAAGTATATGTCCGCCATGCCGAAATTATTCAAAGGAGATGTTTTAGCTTGGTGTTTGTCAGCACGTGAATGTATTCGTCGGTTGTAAATGGTTCACATTTTATCTAATTATGGCATTGCATAGTGTAGACTACACGCAAGCATGGTGAAAACTCTTTTTATTTTAGGGGAGGAGAACCAGAAGTGACAGTGGTTCGAATAGTAGGAGCTCGGACTCCATTGCCGTGGACTCCGATGGTCAGGTGGTTGACTCCCAACGCAAACAGAGCCGCATTCGTCACTCGCTGGCGGATCTCTTCTCTCGAGTGAAACGCAGTATACCCGGATCGCCGTTAGGCGGGGTAGGTAGGGGTACTCCCTCCATTGCCTACATTACTAGCAAATGGAATGGCATTTTATTAAAGGTCATTTCTATGCCCTGAAAAAAGTGTTTTACTCACTGAAAATTGCCTTATGGCCTGGAATATTACTTTTTACACCAATTTAAAAAGTGTAATCAGAAAAACAAAAATTAAATTACATTTTTATTTGATTAAAAGTCAAATTGGAAGCCTAGCTAAATTCGTTTTAACCAAATAATACGAAAATGGGAAACAAAATACTGCTAAAATGACTCTAAAACTCCAAAAAATTTTTTTGGGGGCATTGAGGTAAGTGAAAAACAACTTTGGATTAAAAATGCGCTAATTTAACAATGTTTAGAAAGTCTTTACGCTTAATTTCATCTCAAAAGTACCTTATTCAGAGGATTAATATCAAAAGTCAACAATGCTTAATTTGCGTCCAGACTAGTGTTCCAGAGTTGAAGTACTAAAACAAGCATGACACGAGATTACACAAGTCATACCGATCCGCCTAACTGCAGGTGGTAAGACTTGGTAAGGGAGGTAAAATTGGTACACTAAGGCGATGACAAATTTTCATAGGTTGAGAAATGTTTCCATTAAGGACGGTGGTACTTTTATGCTCAATAAATGTTTAGTACTCATTAGAGTTGCTCAGAAGGCATGTATGACTTGATGCAATTGAACTACGTTGCATTTCCTGTCACGCGTTCCCAAAGTTCCTTAATTAGGTTTTTTTCATCCAGGATGCTAAACAAATACGTTGGGATTGTACTCTGGCTCTTCGATCAGCAAAGCTGAAAGGTATGCTTAAGGAATTAAGCACACAAGTACTTTATTTCAAGATCGAAAGAAAAACATTCATTGAAGTACAATTAATAAAAGCTGAACATCAAGATGACTTAAGGAATTGTTTAGACAGATGTGTAGGCAGATAGATAGATGGATGGATAGGTAGGTAGGTAGGTAGAAAAATAAATAGATTGGAAATGATTGATAGATTGGCTACTGGTGCCATGAATGGAAAAAAAATACTCTGATTCTACTGTTTGGAATAGCTGTAACGTTTTGTTTATAGAAAAGGTTAACTGTTGTGTCCATGTGCTTTACATGGACAAGTTCGTTGTCAAATCGTCGTTCTCTGGTGAAACCAGTACTCCAAGGTGGAATGAAACGTTCACTTTCCCCATCAACAATCTTGATGGGACTCTGGAGGTAGGTCTCTTGCTCCTTTCAAAAGTGCATCAATAGCTCAACTTATTGTGAGTAGCCAAATGGAACGCAAATTAGAATATACTAACGTTGTAAACTAAAGCGCTTCATCTTGCTGCCACGAAGTTCATTTGTTGAGTTTTCAGTTACATCCAGTATTTATACACAGCAACGCCTTCAAGTAAGTAGGCCTATCTTTCATTACTCACTCTTTTAATCTTTGGTTTAATGCATTGTCAGCAAATCTAAACCAATGCAAGAAGGGCACCTTAGCGTGACAATCGATCTAATTTACCAAAAAACTCCAGCAATGCGATTGTATGTCTAGGTAAGTGACAAATGCAACCCTGATGCCTTTTGTAGGAAAATAAAATGCAGAATACCAATGATTTGGTACTCATTTGGGCGTTAAAGGCAATTGTTAGAAAAATCTTAAAAGAGATTACATACAAGAACTGGGAGAGGTATTCTAGTTCAAGCAGCTGGAAAAACAGAATACTGAACTAGCTTACAATGTTTTCTTTCGTTCGTCTGATGTTACAGACAGGACACACGCTCCACATTGGCGTCACAGCCTTTACTACAAACTCTTCATTAATTATCAAATCGACGAATCGTTTATTGTAGCTTCAAGTTATCGAGAAGCATACGGTTAGGTCTGATAAGCTCATAGGTCGAGCTTACATCGCTCTGCGTCGCGACGAAAAGTAAGCCTTTCTTTAAAATGTTTTTGCTGAAATTTTAGTCTTTCTTCGTTTAGCTTCCATAACTGCAAAGTAATTTAAAGTTGTTCCGACGTTTCAACCTATTTTGACCCAAAAATCAACGAAGTATGCTCATTGAAAACAGGACTTTTGAGGCGGTGGTTTGAATATGTATGATTTACCACTAATCCAGTCAGTGTCTAAATAAATTTTATGGTCCCATTTAAAACACGACCACCCATTTATCCTTTATCTTCAAATGCCAACTTCTATTCATATTTCCTAAATTTATTTATTGAGGTCAATAATCATGAACTCTGTATTTGTGGTCATGTACTTTGAGTCACATTCTATTCATTTTACTATAATCGAAGCATGAGTTGTTTTAATCCTTCACATATGTCCTCACATCACTCATTTAACAAGTCAAAATAAGAGAAGGAACCGATTCCTCGATGGGCTTAGTTTAGTGACGCACTGATTCCATTAATACTTTGGTAAAATTAATGCGTGTCTCCCTGCCTCACATGTAAGCAGACTGATTGTCATTAAATTACTTAGCACGCTTCTGCCAGAGTAGTCGTGCATCTCAGAAGGGCCGAGGTTTGTGTGTAAAACTGATTGACAATAAGAGCACCCCCTTAGGCGTAGCCACCTAAACTAATGTGAATCATTCTAAAGCCTCGTTTCACAATTAAGTGTTGCAAATGACTTAGCATTTTGGTCCTCTGGTGCTAAATTCCAATAGACTGCTTCCATGGTCTTTTCTTGCAGCGTCTGCTCACATGAGGCCATGATCAAGTACTTCAGCATAAGGAAGGGCAGCTCGCAGACGTTGGGCACCTTGCGTGTGGACACGAGCATCGAACCGAGTCTACTCACGTCACTTGATGGATATAGTCTTTTTGGAACTGCCGAAGACTCTGAACCCCTGGATGAGAGTGCCAGTGCTACAACAGCCTCTTCCTCTCATAGAAAACCATTCTTGCGAAAAGTGAGTTTCCTATCTAATTTGGGATGCAATTGTTAGTCAGACCGCCCCTCAATTCACATAATTTGTGCACTATCAATGCCTGTAGCAACAATAATGTTCACCTTGTTTTGTTGCAGATTATGAATGCTCTTGCAATCAAGCTTATTCTCTTTACCATTAAGCAGAAACGTCCCAATCGGTATAAGTAAACTTAAAGTGAAGGAAAAACTTATCCTCTTTTTAGGTTGCGCATTTTCCAATGCTGGTTATATCTGCATATGTTGGTCTTTAGAATCTACTTTGAGCTTGAAACATATTTCACTCTATTGTAACAGAAATCATAAGTTATAGGCCCAAAAACGGCGAATAATCAGCCCATATTTGCGATGAGAAAGTCCAAATCTGTAGGTGTGCAGTCCAATAAAGATTCCGACATTTACAAGATACGTCTATTGTAAAAACTGCAGGAAATAGTACAATTCAACTACAAGCTTGCGATTGACAAAAATGACTTCTGGAGAGCCACTTCATTCTCAGAAGTCCAAGGTTTGTGAATGTTTCATTTTAGCCCAAACCTTTCAACAGTACTTTTTCAGTACGCCTGAGCTTTAGTGACCCTATCAACACAAAAACGTGTACAAATAAACTTTTTTTGAAAACTGTCACGTCTAGTCCTTCGCAAGATGGTCCTACTCTAACTGGAAAATGCAATATTACATCTCACTGCAAAACTTGTCAATGAGGAGATTTTCACTTTGACGTGGAAGGAAGATATTGGCGCACCTAATCCTTCAAATAATCTCGACATTCCTCCAAGGAATTTTGATCTTTCGTGACATTAGACATTGCCTTACGAAAGTGACTAGCTGAGAATTCAACTGAGATGGAAACGGTGGCCAGAGCTAGGTTATCAGCTTTCAGAAAGGGAAATTTTTATAAATACGGGTTTTGTAAAAGCTTGCGTCCCTTATTTAAGAGATGATAATCTGTAACAGTAATCATTTAGCAGAAAGTATTTAAGTATCGTCTCGCATTTACTTAATTTTTATCCAAGAAATCTTACCATCTTATTCGGCTACTTTTATAAGGCTTGATTTAGTGACTCAATTTGGGCTTGCTAACAAAATATAAAATTTTAACACTTCCTTCTATGTTGATTTAGAAATTGGCCAGAAAACTGGCTTCCCACATCCACCACCATCGCTTCCACCGATCAAAAAGTAGACAACCAAAGCAGAGCTCCATCGAGACTTTTTACGAGCCGTCTATTCGCAATGATAGCACTTTCTACTTCTCACCCTACGAGGTCACACGACGCTACCTTGAAAATGAGGCTTCCGTATCCTCCCCCAACATCACCTGGCGTCCCTTCTTTGACTGGCCAGGCCACCGCTGTCTCGAGCCCCCCATGATGGCTATCCAGCGCCGTTATCCAGCCCGCTTTTGGGAGTTGCGCATCCCAAAGCTTCCCTGGCCGATCGAGTTTCTCCTTCCCATGACGCGCCTCGCCTTTCCCACAGCCAATCTTGTAGATACCCTAGACGTAGGCGACACAGTTAAGGTGACGAAGATTGTTGAAAGTGGAGTGATCAACCTTTATCTGGTGGGAGCGAGAGGACTGAGGTCGATGCCGCAGGTAGAGATGACGCCTGGATGTGGAATGGACGAGAAGGGGAGCGGTGGTGGTGGAAGCGGAGTAGGCGGTGGAAGTGTCATGGGTGGGAGTGTTGCAGTGGGCACCCCCGTAGCTGGGGGTGAGGGCCAGGGTATGCAAGTAGGAGCGAGTGGCTCCAACGTCATAGCAGCTTCTCCTGAGACCCGCGCGGCTTCGATAGTGGCCCTACATTGGGCTGCAAAATCATTCACCCTACCACCTTCTCCACAAGTCGAATTCTCCTATGGGAATGAAAAAAAGTCCTCTAGCGTAAGCTTTTTATTGTTTTTAGATTTTAGCACAATTAATAGTGCTTTTTTCTTATTCAGATCCAAAATTGATAGCTGAGCCAAAAGTTTTTCAGAAGCTGTCAAATGCGTATCGTAGCAGTGGTTTTGGTATCTATTGTAAGGCATTCGAATTTTATGCAAATCAGTTTAGAGACAGCTTTAAAGGTATATTTGTTTTTATACCCATCCCAGTAGTGAATAATGAAAGAGGTAATAAGACGAAATGAATATGATTTAGTAAATATAGTTTGCTATTTTGGTTTTTTGTCAACTTAATCCAAACTTCTCAAAATGTAAAAATTTTGGGTTTCTTGATGACTGTAGCATAAAAATCCGTCTAAAATCATAAATACCAGAGATAGGGAAATCCGTTTCTCTATAACTGAAGATCAATGCTCCGACATACCATGCAACAAAATCAAATGTAACATTTTAACGTAAGTGGTCTACACATGGTCAGTGCATTCTTCTCAAACCTTTTTAAATAAGGTTCTCGCCAGCAATTAGATGCATATAGCATCATTTTTTTATTCATTAAACACTTGTATCATAAGAAAAATGAGAAAATGGGAATAAACTGGTCTATACATGACTTTTTACCATTTATTTGCACCTTAAATCATCTGGCTATCCTATAGGTAGTGAAGAACAACAGCAATCCCGACTTCCTTGAGGAATTTGAATTCCAACTTACAAATGGCTCCCCTGGATACATTAGGGTAACAGTGTACGACAGGGAAACTCAACCAGGAAGTGGTGGAATTCCACGAAGCTCAATCCTGGGGGAGTAAGCTCATTTTCAAACCATAATGAATTTGCTTACTTCTTTTACTTAAGATAAATTTTTTTAACTCGTTCACGAAAACGGGGCATAAGTTTTAAATTTCTTTAACAAGTAGGAAGTGAACTCATTTTTTCCAAAAGCTCCTAAGAATATTATTGCAACGCAGCGCGCAACAAATGCTTATGGTGATTCTGTAATTATAATTATGCCTATTGCAGGAGATGCAAGGTAAAAATACACAACCTCACTTTTGCACAGGGAGGTAGTCTGACAAGTACGAAGTAAAAAATAATCTTATGAATTTTCAGAAACTAATGAAAAACCATTTTGCCGTTTCTTCATTGTCTACTTCTTATATAGGTAATCCTTAACAGCTTGCAAACACTTCACTTTAGGATTGTCATTGACTTGACCGATATGCCACTCGAGTTGACTCAAAAAATGGAATTGCAGTTGCTAAAGAATTCCAACGAGGCCAGGATTCTGATGTTTGTAACGATTACCGGACTGAGTACTGCGGCCAGGAGTCCTCTGCAGACAAGGGACCAATCTTCCTCCGACTTGAATTCTGCATCACCACTTGCAACGTCGCGTTCAGTCCTGAGTCTCAGCAACTACGACCAAGGAAGTGAAACCAGAGAAAGCCCGGGTGAACGAGAAGAGAAGTCCATATACCCTAATCTTCCTATCAATTACCTTCAGATAGTGGCTGAACACTTTGTAAGTTTACAATATTTCCACAAGCGCTTCACTCAGATTATAATTTAAAACACTATTAAGTCAATAGCTGCCTTTTTAAATGAGGACTATATATGTCTAAATCTAAAAGTCTCCGCTCCTTGTTCCATTAAGCCATGCTATCGCACGTGCTTTATCTAGATATTTAACGTAATCCGCTGTGGTCGATGTCTGCCGCACTTATAGTCTCTTTGTATTTCTTGACAGAGTGCAAAAAACTCCTTTAAAAACCTTCAGGATATCGGATGGATGCGATTAAAAAGTATGTTCCAAAAATTTTGACTTCAAGTATTTCGTACTGCAGTCAGCAAAAGACTTATCTATTTTTTCCTAAACTGATCTTTATTTGGAATTTTGATGCCTTTTGCAATGGGTATGAATTTTCTATTTTAAATTACTTCGTTGGCGCATAATGAAAAGTATTTGACCTTTAAAGTACTCTTTTCACCAGCTTGAATCTCTCTGAAATATAAGCAAAATGTAACCACTTATAATTTGAGTTTCCCCTTCTGGGTTATAATTATTTTTTTTTAATTCCCCAGTTTGTAGTGCCATGGGTCTTGGTGGCAAATCTACGAACGCTCGGAGTGAAATCTTCTGTACTGTTGACGTAGTAAACACACATCTCAGAACACAAAATGTGATAAAGCGAAAAAATCCCACATGGAATCGGTGTTTTGTAATGTGAGCTATCAGGACTTACCCTAATTCAGTAATTTAGTGCAGAATTTAATAGTGTTACCTTTGTGATTTAGTCCCTTGTCAGACATTCATGGTATTATGAAGTTAACGGTAATCGAAGTCGAGAAGAGTAAAGCCGAAGTCATTGGTGGCCTCGCAATTCATCCCCTCCGTGTAAGCAATTTTTACACACTTAAAAATCACTTTGCTTTAGTGAAATTCACTTTAGCTTATTAACTGCTTCTTTAAGCTATTAAAAAAAACTACAGTTGAGACCAAAATTCCCAAAGATTAGTTATTAGACAAATAAAATGACCATCTGCATTAGGAACATCATTATATCATTGTATTTGATGCTTTTTTTACTAGGTAGACAATGAAGGAAGCAAGTGGTACGCCCTTAAGACACCAGATCTTCGAAGCCCAACAAAAGGCTCGATTCTGCTTGAGATAAATGTTCGCTTTAATCAGGTCAGCCACTGTACTGTGCATGGCATATGTTGTAGAAACATTTTATCCCATATAAAACCAATAGGCAACTATTTTAATCATAACAAAGATGCTATGCACATCTTTGTCAGACATTACCCTCCATTTCTGGGAATAAATACTGTTGAGTGAAAAGGTCTTGTTTTATCCAGATCCCGGCAACTGAGTTTTTGATTTTTGTAGTTCAAGTCCGCGTTAAAATCATTTTCGCCAATGGAAGTGCGGTATCGGAGTTTTGCAAAAAACCAAAAAGTACGTTTTCATATTTGCTATATGCGTGTCCACTCTGAAGAGGGTCATGATGTTTGGTACGCATTACCAATCTGATTTAGAGTGCGTTGACAACTCAGCTATTCCCACTTGCTTACCGCTCTAAGTGAAGTGTAAGTTCACAATCTATGAAGTGATTGCGCCTCAATCTAGTGGTTTTTTACCGGAGAAGTATTCAATTCAACTTTATGAAAAGTAGTGTTTGTTTTGGCGATTCGGTAAGCTGTTTAGGCTGTGAATGCCGCGTTACTTGTTTAAAAATAGGCAATTTTTCAATTTAGGGACCCCGGTGGAGCAATTGTGAGGATATTTCTGGGGAAATAAGTGCGGTTAATAATTTGTATTATTTGTGGGCGAGCACACTAAGCCTTATCATAATCGTATTGTATGTGAAATAGTTTGATTATTTTACATTCCGTATCTAATCAACTGATTCAACTAAGGATGGTGAGACCCAAAGGAGAGGCAGTACTTTTAAATATCGCTATAATTCTATCAACAGTTACTTGTATTTTTAACTTGCCAAAGCTGTCAGGGAATGTGACTTAAAGTTATGCGGTTGACGGTAAAGTGACATGGTCAGGCCGTATTTAGATAAATCAAGATCACAATAGAATATTCTTTGCCCACACCTTGGTTTTGATGTACATTCCCTAAAACTTTTTGTTGCATCCTTTACTTATTGTATCTTCCCTTCAAAACTCCCACATAGTCTGCAAAACAAAGCTCATTTTTTAAATGTAGTGATTCCATTGCTTTACTAATGGAAAGGCTGAAATTTCCAAAGAGCGTTTTAGGCAATGCCATTTGACACTAAAGTTACTGATTTTAAAAGTCAAGTGCTGATCTGGTTACCAATTTGCCAATTGAATTCCGGATTTTTCTTATTGCAGTTCTCAAATTAGGAAATTTTGCCGGTTAAATGGGGACTGATTTGCCTGATTCTGGAATTAAATCACACTTTCAATGATGGAGTTACACTAACTTGAAGTCATTTCACAACTCCTTGAAAGAAACGGGTGTGTACTTCAATGCGTCTGTGGAATCGAAGCATTCTTATACCCTCGTATAAGTCTAGTTGGAGATCTGCACCTCAATGGAAAGTTGAGCAGATAATCACTAGAATTGTACCATTTGCATAACACCTGCACTGATATTGTACCTGCTATCTCATTTGAATCTACTGGTTCAAAAGGGCGTGACATTTATTAATGTATCCATGTGATTTACCATAATTACGTGGGCGCAATTTTTTTCGATGTCTCCCAGTGCTCTCAGGAAATAGCACCACTCAATTTTCCCTTCTTTGAATAGCATCGAGAGCAAAATGAAGAGGTCGCTATGTTTTAGCATTAAAATTGAATAAACACCTGCATAATGTCAACAGATTTGCTTTTAGAAATGTCAGAATTATAATATCATGGAGATTTTCTTGTTACTTTTACTTAATTGAAACCAATAACCTTTACGTCTGCGATTTTAGGAAATTCACAGGCATGAACTAAGGGTAATGTACAGTTTGGATTTTCAATCGGCATTAAATTTAACAACAATTGAGTAAATTTGCCTAATATTTTACACCGTAGCCAAAGTCCGCCATAAGTAGTGATAGCTGTACTTATTTAACCCCACAATCACTTTTTGAGATATCGCTTACTTTTATGCTGTCCAGTAGGCTTAACAACACTCTCAATGAAAGTGCATGATGATGTCTTTCTTGTGCTCCCACTGACGCGACATGTCTGATTAGCGTCACGCTTCAGAAGCTTCCAAACATCAAGCTAGTCGAGGCTGAATTAGCGGGTCAGACCTAAAACGTAATTGCCACTCAATGGAATCAACAAAATTTAATGATTTGTTGTAGTTATATCTAGCGAATGAAATTAATGCTTGGAAGCTTGCTCTAGCACTATTTATTGTCCAAACAACTTTAGTGCTTTGCTGGCTGTTTATATTTAGTGGGTTTTTGTTGGTCTATTTGAATGCTAACGAGTTTTTCCATAGTGCGCTTAAATATAACCAAGAGTTTTGCTAATAAGCGCCCTGTTGAGGAATGAGCTATAGTAGTCAAATAAATGTGTACCCTCCATACAAATGGGTGATGTTTCATTCTTGGCTGAAACTTATAGACACGAAAATCCCAGTAGTGTCAGTGACCAAAGCTTTAGCAAGCTAATATAGGTTCTGAAAGCCCAGATAGTTCATAATAATGGAAATATACCATGGAGACCATTGCCCCAATCTAAAGGTAGGTATCGCTGTAGTGCAGCATCAAACACCTATTCAAGTCTATGGCCAGTTAATCCGTGTTATTATGTGGCGGCACGTACTCAGTGTTTCATGAGTAGATTTTCACTCAATTTTATTACAATGTCAAGAACTTAAGTATTACCAAGTACAAAAAAACTCGAAGGCTTGATTTTACTCTCCCTGGGAATGCAAGAATGGCTCTATTAACAATGTGTACACTAACCTACTTACCATAATCTGCTATCAGTTGTACATTCAGCTACTAAACTTAGTGCCTTTATCAACGTTGTAGTTGTTGCAACAGCGGTTTGAACACGTAAAGCCTCTGCTGGACCTACTACGTTGGTGCGGTCGTGTCCTTGACGACTGGTGGTTGTGGAAAAACCCAATTCACTCTATTTTTGGCTTAATCGGCTACCAGCTCGTTATTTATTACTTCCAACCATACTTCATACCACTCTATATGATTATGGTGCTGTTGAAGAACCGTATATACAATTGTGAGGATGTGGACACTATTATCCACGGCTTAAAGCATAACAAAAACGCAGCGCAGCTGGCCTCGCCACAGGAGCACGAGATATACAAGCACCAATATGAGATTTTGGAGCAGTACATGAGTCAAGGCTCCTCATATCCCTCTCGTACTTGGGGGCGTAGTCAAGGAGACGAGGGGAATGACTTGGACCTCTTCGATTATTCCGCTCTGGGCAATGAAAGTGACCCCAATAAGGCGTACCTTGGCGGCATGCAGGTACGTATTCGAGCAATACTTGACATTTGAGCTTCACCTTATTTGGCAACTTAAAGGATTGATAAGTCCATATAATACTGGTAGATATTCATTCCCCACTTTGTAGAACTTTAATGTCGTTTTTAATGGCGACTTTATTTATGAGATTTTATGTAGGACTATATATACACATGTTTACGGGATTCTACACTTAGGTATTTATATATGAATATATTCACATAAATGTTTGATTTAAAATATCAGTTTATATCAAACGATCACCATCAGTCGCAGCACTTAAATTTTGGCTGACAGCAATGAACTGGATTATCATTTGTTTAGCTGTCTAAGCGTAGTTACGTATAGACAGATTTATTTCAAATCTTTTCACCAACTTAGTCACGAAATCCTGATACTAATTAGTTCAAGTAACCTTTTCCTGAAATATTTAGAACAACGATGAGGTGGAAGCGCTCACCCTATACAGTCTTGCCTTGCCAGAACTGCCGGTAAGTTCTGTGGATTTCTCAAACCATTTCTTGACTATTTTTATAGTGAACCAAAGTACAAGTAAAAACAATTTTTTATTACTTTTTCTTAAGTTATTTAGAGAAGTTCTAAATCAATGGTTTTAATAAAAAATGAAAACTTTCCCATTTGACATGCAGCTCGTTAGCACGAGATAATGTAATCGGGCGTGTTAGGGTTATAATAAAGGTGGTGCCGTTGTATAGCCTTAAATTTGACAGTGGTTAAAATAGTTGTGCTTATTTGAGGGAATAAAGCAATATTCCGTATTATCTTTCTTTTCTAGAATGAACAAGTTCGTGAAGATGAGGAAAAGGTGACCGTCTCAACCAAGGTACGCCCTTACAAACCAGTACTAATGTACACAGCCCGCTTTTGTTGTAGCCCTTTACTTGCTACGCCCTCGTATTCGCTTCCCCATCCTGTACTTAATGCAGAGGCCACACACTCAACTATGAGTGGGAAGATAACAATTATCAACACTAACCCATACTTTGCTCTTCGCCACCAAATAGTTAACTTATGCATCGAATATTAATGTCAAATCCATATCTTATGGTGCATTTTTTCACCAATTGGTCCGTTCTTGTGGATTTATTAATTGACAGTGAAATGCACCGTAACAACTACCCGCACATAGGCATAGTTTTTATGATAAGCATTTATCTGTTCTTTTGTATTTTTAAGGCTGAAGGAAAGAAAACAATGAGAACAAGATATACTGGCATTAAGGAGACGATAACCCGCATCTTTGATATAGTTGAGAAAACGGCGTCATTTTACGAACGAGTGGAAGGGTATGCTCCAAAACCCATTGACAGTTTCGTGTTTTTTACAAAAGCCTATGTCATTTATTAACAAGCAGCCTTAGTTCAAAATTTTCAAAGATAGAAGTACCTGGAACTAACTAGAACTCAATTGGTCGATACTTGTGGGGTCATAAAACGCGATTTGAATGCACTGTCAAACCATGAGGATAAAATGAATGGTGAAGTGCCGAAAATTTCAGTCGAAGTAGCTGAAGTGGATTTAACTTTGTGCTATGCATCAGCAAGTATATCAAATGATGTGGTATTTAGTAAATACGCCAACGAAGAATTTGTCTGTTATTTTTCAACAAATGATTATCCTTATCCAGGAATCAGGTTATAAGTTAATTATTTTTCTTTGCGTTAGCAACGTTAGCAGAGTCTGTTTTCTTGAAATAAAGTCTAATTCCACTTCGATGTAAGGGGATTATAAGTTCAAATTCACTCCAAAGTATTTAACCAAGCATTTCTTTATTTACTTTTGCTTAACCACTACCAATAGCCTCAAATTAAGTGCTGTGTTTGTGTTCACACTAGTCTACCCAAGTCATAATACGTTTTGCAACAACATTTAGGCATATTAAAGTTATGAGAAGGTATAATCTCAACAGTATCAAATGCCCTATCAAATCAGAGCCTCCATCCTCTTGAAAACATGGCTATACCTAAAGTCCTTTAGTATTTTTTCCTTCAACTCATAAGGCTGTTTAACTGGAGGATCCCCTGGGTGTCGTCGTTGGCGGTGATCGTCTTGTTAATTATAACAGTTATACTGTACTTTATACCCGTGAAATACCTCTTTATGGTTTGGGGTGAGTTTTCTTCCTTCTTTACAGCAAATTCGGTCTTGTCTTTTTTATTTAGTTGCATTCATCTATTTTTACTGCCGATGGAATTATTTTATCCTCGACTGTAAATATTTGTGGTTTAATCTTCAGGACTTAATAAATTTACGAAGGCAATTCTTCGCCCGAATGCTTTGAGAAATAATGAAATTATGGACTTCCTTTCCCGAGTTCCGAATTTAATTGAAGCGGTATGATTTTAGCCGTGTTAACTGCTGCCTTTAAATACGTAAAATACCAAGTACTCAATCATCGTTGTTCTAGATTGAATTGACGGAATACCGACCAGATGCATTCACCCTCACGCCAAAGGGGAAGACCCACAAAAGTTGAACGGGAATTAAACCCAAAATTTGAATTTGTCTTTCTTTTACCTTCTAACATTTCATATTATTATGCGAAAACTTCACAATTTTGCGTGAAATCAGGATTTGCGCAGGATTGCATTCAGCATAAATAAAGTGTACAAATTACTTGCTAATATATCGGTTTGATAATAGTCAAATTTTACATTAAGTATTTTAAGTCATCCGTTGTAATAAGTGCGTTGTAGATACAATTAAAGAGTATAATGATTTCTCAAATTGTACAAGTTTTGGAATGAATTGAAGCACTAAAACTTCAATGGCTTGTTATATCCTGGGAATTGCGCCGAGAGCTGCGCAGAATAAGCAAAAATCGAGAAGAATCATGCCATCATTGAAGGGCAAGTGGCTGTTGCACTCCTCCAGCTTGCACGGTAAATCACCGCATTTTCTCAATGACCACTGCACTGGGTATATTGACAACTAAGTGAACCCGTGTTTCACGACCCCAAGTGTCCAATCCTTGGTTGTGTATAGACTCGTTGATCACATCCCTTTTTTGGTGTGTCTGACATGGGGTAATTTTGGTGATAACATCTGGTTTTTGAGCAACAAGTGACTCCTGCCTCAGTTGCAAACATCTACCAGGCAATGCATTAGACGATTATCGACCGCATCAAATCGATTTCCAGTTATTTTAAATTCTTCAAGTCATTTTCAGTCTTTTAACACAAATCCAACAACAATGGGGCAACACGTTTCGCACAGCAAGGGAGCAATCACTACGAGAACTGTCTTAGATATGTGCGACTCTTTGACTAGAACTGAAGTACTGGAAATAGCCTTCAAGCTGATTAAAGATACTGATACCTCTAACTCTATGATACTCTGGAGTTCTGTGAATGCAAACGCCATTGAAGTTCCCAAAGTCATGCCCATGGGCGACTTGGTGGAATCGAAACCGCCTTTTTGTTGTGAATGCTGTAAATGTCATGAGCGTAAAATTAACGAATCTGAGATTGGAACAGGAGTTCTGGAAGTTATAGCCTATCTTGATAAAGTATTAGAAGAATTTGGGTGTTACTTTTATCAAACTCGAGAATTACATGGAGACCGATCTACTCTCCTTAGTGAAAGAGAATATAATTCTTCTTCACCTTCAAATCTCCTTAGCGAAGACGACTGCACGCCCTCGAGTGTAGTTTGTAATTCAATTGACTCTCCTCCTTGCAATGACGACGAACTCATGACTGACTATGCAATCCAAGAAAGCTCAAAGAGCAGGGTTTAGTCTTTGTACCTACTCGAAACATATATGAATTTCACACAGATACTTAAATTACGTTCAGGCGAAACTCTTGCAAAATCATTAAGCCCTTCAACCCCTTAATAGTGACATGAATATTCATTGATTGACTGGCGGATGATCGTTGCGGAATATCTTGTCTGTTTCTTTATACCTCTGCCATATATGAATGGAAAAGTGCTGTATGACGGAAATTTTGCGTCTTTTAAAAAGTGCCACGTTATTCGTACTGCTATTGCAGGCACAAACTTTTGTTGGTTTTAATAATTCAAACAGGCTTGAGTTAATACAATCAGAATGAAATACAATTCTGTGCAATTAATTAGAAGGTAAATCCATTTATGCAGTAGCAATATTCATAGAACACTTCATCTTGTGTAAACGAAGGACCTGGGAGTTAATCTACGCTGCTGTTCCTGAAAACGGAATAAAAATGTTTAATAAGAGCATTGCGTCAATCAGTGGATTTGATTTCGCACTGATACGTCCCAGAGGTTTACATTTTTGGCTAACGATATTTCTACCTGAGTAACAGAAAATTAAAGTTTTTTGACAGACTTAGGAAATGATTGCGTTCTATTATTAAGTTCACCACCTAGGTTAATTGGCACCTCAATGAAGTGACTGAATGCTGTTCTACTTCTAGAGTGGGTTGCTTCTTGAACAAAGGTGCAAATAGAGATCTCTCATGACAGAAAGTCAAGATGCGAGTACCCACACGATACGAATTTTGTTAGTTACGAATCCCTCTAGGTTAATAAACAGTAGATGACAGATTCCCCATTACAATACGAGTGATAGTGTAACTTACCAAATGATTTTATAACAAATGAAACGACTATTTTTGGTAAGACATTGGGAGCATAACCGAATTTCCAGGCGAAAGCTGTTGTCCGTAGGTGTTATTGGTTGTATAACAATCTTACAAAGTGACGAGGCGATATATTCCCCATTGTTAGAATATTTAACACAACTTTCGCCCATAATGAACAGAACAGAGTTAATTGTTCACTATACTTTAACTTTATACCCATAGCCAACGTCAAATCAGTTACTTTGATAAATAAATCGCCTGATCTTGGTAGAGAATATGGAACAAACTGTTTGGCATAAAAAAGGGATGCTTTGTCGCATTAATATGGCGATTTGATTCATGAGACATTAATTTAAGACAGACGCGTCCCTATGGAAATGGCATAGCTTGCTCTTGCCAAGATCATGACATGTTTGGTTTTAAAGGCGCTACCTCTCTTAATTAGGAAAGTCGCCGAGGATTGGGGTTATTACAAAGCAATCTAAGCAGTAACCTATGTACTACTGTGATTACGCCCCTCACAATAGGCAATAAGTGCGCTAAGTGAAAAATGTAGACTTCAAACAGATGATGGATGAATGGACGGACTAATACTTATGGTGGCGCATAAAACAAACTCTTTAGACATTTGTTAGAGAAAATGTTTTAGGCACTGCAGTTTCAGATGTTTAGTTAGAAATAAATATTTAGTGAAGAAGCACATTTTTGCATGTCGGAGATGTGTAAAATTACCAGGCCTCTGATAGTAAGGAGTAAGGCTTTTAGAACCTGGACATTCAATTTAAGAAAGAATAGTATAGGTAGTTGAAAAACTCACAGCCTCTGGTCTAGAAGGGACACGGGAGATCACATTAAACGTTGAGAATGTATATTTGCTGTTCGGCCTGAGTAGTTTCCTCGTCAGCTGATTCGTGCCTAGCATCAGTGTACAAAAGTCTTTTGTGCTGAAATTCTCGTCTTTATTACTTAGTTCAGAATTTGGAGCATTGCTAGTAAAAGCGTTTATTGTAGCATTTTCAGTTTGATGAGATTTTCGTCATTACCTACCAATAATTTATTTCCTTCATTTATGAATAAACTTGTCTAGTCTGCATTTATCGGAACAAATTTTAAAGTGTTGGCTGTTCCTACGTTAAGAATAAGCTGTGATTACAGATGTAACTTTTCACGAAAACATGTTTTACTGGTGTGACATTCTTTGAGGATCAAAGAAGATCAATGGTGCATGTTTAGTAAAGGGTTTGATACATAAATGACGCGGCATTAAAGCTAGGTATCTTCTCGTATTTGTTATCACCCAGCAACCGCGGACGTCACCGTTCGCTTCCCCCAATCAGTTAGCTTGCGGTCGGTATTGCTAAGACATTTGGATTTGCTTGATCTCATTTTAAAAGTACAAATATATTTAACTAGCAACTACTATACCCTAGCCCTCAATGTGAGACATAAAGGGTATACAAATTACGGCATTGTAAAAACAAACTGATTGGTTTAAAAGCACTTAATCAAAAAGATGATTTCAAATTTGTTTGAAAATGTGGGTCTTTTTAACTGTCATTGCGTTGTGCAACACCAATCCCTTCCAGCTTCCTAAGTGAACATTTGCTGAGAGTCTTGGTGTCGATGTGAATCTAGGCGCAGACCACAGTCAGTCTTGTGACGATACTTTTCCAAGCCAAACTGGAACACAATAAATCAACTTTACATATGCAGCCGTCTAATATAACAATGTGGAAGTATCTGTTTTCAGTATCATTTTGAATGGGTAGTACCATGAGATCTAGTAAACCATTATTCTTAACAAAAACCACTGACTTCTTTCGAGGTTAAAATAACATTTATCGTATGACCAGTTACCATAAACCTACAAGTTCCCAATGGACAAATTTGGAAGGTATGTTGTTTTTATTCATAAGTAGCACTAAAATCATCCCATATCCAGATACAGATACATATGCATGCCAGAAAGCACATAAACCTACCTATTATGCACAGCACCACTCTCAGTGGAACAAAGTATAGTATAAGCGTGAAGATAACCAGAAAAATAAGGCAAAACCAAGTAAGCCATGGTACTTGCCACTCGAAAATGCTGAAATTGAAAAAAAAACACTAGGTCTAAACCAACCACATTTGTCGTTTGCAAGACGAATTTACCCAATAAAAGCCATGAACTTAACTGCAATCAAGTGTTCAGTCTACTTAGGCTTTCAGCGGCCTATTTCAATGGGTGTTCTGAGCTATGAAAGTTTCAATCCACATATGAAAGATGTTCAGTATTGTAATGCAAGTCCATATAATCCAACATTAGATGGGTTACCGAAAAACTTTCTGCATTATCGGCTTCGTTAATGATTTACTGCACAAAATCAGCTGTGGTAAATGAGTCTTACCCGATGGTTTTTTCAATAGCCGAGGCAATTAAGTCCATTTTTTGGGGTAGGTCACCGATTATATCCATTATGGCGTTAAATTTCTTCTTTCCTTGTTTGGGTTCTTTCGGCTCCGCGGTATGCTGGAATTTATTATTTTGCATATTTCCCACATTTTAATAAAGTACGCAGTTTTAAATTTCACCCCAAATCTTAATAAACAAACTGCAACCATTTAGTCATTTCTTTTGGCACCATCAAGTTCTAACTATTACACACGCTCAAGTCTCGCTCAAAATTCCAATATGCAACACAGAAAACATTGACTTACTCCTTTTTAAACGATGGCTTGCATAAGTTGAAGTTAAAGTCCCGACTAAACAATTAGTGAGCAATTTCTTATGTTACCTGCCTTTGAGGCATTATGCAAGCAATGGTGTTCGGACCACCCTTTTACGTCACTTAGTCTAGCACCACTTGACAAGGATGTTTGCAGAAGCTTAATGTTAGTCAATCAATTTGACAGTTTCTTTTGCATGCGAAGGAGTTTCGAAAAGACAATTATGTACCTTTTCGATTTCTTGTTGCTTATCTTCCACCAGAGTCTACAGAAAGGAGAGAAGAATAAGTGAATTTTCTAAAAATTTTTATTCACTTAAACAGCCAGTCAAAGATCTGGTACTTTTCAACACATTACTAACGGATAATTATTTCTTAAATAAGTTGACTCTACGTAAGTATTGCTGTTGTGAGGAAAATGAAAAGTTGAAATAAGTATTCATTCCTTATTACAAAATAATAAATTACCATAAAAATGGTTATGTCATATGTTTACCATCACTTCTACCCTATTTTTTATTGGATATGCAGCTGCAGCTCTTTTGTTATTTTAATTCTGATTCTGTATAACTCATGCATTAAATCATAGATCATGCGCCGTAATCACAAATCTACCTCCTGTTTGAGAGAACAAAGTAACGCATTGTTGATTAAAACGTCGCTGTCATATTCAAAGGAAGACTTTGGAGAAGCGACCACTGAACCATCTTCATTGTGTTGTGAGCTTTGGACCCCAAGATACTTCTCGTGATTCACCACCGGTCCCAGAGCGCTGGCCCCTACTCCTGCGGCGGCCCTCGCAGAACTCAGGATATCCGGAAGATGAGGATTTTTGGAGGTCTTACGGCTGGCCAGAATGCCCACTATTATACCTAGCGGGACCATGTAGGGCTGAAAGTTCCACACAACCGCATTGTAGACAACCAAGGCGGTAAGTGTGTGCCACGGATTCTCCCATGAACAGATGTCATCAACCATTTGTGATATCATTGCCATAGGTTTAAAGATGGTTTTTAAACGCATGACGTTATCTTGTATGGCCTAAAGATAAATCCATAAATTATTATTGTCATAAAGAAGGCAAAGGCAAAGTTTTATGCTAATTGGAAGATCATAAATTTTTTAGGCTTTACACTGAGATCGTCTGGGCATCGGTTATTTTAAATATCATTACCATCAGTAAGAGGACATTTCTGTCACACTTTTGAACTGACCTTTAAAGAAGCTGTCTACAATCACCAGTAGATAGATAAAATATCAACCAGCAAATCGCACTGCTATGATTTCAATTTTTTAGATTTACTGACGATTTCGCTACATTTATGCAACAAAATGAATGGCTGTCTCTATTCCCTAAGCTATCATATTAGTGATATGCAAGTTGAAATGGAAGGGTTTAAGTATACTATCGTTGAAACATCCTTCGTGCTCATCATAAGCTAAATTTAAGCCTTTACTGCCATTATATGTTTGAAATAACCAAATTGATGGCATGAAAACTACAATTAGGAATTGTACACAATATGCATAGGCACGCAATTTATAAAGAAAAAGTTACAACTAGCAAAAAGTTGAAACCCACAGTCTTGTATTCCACGCTCAGTTTCTAAAAAAGTTAGGTATCCAAATAAATAAGCTATTTGTGAACTATGAGAGACCTTTCACTAGTTTCGAAAACGCACTTTATACTTTCGCGACCTAACTGGATGATTGAGCCAGGCTTCAGTTGGGTTCAACGTCCGCCACGCGGCTTTAAACTGAGAGTAAAACACTTTGAAGGAATCACAAGTGGGTTTCGATGCGCGATCCCGTGCTTTAACTGAGCTTACATGGTTGTAAACGAAGAAGAATTCCAGTAAAATAGATCCTCGCAATCGCTCAGTAAGGTCGGCATTTTTCAGAGCATACCAGGATCTTTCGTGGTTTCTAACCTGCAAATAGGTTATGTTAAAGATCTAGGGAGTGGAATTTAAAAAAAAGAAATAGGGCACTGAAAATTTCAGTTATTTAATTCACACCACAAACCTTCATGAGAGGGATAGCCACCCGACCCAGAAATTCGGGTTTCGATTTTTCATCATCCTTGACCGTAATGTACAGTACGGAGTGAATATCTGTGACAGGACTTGGATAGAGAGTAAATTATCAGCCATGCCAGAGAGAACCGAATCTCATAACTTGAGTGCATGTGGAAACTTACAAAACAAAGATTTTTTTCCATACGGGATTGAGTGTTTTTTTAACCGTGTGTGTTTGTACATGCATGTTAATTAGTTCCAACAGACAGTAGGGGTCGCATTTCCCGTTCATCTCTTTAGCCGCCAGGCCACTAGCCGCAATAACTAAACATAAAAAAATATTTGCGAACCATTAATTTTATATAATTCCCATTCTTTGAATTAATTCTGCCTGCTAAAAATGCAGTTGCTATGACTGCCCATTAAAACTTTAAGTGCTGTTATTTTTCCCATTATTTAGAAAAATGAATGGGGGTAATGTTCCATCTAAAAACAGTTTGAGAGGCTGCCCTTGCTCTACGGTCTGAAGCATGGAGACAGGAAGAGGCAGCGAGCCTGTTCCAAAAGGTGGGCTGATTGAGTGAATTACGATGTGTTTCGTTCAAAAGAGTACGCTGGAATAATTGAAGTGTACGTACCATTAACTCGAAGGAAGCCAACATCAAAGCGATTTTTCAGTGCCATGCTCCAACTCTGAAAGAGAAGTTGTTTCAATAATGGATCATTAACTAATTACTTTTAACTAATCAGTTACCTCACATCTTCTCTTCAGGCTCACTGAGAGACACAAATATTTTGTTAGCTACCTTGAATAGGACAAGGTATTTATCTTTAGTCGCAGTCTCGATTTGTTTGACCACTATTTTGACTAGTTAATTTTAGGTCAAATGCTGGTTTGACTCCATTGGCTTATCAAAACAACCTAGTATGGTAATGGTGAGAGACGAATTGATGCCAAGGGTGGTCAAATTCTTTCACATAATCCCTTCTTTTAGGTAGAATCACTTTTCTTAAGTATTATAAAAGGGATGTATAGTAAATGTGTTTTATTTTTTGTTACAGATTATTGAAATCTTTCTGTGATAGAGACCAAAAATTGGTTATTAACTATTGGACAGATGATTGAAATCGTTAAGTTCTATTTTTCGCTAATAACACCGTGCATAATTGGGTCTCCTGTGTTTAGAACCAAATTTTTTCTGTCTTTACAAGTGTTCAATTAGACAAACCCACTTTTTTTCATCCTCCGTTTTAAATGATATCCATATAGCTGCTCACATAGTGCTCGGCAATCTGAGCATCTGTTTCGTCAAGAGAAGAGTTTTCCTTTGATGCCTGAGGAGATAAAAACAAGTCGCCAGCCTCTGGACCGACGGAGTCGGAGCAGGAATTAACATTTCTCCGTGACATATTGCTTCGGATGGATTGAACACTACCAGTGGCGGACTCTGCATCACTCGGATGCCCATAAGAGTCGAACGATGATGTAACAATGATGGAAGGCATGGGATAAAGTAAGTAGGGTGGATCATCTTTGGCCAACCCCGTCAGGGTAGCCAGAAGGAGGAGACGGGGTTTGGGGCGGTAACCGTTCAGCTCGATCTCGATTCGCTGCGTGAAGTCCATCGGAAGTCGGGAAATGTCGATCAGTGCTCTAAAATATCGTTAAAACAATTCCAATTACTAACTTATTTAAAGAGAGTGTTATTTCTGTTCTTTATTTAATCTGGTCTTAAAAGGGAATGAACATCTCCTATTTAAATGGATCCCAAAGACTACTCAATGGACAATAAGTTGGATAGAATTTGAAACATGCGTCAATATGTGGAGATACAGTTGGAGTCGACGTGTGGGGACAAATTTGCCAAAAAATCACAACTAGAATTCCTGCTTATTTTTCCCTTGAGTGACATTAGGCTACGCGCTAAATTGGGATAAAATTGGCAACGTATTCTTCTTAGGTATATCTCTTAAGTTCTCACAGCTTCTACCATATACAGAGATCCGGAATTCAATTTGTATACCGCCCCAATTGAACATTTAATTCTGAAACGCAGTAGTCCTTCTAAATTGCCCTAATATGCAAAAATTGTTGCGCATGAAAAGCCTCGAATTATTATACTCTGGTGTTTAGTCAAAGGAATCTCGAGCAAGCAAGAGCACTCCTCATTGATGGTGTTGCGAACCAACCAATGTCTTTGCGATGAGTTTTTTAATTATACCGATGTGCTCCAGTGATATTCAAGTAGTTTTCTACAAGCTATTTATCAAAACTCTACTTACTCGCCAATCTTCTCAATTCCAGAAGCCGGCCCACTAATGTTGGGATTCGCTATGCTCGTTAACTGAATCTCAATCAGAGTATTGGATGAACGCGTGAGATGGAAGGTGAAGGTCTGATTCCACACAGGATCGTAGGTGGACTTCCTAATCTGATTCAAGCATTGCAAGGCAATACATTTGCAATTAGCATGCTGTAAAATTCAGTTTATGCAAAAGTATTACGTGGAATCGTGTGAAGTTTGTTACACTTGGGTTCAATTAAAAGCACTGGATGGAAAATTGTAAGGTATTCAGTGATAAGCCCAACACATTCTACAAAGTTCTTTGAATTTGAATTTATTATATTTAAGCTTCCTTGATAATGCTAGGTATTTAACTTCGAAAACTTTGGTGTTGATATAAACAAATAACGGCTATGATTTGTGCCGACTTTCAGTTTTCGTGAAGAATACATAGCGATGGTAATGTTGAAATAGGTTAAACCCCTTCTTTTATAAAAATGAAGATTTAATAAAGAATATTTCCGAATTTAATTAGAGCACTGATCAAATATGCTTACCCCGGTAGCGTATTTATCCTTGCCAAATTGTAACTGTACTTGAGTAGAAAGTGCCTGAGCTTGTTTAATCGCTGCTTGGGAATATGAAATATATTTTGCCACCATTACGCCTCGATGCACAGAGTCGACGTCTGCCTCATTGGTCCGAAACCTATTGAGGAACTTGGACAGCGGGATGGACTGAAGGCCGCAGGCGCTGAGAATGTTAAGGTGAAGAACGGCGGAGTCGAATAACGCCACTTGGGGGCCGGTAACGGGGTTAAACTGAAGTGCTGAGGCGCCACGCAAGAAGTGAGGTGGCCAGGGAAGTCGAGGTGAAACGATCTCGGTGGCTTTGGTCAGAGGGTTGGTGATCACCGCTACCTCGCTCGGTTGGTGCTGCAGAGGAGTCCATCGCCGCGCGTACACATTGGAGGGACGTGAAACAACATTGAGGTTGAGGAGACCTAAGTAACGAGCCTCGAATATCTGCACGCCGGCATTGAGCGGCCCATGCTTGAAAGAGCTGATGTCCGTCAAATTCAGTGCTGACAGGGACCGTTGTTTCAAATGTAACCGAGACTGTGATGCATAAAATACATATCTTTCGATGCGTCAATAAGCATCGGTTTATGAAGTCAAGAGTGCATTTCTATTATAGCTTGATATACGTATCTGGAATGGACCTCATCACTGTAGCCATTGTGTTCAGGGAAGTGTTATTTTCAAATCTTGAAGTCAAAAACTGTCGCAATAACTAGCGTTCATTTAAATACATTTATCTACGCTACATTTGTTCTTGAGAGCAGATTTATTGCAAATAACTTCAAAATCGAGCGCACATGATTATGCATAGTGTTAAACTGGTTCAACTATGTAAAATTCCGCATGTTTGAAATAATACCGTCAAGATCACAGTAGATCAGCTTATTTACTGCACTGAAGGCAAAGTCTCTTAGTTCTTATTATCATGAGTTCAAAAAGAGAAATAATATGTCAAAGTAAACGCCTAAGTTTCATGAGTTATGAGGAATTTTCTGGGTCTATTGACTAATGTTATAGAGCGCCCTACTATATGAGCCCAGGTCTTAATACTAGCAACAATACTGATCCTTTTTTGAATCACACAATACCTTTTAAACACTAACTGAAGAGTAATCGTGAACATCTAAATGGGTATACAACAATGATATTTCAAGAAGCAATCAGGATTGCGGAAGTGCGTCTGTTAGGAGTTTAAATAAGTGGTTTTGTGACGTACTTTGTGAGTTCGATGAATATCATCGGTGGATGATTTCTTTCTCAGCACAGGAGATGAATTCCTCGAACTACGCAAACACACCTGCATTCGCAATGTTCCAATGAGATATTTACCTTCAATTCCCATTAATTCAAGGTGTTTGGAGTAGATTCTAGAACCAATATTATTCGTAAGGTTAGGAATGGCATTTCTATTTCGACAAAGCTCTGACAACTCATTTACAAATAGTAGATTCAAATAAAGGCGATTCGATCTCACTCCCAGATGACATTGGTGCTAAGTGGATCGGTATCTTCTTCCGAACAGCAAATGCAATCTACCACCTAGAATTTATGCGACGGATTTCTACAGTTTTTGCAGCATACCTATTTCTGCCCTCAACTATCTTTTCTCCCCAATGTTCCTTTTACTCATTTAGGAAATATTATTTATTACATAGCCATTTTAACTCAGGTGGCTCCCATGAGGTCAACATGAATTGAGAAGAAATATCGGCGCCGCATTGCCAATGAAAACAAACTTGACAACTTGGTTGTCATTTGAAGTATTTCTGGTTCGATAAAGTCTTCAGATGTTAGTTCCCTTCAAATGAATGCAATTTAGCATCCTAGGTATATTTTATCTCGTTATGCACGAAAATAAGCCAAAACGAAACAACAGTTAATTGCTTTCAGAAATTAGCAAAACCATTCACTTATGAACAGTTAGGACATAACCTAATGAGAAAACCAAAGAAGTGGCTACTCATATTTGTAAATACTTCTACAGGAAAGGAACTTACATATCAACTAGACATTCATTCAGTGGCAGCTGTGCCATACCCAATGTTGAAAATCGGCCGGCTTTTCGACTGCAGAATTTTAACTAAAAGTAGCAAAAAACTCAATATACTCATCTTTCTTCTTTTGACAATTATTTTGTTCGCACCAATAAGGAATATCTGTAGTTGGACGGTAGCCGCTAGGCAGTGTAAGGTCATGTATTAGTTGTACAAGTCGGTTCTTGAACCTTTTTGACAAACATAGACAATAACTTCATTTGGTTGGGTGGATTAAAGTTAGTTTTAGAACGCTATTTGCCTTCGTTTTGGAAGACAAAGTTTCAAGTTCAGATTTAGTGAAACTCAGTCTTGGTGCCAATATAGTTTTAATCACATTAAGTACGGATTATGATTTACAGTTGCTAATATTGCTTCCACTTGCGCCTGTTAATGCGCTCCTAAGTGATTAGTTAAGACGGGAATTTAGAGAGTGATGCTGGTGAGTGGAAAAGGGGGTACTAAAAAATTCTTGAGATGCATGCGCAACCGTATCCATTGTGCTTTACTTGACATAGTCTTGAGTAAGCTCATCCACTCTACTCACTTTCGAGTGATCGACAATTATTTTGATCTGATAAAGGTAAGGAGAGGTGGAGTGACATCGGCTAGCATACGGTTGTGCAAGCGTGCATAAGGCAAAATAATGACACCTTGCATCGCCTTTACCAACCTGTGAAAGACAGTGTATTTTATCAATTGCTGGCTTCGCAAGGTTTTGCCTTTTTTTAACCTCACCTCAATCTTTTCATTTTACTGTTTTTTCTATGTTCAGCTAGTTTAGATTTGTCATTGAGAAATTTGTCAAAATTAGTGCTCGCCCTTCTAAAAAATCAGGAACAAAAGACCTAGCAGTGTCTCTTATGGGTGTACATCATTTCAATAACGAAACGGTTTATGAAGTCTAACCGTCAGAGGATGTTGCACTTCTAGCAGTGGTATTGAGAATGTTTGCTCCCAAACCTGCTGGGAAGATGAGGGCTTCACTGAGGTCCTTCCGAGTGTCAGTCCATTCTGCTTAATCTTTATGCAGGTATGAGTCCCATCTAAAAGGGAATAAAGTGGTCATAACGTCATGAAAGCTATCATCGTAGACAATGCACATTCATAAAAGTGAAAACAGCTTTTGAGGTTTATGCTGGCTCGCATTACCGTTGGGCAACACGAACAACGTCTGAGGCTTTGTCATCGAAAATAGTAAAATAAACTATCCACGTTTCTTGTTTCGAAACAAAAGTAGTATTGACCTTATTTGCTCCATAAATTAATTCCTTTCATTGGATTAGTGGACTTTTCGTGTTGGATTTGTACGAGGCTTTTACTACCACAACGTTACTAAGCACGCTTTAATAGTAATAATTTCATCTTTTAACTAATAACCAGGTATTAAAAAGTGAAATATATCGTCAGGGAGATGAATGAATGGGGAATGGTTAAATGAATGTGAATTCCGCAGCAGTATTCGCCTTTAAATTGCCCAAACGCATCTAGTTCCCTTTTAAAAATGCTAATGTGTAGATTAGTGGGTATTTTTTGTAAGGATGAACTCTGAAAATTATGCCACACATTTTTGATGATGGTTTTTTGGTTTTTGCTGCCAGAGTGTTTGCCATGCGACGAAAGAGTACGTACCTCAGTGGAACTTAAAGCCACCGAATTGACGTGCATTTGTTAACACTTGAATGTGCATATTAATGAACAACTCTTGCTTTATCTAATCGCAGTTGTGTAGAAGAGCAAAAGACAAAGTGGCCTTGTTTTAGCTAATGGCTCTTCTATTTTAAACTGATGGCTTAGTAATTGTGTCAGGTGAAGTAACTCAAGCTCAAGAGGCTCAGGGTATTCAGAATCCAATATTTAAAGTTGGTCCCTGAGTTCTGCCTTGAGTGGTTCGGCACGCAAGTTGGTACACCTGCATCCTGGAGCTCCAAAGATTCCTGCTGCTCGATTGCGAAACATATATATGTAGACAATGCCTCGAATATTGCCCCACTTGACCAATTTAAAACATGGCAAATGTTTTAAAGTACTTAAAATGTGTTAATACTTCATGCTTACACCCAAAAATCTTTGTGGTCGTTACATACGGCTATGCTCATACCCATGCAAATTCGAAATTGAGGTTAGGACACATTTAGAAGTGAACCTTATTTTAAGAATTACCTAGCTGTCAATTAGTCGCAATGTAAATGTTACAGAGTTTTGTAGTAAAACCCAACTGCATGAGGGTGGCAGATTTTTATGGAACCGTGGAATCACTATTTACGTCATACGATCCCCATGGCGCCGCAAAAGTAGCAACTTTGTGATGGGTAGATTCGAACATTATATGAAGTAGGCGTATAAAACAAAATTTAAAGTGATGTTTTAAGAGGTGATTCTAATCTTGAAGACATACTTTACTTCGTCTTATGGGAGATGTAAGAAGTAAAGTTGAATGGTTTAAAAATAATTGCTATCTTACCATGAACAATTGAGGTATTTATGGCATATACCGTGTAGATACACAGTTCGACCTTCCACTGAGGCTCAAGAGGAGACAATTGATACTGAAATGATCAAAGTTTAATACCAAATAAAGCAATTTGTCTAAGCCAGGTGTTAGTTTTAATACTGGCACCATAGATTGTAGTTAAAACTGCTGATGAAATTTCACATATCTGACCTTTGAAAAGGTCAAATGCGTCTTTCGTTTTGACAAACTGAATGCAAATTTATACATTATAAGTATTTTGTTGATAGCCGCCGAATTAAAAAATGAAAAGCAAACTTTGAACAAGCCGCCATCCTTGTAATTTACGATTATAGCAGTAACACAAGCATATGACAGAATTCTAATTCTGTTTTCCATTTTTTTCACTCCTCTAGCATCATGTACACAGTGTTAGCAGCTTTTCTTATCAAGTAACAGACATGGCATTTCCAAAACTTCAACTCAGCTAACCTAATGAATTACTCAAGACACTTTTAAGATGTTGGGTAATTTAGGCGATCGCATTAAAAGTGGGCCGAGTTTAGTTCCCATGTTGCGGTTTACCTATATCAGCTTTGTATAGTTTAGCGCTCCTAAGAATATCTTTACTCTGGCTCTCAGAGTCTCTCTTCCAAATCTAGCACTCAGCTCTTATAAACATCTTCCAAAATTTTTAATAAAATGCCGCGGCCTTCAACTTTATGTCTAAACGTTTATGCATGCAATTTTACAGTAATACTGCCTTCAAACTAGTTGATTTCAGTACAATCTCAGTTAATTGAATGTCAATGCCATCTCTCCTTATGAGGAGAAGTCGATTATTCCGTAATTTTTCTCTCAATCTTAGATGTAAAAAATAACTTGGCAGACTAATATTAATGTTCGTTGTTAAATCGCAACATGCTAAACCGAAAAGGATGGTGATACTATTTATTGACGGTGAACTATAATAAAAATAAGACCTTTAGTGACTTACTAGGTTAAACTCACTGCGACTGTGTTTCTTTGTATTCAAGAAGTACCCGCGCCGTCGTTTGTGTAGTACTCTAGACTCCCATTCATAATCATTTGAAGACAAGGTGGCATTATTGTCATCGGGTGAAAGGATGGAATTTGTTCCCTGCTGAATATCCTCGAATGAGCCAAAAAGCGAGCCACATTCAAACGGGAATTCGCCGCCCCAAATCGGAATGGATTTCGTGTCTGACGAGCATAAGGCATGGGGTAGTGCTGCGACATCCGGAGGCTTGGCCCCTGCCGCTAGGTGGCCCAGGGCTCTGGTGCAAGAAAAGGCTTTGGAAACCGACTTTTTACGTTCTCGTCTGTCATGAAGTGCAATCCGACTTTTCAAGTGGTCTTTAAATGCGCTCATTTACAGCCTGTAGCTGGCCTGCAACGTCAAAGCAAAGTGGAGGGTAAGTCAAGCGAAACAAGCATTGTGTGTTTTATTTGACACATAACACCATTCATTGGTTGTTTTGGCTACTTTTATCAATGAGGTCTGATTGGTTCATTCAAGCCGCATTAAATTTACACCTAGGACTCACCGAGTCTTACTACTTCGTAGGCTGAACCATACTTGAAGGGTACGTTGATCCCAATACCCAGAGTTTTTACAAATAGCATTTCAAAATATAAAATTATTTTTTGCAAATATAGATTCTACCAGATTGTTAATGTAATTAGTGGAAAGCGCAAACGTAATAAATATAGGCATACAAAGCATAAGGTAGTGGATAGCTAATACTGGAGAGCATTTCAAGTTCTTTTACCTAAAAAAATTCCTCTAAATAAAAATGAACCGATTTGCCTGAAATGTGGCTATAATACTCGACCCAAGGAATCGATCACAAGTTACTAACCAGATCCTAAGTGACGCCTCAAAGGTTTGGAAAGCCTTCAGATTAAACAAATATTACAACCCTGAAAAGGCGTTCTACCCATTTCTGCTCGGCCACATTTCAAGCCTGATACATTAAAGTCTCCATGTTCATGTAGAACTTCGTAAACGCAACACCTTAGTGTCAGTCAGCCATCACGAATGACATTTAAGTAAGATGGCAACCTGGTTGTATAAAACACAGCTCCACACCACCGCTCCTCCATGATGTAAACACGCAAGTTGCAATTTGTGAGGGTCTTATTAAGTGACACAAGATATGTAGGTCAACAAAGCAGCATGAAATTGCCGAACAAGCACCCCAGAAAGAGGAGGACCGTCCACATTGCCGCGAGCATTCTCCAACTGGATCCCCTTTCTGCACTAGACCTCACCCCAAAGTGCAAGGACTAGTCTCTAACGCAACCGGTCCTTCGTCAAAAACGCTTTAGCTCTTGGTGACTAACATGAAATCGAGAACCACCGCTCTCCGGTTGGTGGAAGGACTATGCAATCCAAGTGTGGTTCACCAAGTTGATACAAATTTCGACGACCCACTAGCTTGCACGAGCGTCAAGTCCAGTGTGCTTGATGCTAAAACCGGGCTTATATTTCCTTTCGTACTGTCTCATCATTAGCTTAAAGGAAATCAAGAAGAGAACACGCGATTCTGTTTAGCGATTGTGCATTGAATGGAAATGCGTGAGTGAATTGCGTCAACTTGCCGTTTTTACACAAAACAGTACCATAAAAGTATTACCAAGTTAACAAGGAGGGAAAAGGTAGCTCTGATGGACGAAAAGTGCAGAAATAAGTGGATGTGAATACGCTAAGCTTGTGGAATTGCTTTTCCCAAGATGAGTGTCACACATTTCTTTTCCTCACAATACAAAACGTCGGTAGCAAAAATAAAGGCCTTGCACGAAGCTCAAAAGGTGACTGAGAAGGAGAGTGGAGAGAGGTCAGGAGAAAGCGAAGTGGGCAGTGATGAGCTCGTTGGTGGCGATACGTTGCAGAGTGGGCCAATCGACGTCGAGGCAGGCGCGCCAGAAGCGATGCACGCGGGACCACGCGGTGGCGGGGAAGTTGGGCGAGCCTATGCCGTGGAAGATGTTAGCCACCACTCGACCAGTCACCTGCCCCCGACCCAGGTTCTGTCCATACAGGTGCATGAACTCCCTCACAGTCACTCGCACCGATTGTTCCTGCAATAAAGTGGCGTTACCAGAACACACTTTAGATATCTCCTTTGAGCCCCGTAGGGTTTAAGCAGAAGTCACTGGCCGTTTGCCCACCCATGTCATCTAGACGACTACTTTGAATCGACATAAAAATGCAAGCAGATTTAGTAGTGCTGGTGGTGAAATCAGCTGTTTCGATGTCCGTTGTTTGCGACGGCAAGGTGCCACAGAGTAGTAATCGAATACCCTTTTTCTTCCACTGTCTACTTAGAAAATTCCTCCACGTTGGAAATAAAAAAACGGTGCCACTTGCTTTTGGAAGCCGTCCGGATTGGTGGTTATGCTCAAATTAACATGGAGAACTTGACCACCAGCACCATTAGCGGGTGTAAAGGGCGCAACTTGAATAAAACTTATTTTACAGCAACATCATCACAGGGCTCTAACAATAATTAAGCAAGCCATTTCCCTCATTTAATTTCATAAATTCTCTTTATTTAATTAAAAGCTGATACTAGAAGGAGGCAGGCCTCACGGCATATTTCCATGCGTACATCGCGTTTGTTGCTATTTTTTGATGAGATCTTTACTAAAAAAAGGTCCGATTGTAATCTAAAATGATTAACATTGAAACGTTTACTGGCAAGGAGAGTAGCTGTAAACTAAATTTTCAATAAAAACCACGGCTCATTGTGAATAATAATGCACTGCCTGAAAAGAATGGGAACTAAAACGCATTATTTCTCAAACAATGGATCCAAGTCAAGTTAATCATATTCGCGCGTGCGCCACTTGATGATATAAAGTAGCGTACGCTTTCAGACCACAGCTCTTATCATTCTTACTTTGACATGTCGACTACAACAGCACACTTGAGTCACTATTCATGGGACAAATTCCTTCAAAAAAGGCAAAATAGTCAATCTACCGGGTTTATTGGTTGACAGCGTATTATTTAATTAAAGAAAAGTTAGAAGATGACTCAATGATATGCGCAACAAAAAAGGATGATGTCACCTTTTCCGCCGAAATTGGGGGTGGCCAGGTGGAGGGGATTTCCTCCACCGTCTCACTGAAATGAGCCTCCACACGCGCATGAAACCTCGCAGACCTGGCGCGCACGTAGTCTTGATTGAAGTCGATTTCGTCGACGGAATCGACAGCCACTAGGGCGATGGCCGACTGGAGTTGAACGAGACTCCGTAGGCCCGCACGCTCAACCTCCTGCAACCGCCGCCGAAGGTAAGCGAGCTCAGAGTCTAGCCGCTCAGCTAGCTGGCTATCAGTGTGAACCCACAGCCAAGAGGCGCGCGGCGTGCCTGAGAGGGCGACGCTTACGCCAGTGCGTCGGGGTGGGGCGCCGGGGGCTACACCGCTGTCCCACTCGAGACCGCGTAGCTCACGCAGCACCGCGTCGGGGCGCCAACCCCAAGCGTTACACAGAGTCACCAAGTCGAGACTCACCTCCCGAAGGTTCGTGGTGGTGAAACCCACGGCTGCGGTAGCTCGCGACTTAAGGTGACCCAGCCACGCGGAAACGGCAAGACTGCGCGTCGAAACATGAGCCAACTCAAGCGGACCGCCATAGCAGCTGACAGTGACCCCCTATAAGTAGGGAAATAGCACACTAAATAAATAATAATAGGAAATGTGCATAAGATATGCGGTTTAATCGACTATTTACAGTGTATTGCTTATTTTGCGCATTTTATGACGGGTACCCGCAATACACCCGTGGGAAATAGCTTTGATAGTGTTCAACCTACCATGCCAAATACACACTGCATAACCACAGTACTGTTTTATTAGGAAGGTAACCTGTTAGACCAATCTGACCAATCGGCGACAGTCAAAAGAGTGAATTGCAATAGCCGGAAAAATGTGCTGAGTGCAGAAATGTGCTTGATTCCAGTCACAATCTCCCATCGGTTGGTTATAACATTTACTTGTCATATCCGTCAAATAAAAAATTATTTTGCTCCAATCTATAGAGCCGTTCACTCTGTCAACTTGCCATGAAAAACTCGAGATGAAGGCATTTCAATTAACAAAACCCTTGGACAAGACTAAAATTAACTTTATTAACAATGCAAAATGAGAATAAAGGACCAACTCTGTGCTAAACAGTAAGAAGTTTTCGTAACTTGAAAATAGTTATGATGTTATCTCAATGACTAGCAACTAAACTCATGCCCTTGCACTTGTAAAGGCACTCCAACAACACTTGAATTTAGAGTTAGAAAATGCTAATAACGAGCAGCAATGGTGACTCCCCGTGACACAAATTACGTGAGTGGTACAAAACGCGTTTGTATATAAAAACGCCCAAAAAGATCATTTCTGCACTCCTCAAGCATTCCGGAAGATGAGGCTTAAGACAGAAAGCTTACGGCAAATCGGCGGCTAGTGAAATTTGATGTAGACATTACTGTGTAGCTAATGGAGACAGTCGTGTTTAAGATGTTCCAAAAAGCTGCCAAATAACACTTTAGTGGAGATTAAATAATTGTGTAGCAACAAAATTAGCCACACTTACCTCCAGCACTGGCTGACCACCAAATTTCAGTCAGTTTATGCCTCGTCCCATCTTTTAAATTGGGACGGGTGTGAAGGTTATTTACATTCCACTGCTCAAAGTCATCGATAAATACGGATTTTCACACATACTAGGTGGAATATTGACACGTGACAATGATTCTTCCGCCTTGGACTTTTCCATGCAATAATTCTAAAACTTCCATTAACAACACAAATGGATTAAATCGTGTTCACCAAATTCAGATTCCTGAACCCCAGTTAACCCACGTTAAAGTCCATCACATAGTGGGGCGAGGTAAGCTCTGACCGATATCTCAATCACTACGGCCGCTCTTTCTCCAAAAAAATTTGAGGGATAGGAAATAGAAGGAAACTAGAACATACCATAGGACCCGGAGGCAGAACAGTGATGAGTGGTGGAACATCAGAACGGAGATGCATGTAGGTGATTAGGGTGGTCAGACTCTCAGTTTTGATATCCAGCTGCTCGGCAATTTGATCGGTATCGAGAGCAACCACGGGTCGGCAGCTCCCATTGATGTCGGTGGAGTCTCCATCCCCGAAGACAAGACCCAGCACACGCTTCAACTGCACCGAGTCGATATGGTTCGCAAAAATATGACGTCGCAGTTCGTTGGCTTCACGCGCTTCCTCTGGAGTAAGTGTCACAGATTTCTCATCAGTGATGGTGTTGTTTTGAGTTCGCATCGAGGAGAAGCCTGGCGCGAGGAAGATGTGACAGAAGGACTGCTGACCGTTACGACCCACTCGACCGATCTCCTACGAAAATTAGGTTGATAAAAAGAGGTGAATTGGACTATCAAGAGCACTAGATGTTGTAAAATTGCTGTAAAAATTCGACTGAAAATTTGTTCAAACACCAATGTACAGCGAAAATCCAGATACCATTATTCGGTAAGAAATCTAATGTATTTCCGACCGAATAACATGTTTCTAATTTCCTAGAAAGCGTACAGTAAACCACCACAGCTTTCTTTTGAAGTGTAATTCTGATGACTTGTAGAAACAGTGAGGTTAGGTATGATGTACCATAATGACCCTGGAGAACAACGTTAACCTCTTTAAAAAACCGCAATTCTAGCATTATTGTAAAAAAATTAGAAATAACGCAAATTACCAGTTTTTGTTACTTAATTATGCATCGTACCAAAACTGGCAGGCGGAAAAAAAGTGAAGATAGAAAAGGCATACATTCTGACGAGGTTTCTTTTGCCGGAATGTGTCAGTCAAAGGCTGTCCACATAAAACGGTGATGGGTACTGAGAATAAGGCTGACCCTCTAATGAAGTTCCCAGGGAGAAAAAGAATTTTAACTGGACTGAGGATGAACAAAATTTTGGTACGATACGCCGGTTCGTATACTTTGAGATAGCGGCAAAAATAGGTGGCGTTATTCTCCATGGGGTAAAATTGACATCTTTGCTGGGTGACGCAAGTGCCTTAGCAAAAAAGTAGCCTCAGTGCAGGCAGTCGGGGAAGGGTAGGAAAACAAGCAACAGAAGAGTGCAACATGAAATTAAATAAACTAGGGCAATTGTAGGAAAACTTTGAGCTGCAACCTAAGATGGGTGGAAAGTTTTCAAACGATACATGTCGCGCACATTTTCGCCCTCCCTTGGATTATCAACGCTTTAGTTCAATAAAATCACTTAATTGACCGCCTCTGTACCGCTCCATTCATGATCAACACTCACGAAAGACGTTTTTATGATTATATCTTTGTTTTTTAGTAATGGTATAAACGTATACATTTACAAGGGACGAGGACCTAACCCTACACACGGAAGCGGTGATTTCAATATATTGGTGAAAAAAGAACATACCGAAATCTATCGAACTGTAATAAAAACAAACCTTAAATAACCACAAACAAAATAAACTTTGCTAAGACTGACGCATGAACGAGGGAAGGAGGGTAAGGGGGGGGGAAATAACGAATTTGTATATTCAAAGGACTTGAGTGGTGGATAAATAAACTGATAGCGAATTGCATTTATTTTGTTCCATCATCATTAAACCCCGTTATTAAAAAACCCGTGAATAAAACAAACGAAGACCGACCGTCGATAGAATCCACTAAATCAACTCATCATTAAAGATGAAAAACATATCAAAAAGTCAGCCTACAACCTATCAGAACATCAATATCACGTTTCATAGTTCTTCAGAATAAGCATGAATTTTTAGACATCAGAGAAGAAGGCTTCGACTGACCATCTAACCTAACTTTATTTATTTACTAACAACACAAGTGGACACGTCTGTTGAATTGAGTGCTTACGTATGCTAGGTGTTCAAATTAGGCATATGAAGTCACTTATAGGATTACCAAATTTACCTGAATGTAATTCTCGAAAGATTTGGGTAGAGAAAAGTGTATGACTGCTTGAAGATCTTGTTTATTCAAGCCCATACCGAAGGCTGAAGTTGCTACAAGGACACGAATTCGACCGTCCATGAAGCGCTTCTGCACCCGCACTCGCTCCTTTGGCGACAGACCCGCATGGTAAACTGCAGTATTCCAACCTACTGTGCGTCGACCAATCTACCAAGGGAAAAATCCTGGCTACTTAAATAGCGCCTTAAGTAGACTAAAGGGATGGGTTTCGCTGACTAGGCTGACCTTCTCTTTCACTTCCTGCAGACGTGTTCGGATGTATCCTGCTAAGCGTTCGGTGAGATCTCGGCTTGCAGCGTAAATTAAAATGGAAGGCTGCTCAGAAAACGGTGGTCTCTGAAGAATTCTAATTAGCGCCTCATCCCTATTATGGTCCATCGAGGCCGTAACAAGTAAGTTGGTGGGAATCGGGTTGGGAAAGGGTTGAAGATAACCGCCATCGGGATCAGAGGGATTTAGAGGATTTTTAGCATCACACTCTGTATTCAGCTTAACTGCGTCACCCATGCCCAAGTTTTGGCAAATGTTCTTGATGGTTGAAGGTGTGCAGGTGGCAGAAAGACCTTGAGGATACACAGATGAAGAATAATGTACGGGCCATACCGAGAAAGTGATTCACTCCAAGACGACTCCTGAAAAGGTTGCATATCTGCAGGTAGGCTGGTCGAAAATGGTGTGACCAATCCGCCAAGCAATGAGCCTCATCGATGCAGACAAAACTTATGGGTGGAAGACGATTCTGGCGAAGAATCCAATCAGATTCTACCAGAGCTTCTGGTGACATCAGAACATAAGCGTAATGACCCCTAGAGTACGTCCTGTAGAAGCATTAAACTATTCCTTGCCTTGTTATTTCTTCCATTA